AAACGCGATATTTGTATAATCGAAGGATTACATTGTCATCGTTAATTATGTTGCCATATTTAAAGACGTACAGAGGGTACGTTCCGATGGTCTCGTTATGTTTACTATACATAACCTCACCCTATATAAAGTTACTCAAAGTACACGTAGTTTAATATTACTAAAAGTATCATCCTTAAAGGAAATAAAATCTATTTTTTGATTAAAATACATGAACATTTTTACGTTTTTACTATCGGCAAAACTAACATGACCGATCTACTTCGCAAACAATGAAACATAAATATTATCAATGTAATCGATCCTACTCTAATTATTTGATACTTTCAAGAATATGAAAAGTATAGAAAGCACCAATAAAGGATAACAATTTAAAAAAAGAAAGAAAAAAAGTGAATACATTTCCGTCATTTTCCTTTTTACAAGTCCTTTGAAATTAAAGCTAATATGTCCTTTTAATTTGGAGGAATACTTGATATTTAATAAACGCCTCAATTTACGCTGTTTGATAGAAATACTTTTCCAAAGCAGCATACGGTAACATATAATGTTACGATACAAAATATTATTTCGTTGCTATAATATAATGTATATAACAAACTTTTCGGGTTGAACACATTTGTTACATAAAAATGATAAAGATCTCGAGCTCTTAATTGTATCCATCGATAAATATGTTGCGATTGAAATATCGATGATTGTACTGACGTTTGTGATCGACTAGATAAATAACAGCCCTGACTGTCGCATGATACTTAAGTCTATTACAAAGTTTCACAACTTCGACCATTTGTAACACGGAATCATTGCAATAAAATGCAACGAATCAAATGCAAACTGGAGAATACTTTTGTTTTAATATTAACACAAGACATCAAGTAGTGACTAGTATCTCGATTTTTCGTTATAAAAATTATAATTTTATATAGAAATACTTTTTTCTTTACAGCACACTACACATTATGTAAAGCTTCGCATAGCTTATTACTTTTAGAAGAAGACAACTAATTCTTTTGTGCAATTAGAATTAACTGGTCAGTGATCGTTATGATTTTAACATTTACACAATTTTAATATCACGAGGACACACAATATTTTTTTTATAAAATTATTGTATCTTGATGTTCAAATTTTCTAAGATTCCGAAACAACAATATCATGTGTTTCAAGTCTCCAAGTGAAATTTGAACTGTGAACTTAAACGTATTTGAAACTTCGTAGATACCAACATGTTAATTATGATGGATGTAAAGAACTTAAAAAAGAAAAAAAAAAAAATACAAATCTATATAAATCATCGATTAAGTTAATTCCGTGAATAATTCGCTAACGCAGTGCCTGCATTCCGTGATCATAATCTTCTGCTACTAGAAAAGTAAAATAATATATTTATGCAAATATTTTGATAAATAATTCAGTAGAGGAACGTTAAGAAATGCAAAATGAATTCTAAGAATTAACATGTTAGTGAACTATTCGAGTCCTGAAACGTGGTTTCGTTTCTTTTAGAACTATATTCCTGCTTACACAATTAAAGCAATTATCTATCTATAGTCTAGATTTGGAAGAATCAGGACAAAAGATGTCTGAACAAATGTTTACCTCGTGTATCGCTCTAAGAGCACAAACATATTTGCTGAAAGTACTGTACAGAAAAAGGTGGATCCAGAAAGAGGCAATTAGAGCTGTGTTCTGTGATACACTTACCCCTTAACTCCATACACATATCTCCTGGCAATTTCTACATCTAATTTAATAAATATGATAGGCTTAAGAAGTTATAAGACGTAACATGCTATGCAAAAGACAAAAATTGTAACAAGGAATTGATGCACGTTAAATATTCGTAAGTTAATCGCCTAAGAATGTAAAATTTTTTACGCCAACGTTCGGTATATACGTATACGCAGTATAATACATTGTCCTCTGAATTCAAATAGATCATTGGAAACAACTAATAACTATAATAGTAAACGAATTCTTCTGTCGAATTGTAAAATAAATACGTGAAAGACATACAATAATGTTTTGTATGCGTCATTGTTGTACTTAATAAAAAATGATTAAAAATTAATAAAAACTGATTATCAAAAGATATTATCACATATATTTTGATATTATTCGGGATCATACCTTATTTGTAATATTATTCGGTATAAAACACGTTGCCTGTTTTTAGCTGCGGAAACGACTTTCTACCATATCCATAAAACTATAATCCTACATAGTTTTGTTATTCTACATTAAAAAATATTGAGTTGACTGAGATGTTTAATAAACAAACCATAACTTCTATAAATGGCATATCGTGTGCCATTAAATATAAATTATAAAGAAAATAAACCTACACTTTTAAAATGATCTCACAGCTCTTTATACTTTCGTTATACGTTGTAGTCCTTTTTTTTACGTCATAAACAGAAGGCAGTGTTTGATTATAATTGCTTCAATCGTTTAAATGTCTTTGTTCAAATTGAAACCCATTGGTGTTTGAAATCAAATTTAGTAAAGCTCGATAAGATGAAACAAATTCCGTTTCTGTTAAAAAAAAAAAAAAATGATCGCGAAAGTAACATAAAATTGAAACTGAAACAACCAGTGACACTTCAATAAATCGCAGCAAAAGCTCAGGTATCGGAAAATTTTGTATAAAAAGAATGCACACAAAGTGCTAACAAATTCAGGAGAAATAAGGTTTTGTTGCAGTGTGCGTCTCGAAGGACTTTAAAAACTACGTTTACATTTGATTATCTAAAACTATACTTATAGTCGAATTGTCATTAGGAATAAAATTTGTAAATAGTAATCCCTTGTACTTGGTCAATCGTTGCGAGAGACTTTGTCTTTAGTATAGAATGTAATTTAAGTAAAAAAACTCGCTAACCCTTTGCGATTCTTGCTTACTTTCAGCCATCAAAGTAACGGTTCTTCTATTGCAAAATAGAATTATCTAGAAACGTGATCAGTTTTACTCTGAGCAGTGCATTCCTTTCATTATCATAGCATCAATATCGAGTAATAAAATGTGCATAACACTTGATATTCTTCCATTTTGTATTCGACTCAGAATCAACGAGTTACGACGGATTAACATAGAAATAAACAAGAATGTAAACTAATAAATGTAAAATTGGTTACATAAAAAAAAAAGAGAGAAAAGAAAACATGAAATCGCAAAGGATTAAACCATAATAATTCAAACAATTGGACTATGAGTTGGTCATGCTCGATTCGGCATTTCTTACAGGTATAGTACTTCAGTAACTACGTATTTTAAATGGCACATCGAAACATAATCGTTTACGAGACATACGTACATCATGCAATGTAGTCTCGTTAAGTTAAGTTACAACATAAAAAATTCGGGATTTCCTTTGTTTTTATACGACAGGATTAACTATCTTGCATTGTGCTCTGTGAGAATCCTTCGTCCGTTTCCTGATACGTCTTAATCGATACCAGTCGCTCAGCCCTTTGCGATCCTCCTCCCTTGTCATAGCTCCCAAAAAACTGATCAAATGGGTTAAAAAAATATGTCGCAAAAAACAATGAACGATACACCTCATAGAAATTTACGCGTACAAATCATAATAATTACTAATAATTACAAATAAAATTATCCGAAAGATGCTGTTGATCATTCTCATAACTACAGACGTTAGTATATTAAACAATAATTGGACCGTAAAGGGTTCAGCCAGGCAACGAACTATTTGATACAATAAAAATTAATATGTACAACATAGCCTCACAGAGCTGTTATCACTTCTATTATTTGTCACATTTCATTAAAAATCCCATCGAAAGGTGAACCGTTTTACGTTTGATACGTTTCTTCCCTAGGAAGAATTTATCTTAATTATGTGATCGATTATCACAAATTTGGTTCAGCAATATGTAACTCTTTCATGCGTGAAAAGTGTTCACAAAAACTTCTTACATTTGTATTTTCCATAAAACTAAATAAAATAACTGAGTAACATTCTCAATTAAATAAATTAATATACCAACATAAGAAGTGAATAAAAAATAAACTCGAGAAAATGTTTGTAAATTGAAACGAGCTTGTCTGAGAAGAGATCAAATTTAAGGGAAGGATAAATGGAGTAGAACCGATTAGTAGAATCTAAAACATGAAAGAGTTTATGCTGTTGCATAAATATCATTAGTCTTTAAACCTCGTACAATCAAGAAGATTTGTAATTATAACGTTCGTTTTAAGTGTCATGTTTTAAAAATATGTAACTCCATTTAGTCTATATCACATTTATAATACGAACGCGAATAATGATAAGTGAACACATTCTTGGTAGAATCTTGATTAGACGAGGATTAAAATGTACGCTTTGCAAGCATTTAAAAAAAAAAAATTAGCTTGCAAATGATACAGGAATTGATGGCGACTCAGACACCATGTAAACGAACAAAGTTGTTCTGTGAACATATTACGCTATCGCAATACTGTGCATCATTGTAACTAATTTTCGGTATCGAATAACGTTTGAAACAAATGTTTAGAAACAAGGTGACGCTACCAAGTAAAAACTGATTTCTCAAAATTACCTACGTATAATATGAAATTAACACAGGTTACACTTTCTCTGAAACGATAAAGAAACAGGCATTTTTGAGAAATCAATTTTTAAATAGCCGTATTGTGCGTGGAAACTTCAAATATTTGTATTTTAGCGAACATTTTTATTGCAGGACTTCATGGGTGATATTACTTTTTGGAATAAAACATAATCATCGATGAAATATTACTCATTGTTGAATGTAAAACATTTCACCCAGGAGAGCATTTTCGATCCCAGACGCCATCGCGCATACCAAAATACAGAAATAAATGTATGGGGATCGAAAGTGCAGTTTCTTTCTTCTTTCAATCGGTTACACCTTTCGAGCGTAATCTTGGAGGTTGTATATAGTACAAAAAAACAAAAATAACATTTTCAGGAGATTGTGTGTACTGATGAATAAAGTAAAGACACGTTTATCACGTATATTTTTCTTTTTTTTTTTGAAAGCGTATATATGTATTATATTAAGATACAATCTTGCATCGTTGCGGAGCTTCAGAAGATTGATGAGTCCACACAGAGGGTAGTCGTCTTCGTTCTTCCCGGGGGCCAGCAGCTGCAGCATCATTCTCCAGGTAGCGCGTGTGCTTCTTCAACTTGTCTGTAAACCGCAACTAAACACGACCTTGTTTAACAACCCTCGCAGTGGCCTTGTCCCGCTTATCTGTGTAATTTTTATCGATAACACACCGCGTATCGCTCTCTTGAAACTAAACGTATACTCTTCTTAAACGTTACATAGAGATATATGTATGCATATGCTGAGTGTGTACACGTTTCATTTGCGTTATCAGTGTAATATATATATATATATATATAGTGTACGCTGCATAAAAAGGGAGAATAAACTGGTGACTTTGAAAGAAATATGTACGTAAAACTCTACAGCGTCCCGATATACATATACATATATGTATGTATATATACGTGTATATGTATGAGAATCCCATTGAGAACCCGTACGGTAACTTGGTAAAATTCGCGGTAAGTTTGTAGATTCGAAATATATCCGAAACTGGCTCAACACTGTTCTGACCAAACTTCTATTTTCAGACGCTTTACATACGGGTAAACAGTCAGTCGCACATCCAAAAATAGACGTTAACATGATGCGAGAATCGCGAGCATTGAACTTACTTATAGAAAGCAGGGATGCTTTTTCAAAATTTTATGACTTAATTCCACAAGATTTAGAAATGAAAGCACGTTACACTGCTAAATCGAACGTCAAATAGAATTAAGAGAGCTTTCAAAGCATACGAGTTGTGTCGTTTTGAGACAAATTGTCGTTGAGTTGGTCAGGAAAGTGTTAAGATACTTTTAAAGACAGGTGAACGGAATAAACGTGTGTCCTCTTGAATTCGTTTCGTTTGTAGTCTTCACGAAACGACGAGTTTCCACGGGAACTAACAACGAGATCCTGCGATGCTGCTCTACTACCGTGTCTTGCAGTTCTCCTCTTTCATTGAGAATCCTTTTTTTGCCGTGTATTATGTTCTAATGTCTCGAACGATGCGATGAGTCTCCACGTTCATCACGACGATCTCTTTCTCGTTCTCGTTCCCGTTCACGCTCTGGTTCTCGTTCTCTCTCCGAGGGTCTCCGGCTTGATTCTCGTTCTCGATCTCTGTCTCGTTCACGCTCTCTGTAGCGATCGTCATAATACCTACACAAGTCACGGCAGCCAATTATCTTACTTTAGCGATACATCTTTTTATTGTTTCTCTTATATACATAATATATATATATATATATAAAATAATAATAACACATAATAATAATAATAATAATATATATATATATATATATATATTTACACTTATCTTTACGCTACTTTTGTAACTTTACGCTAACCCTCTTTCCTTCCCGTTTTACATTATTTCTTTGTTTACATTATTTTCAACTTCATTTTCTTTGTTTACCCTTTTACTATCATTGGTAGCTGAGAAGAATGCCTCTGAGGGGTACTCTCGGTTCAAATGATTCTGTCCTTCGCGCCTCCCGTACATCTGTGGCAGAGATGGGCAAATTTCTTATCTAAATAAAAATTTCGTACAAATAAAAGATAAACAATATTTAAGAAATAATAAAACGATTGTATTTTTTTTATTCTGTGACTTATCGATACTAATATTATGTACAAATTATATTTTTACACTTTCCAGAGCAAACATTAAATTTCAAATTGTCGATAGACTAAAAATATATCTATTTCGGAATCACGATGAACAAAACATACGAGTTATTTAGATATTTTTGGTCTATCGACAATTAGCGACTAAATCACTTTAAATTGTTTTTACTTTTCATCTATTATTCGACTAAAATTTTGTTTATGTCCGATCTGCGGTACGATGGACAGAAATATTTGAACCGCGAGTGTACCCCTCGGAGGCATTCTTCTCAGTTGCTAATAATACATACACAGTGAGAAGCATACCTGAACCAATAACCACGAGCTCCCTAAAAAAATATTATCTACCTTTGTGAGCAATAGACGATTGAAACAATAAATAATATATTACTATCGGTTTACAACGTGCTTATACACTTTCTTAATATTTTTTTTATTTTTTCTATACCATCTATGTTTCGGAATACATATTCATGTGAACAGCTTTCTACGATAAAATAATACGCTTAAAAGATCAAGATCAACAAATTTTGTTACTTTACGAAATAACATTAATTCAAAATTTTATATCAAATGTTGACCAAGTATCTCCGAAGGTACAAAAACAATTACTGAAATATGACACGAAAAAAAAGATGAGTCGACGAACTGTTAAAAGATCATTCAAAAAGGTCAATTTTAAAGCTGCCAGAAAGAAAAGGAAGCCTATGCAAAAACACACACACACACACGCACGCACGCACGCACGCGCACTAAACTAATAGAATTTCATGAAATGGATATTTTTTGAACAATGATTTGTAGTTTTAGGAAGGTGAAACAATTGATTTACAAGCTTTGTAAAAGGCGTTACTACTTTCATGATCGAGATTTTTACTCATTGGGCACAAAAGATTATTATACAATTATTTAAATACGTCATGTTTATTAGCGATATTTTGGTCATGATTCTCGTCGTCACTCACTACATACAACAGGAAATAATAATCTTCACGAAACATGCTACTGGTTCAATTATGCTCCTCGCTGTATATTATTAATCTTCTACCGATAACAGCAAACATTGCGAAAGACAAATATACCGTGAAAAGTTAGCTACGTAATTTCTCTATAAAATTCCAATTCTTTTGGCAGCTAAACAAATACTTTTAATGAAAACTATAATCGTGACAAAGAAAGGATACGAACTCTATTCGATCTAATTGAAACTATACGATGAAAACGATGACTCTAACAGTCAAAATAATGAAAGAATTCGCTCAATTATGTTCTAATGTACCTTTGTCATCGTTATGTGCATGTGAAAAGACAACTTATGTTAGCTACGGGCGATAAATTGAATTTTTGTACGTTCAATCTGATCATTTCATCTGTAGTTTTCATGTTTCACTTTATCGTTTAAAATCTGAGATTTTCCTACCAAAATTCCGTTTATACATAGAAACACTAACGTTGTAACAATATATGATTATTCGAATGTATAGCAGATCTGCTTTTGATCTCTGTTGCATCGAACAAGATGAAACTCTTTAAAAAGTCTACATGCATTCGCTTTAATGAAAAAAAAAAGTAAATTACCTAGACGCCTTGGAAGACGAGACGGGAGGCGTCTCTGGCGGTTCTTCTTTTACTCTTGGCCTGGCTGACTGACGTGTTGTACTAATGGAAAATGCATACTTTGTTATGACTTATATGGTTACCAAACCTACTACATTGCTTTAGTTAAAACAAGTTACGCAACGCAATAAATTACCGTCTAAAAATAGTATACCATAGTTGTACGGTGACAAATCGTACCGACAATGCAGTATAGCATTCTAATTAGTGTAAGCTACAATTAATCGGTTTATACGAGTGCACGAATACACTCGAACTTATAGTCGATTGTCGAACTCGAAACCATATTCGAATATCCAGAGTGATTTCAAAGTAATTAATAATCCGTGTTTAACTGTTATAATTGATGTATTCGTATGGTTTTAGAGTAATGGCTACCTAACTGTAATAAAATATTTATACATAGACTATCTTAAAACTACAAGTTACACGATCGTTTCGAATAAAAAATACTAATACGCTACTTTATTGTAGTACACAATATATAGATTTCATGTACTTTTGATCTAAATAGTAATTGTATATAGAGCTTCATATGTATATGTAGCACTTTTAAGGCACATAAAAATATCAAATAGCAATACGTTAAAATAAAGCAAGGCTTTCTTTTTCGCTTGTAAGAGTTAACACATTTCCATTCGCGAATCCTGCGGAAGTTGTTGAAATGTGAAATCATTCGAACATACGGATACCTTTTTATTCGGGTAATACTATTCAAATAATACCGATAACAGTATGAAATATTCGAATGATCCCTCAATTATCCGAATTAATAAGATTTTACTGTATTCGTTGTTACATTCGATATTTACGCGACCCAAATTGTTTGGACATTATTGATTTCGGATGTCGAAAAAACATAATACGGATGATAAAGCTTATCTTACTTACTATTGTTGTAATAACGATGTTGATTATTCTAATTAATTGATATAATGCGCTGCTTTTTTTTTTATACTTGTAGAGTATCGCAGTAGTATACAAGTTCATTACAACAAGGAATATTAGCTAACATTAGATCGCTCGTATCTCCTCTCAATGATACGCACACGCATTGCTAAGGTTGCCAGTTAAGCTGGCTGGTCAGCAAGTTCACGACCGAACTTGGATAAAATGGTATATCCAGCGGCGATAGACAAAGTAATTATGTAAGATAATGCGCTTACCTTTCTTCTCTGCTTCGTTCTCTATATTCGCGATCCCTTTCGCGCTCGCGATCCCTCTCTCTGCTTCGTGATCTCTCTCGTGGATATGGTTCACTGTAATATCGTTCCCTGTCACGATCACGATCCCTCTCCCTCTCACGATCGCGTTCTCTGTCACGCTCTCTATCCCTGTCCCTGCTCCTTTCTCTGTATTCCCTGTCACGACTCCTCGATCGCTCGCGCCTCCTTCGATGACTGCGTTCCCTGTCGCGTGAACGCGATCGTTCTGGAACAGTTCAATCAACATGTTAGAACTTCAAAGAAATTGAAATAAACAAAATCTAAAAGATCTTTCGTAATAACAATCTATTAGAGGCACCAATGCACATACATCCCATGAAAGAAAGAAAGGGACAAAAAAACAAAAAAACAAACAAACAAATAATATCAAGTTTACCTCTTCGTGCGGAACCGTAACTCTTGGTTTCAACGCCGCGTAAAGTGTCTTGAAGAGAACTGATTAAAATTTTGCATCTGTCGTCTGCAGCGACTTTCGATTGCTTTATCAAAGAAATGGCCGTGACCAAGGTCTCTATGGCGCTCGCGTATTCTCCTGCCGCAGCATCTGATACCGCTCGAGCGATCGCGGAGGAAGAAACTGTTCTATTTCGACTCATTATTTCTTCAAATTCTTGCTCTGTCAGTGGAGGAGGACCTTCGGGTCGATGATCAGGTCCTGGTGCGCCATATGGTGGCTGCAAAATAATTGGTCAGGTCTTTATGAGAAAATTCTAAAGAAAATTTGGAAAAGATTGAAATTCGAAATAAAACGTAACGCGTATTATACCTGTGTCGCAGGTGGTCCGTACCCATGTGGTGGTACATGAGGAGGGCCATGAGGTTGACCGTGTGGGGGTCCGTGAGGGGGACCGTGAGGTGGTCCATGAGGAGGACCATGAGGTGGCCCGTGAGGTGGACCAGGCGGACCTGGTGGATGTTGTCCTGGATGTTGGTGAGGTGGGCCTTGGGGGAAGAATGCTGGATTCACGTGCGGTGCTGGTCCTCCTGGTGGTCCTTGCGGTGGCCCCTGAGGTGGTCCTCCATGACCAGGTGGGGGTCCCCCTGGACCTGGTAACATTCCTGATCAATATCTACGTTAGATTGAAACGCTGTGTATCGCAAGTTTTCAAAGTGTTTCTTTCTGTAATTTATTCAACGAATTGTACGCTCTTTTGCTTTAGAATGTAATCGTGTACATTTTTGCATTGTTTGCATAATTCCGCGTAATTCATAAAGCGTAATTTCCGCGACATTATAACATGAAAAATAAGCATATTTTTCGTGTTATTCTTGTCTGAAACACCTTGTACCTTCATACTCCTAAGCATAAATTTCCCTCAATATCATGCATTATCGTATTAAAAATGAATAACAGTATCGTTAATATTCAATAGACGTCCTAAATGTCTCACCACCCATAGAACCTGGAGGAGGTCCTCTCTGTGGTGGGCCTTGACCAGGTTGCGGCCCTTGCATATGTTGATGTTGAGGGAAACCTGGTGGTCCCTGAGGCCCGTGATGCATTCCTATGCACATTGAATAATTACATCAGTGAACTTCTTCTTTTATAACAACTTGATTATATAGTGTTTTGTTACTTAAAGTGGTCTATTATTTAAGTTCATCGTGTTACATTTAGCATTCGTTCTACATCATAATTCCGATTTTACAGTCATAATTGTCACACATCTATTCTATTGTCATGCAGAGTATGAGCTGTGAGAGAAAGTATTATAGCGATAATATATATAAAACTAAGGATAAGTAGGGCATTCAAGTCCAAGATGTTTCAGGATATCATCTACTTCAAAGTGAAATATTTCACAAACCTGGTGGTCTGTTCCATTCAGGGCGTGGCTGAGCACCTCTTGGATCACCTGGAGGCCCACCAGGATGTCCGGGTGGACCGCGAGGCGGTCCTTGACCAGGCGGACCGGGTGGACCGCCGTGAAATTGCTGAATCGAGATAAACGAAAATCATTAATGAACGTTTTTTTTCAGAAATTTACTTAATTGGTAATAGTTATATATTTCTATAATAAATGAAGGTAACCTTCTTATATTATCAGAGCCAGTTATTAGTCCATTGATAATGACTTTTTATCAATGTATAGCCAAAGATAACCCATTAATCAGACGGAAATGAAACAGTTTAATGAAGAAGCTTTTCATGTTATATGTATCTCATGCACTGTAATATTGTAGTATGACTGTTGAACGAAAAAATGAATTCAATTTGCAATAATATTATAATCTGTTAGAGATTGAATATTATACATACATGTTCATTAAAAAGAATCTAATATTCGATAAAGTATTCGAAATTAAAATTTAGACAATGATCACGAAATGACAAAAGAATGTTCGATTTAAATAAACTGATAATGTTGGATTTCATATTAAAAAACAAATATATGTATACGCATACATAGTGAAAATTTCGATGAATGGATAATTCTTACAACGTGAAAAGCAGGAGAAACACATTGTGTGTTACCTGTGGTATATGGTAACTGGGTTCTGAAAGGTCTCTAGTGCAACTCTGTTTACGCGGAGCGTAAGACATGTAAGTGCAAAACATATTCTTGTAGCTCGTATGGTAATTACAATATTCCAAAAAACAAAAAGGTAATTAGTTAACAACAATCTACGTGCAGTTATTAATGTTAATACATCGCAAGTCCCGATACGTACCATTCCAGGTGGTCGATGTTGACCAGGACCTGGTCCAGGTGGTCCTTGCTGAGGTGGACCACCAGGTCCACTCGGACCTCTCGGTGGCCCGGGTGGGCCGTTAGGTCTTGGACCGTTCCATGGCCCCTGTTGATATCCAGGGGGTGGCGGTCCCTGATTAGGATGCCCTGGTAAAGGATGATGCGGTCCTGGACCAGGACCCATCGGCGGACCATGCATACGCGGTGGACCTTGTTGACCTGGTCCACCTGGACCTGGCGGACCCATACCGGGGGGTGGCATTCTTTGCGGTCTCACGCCCTGTGGAGGACCCATCATCATCCTAGGACCGTGATTTTGTTGCGAATGTTGAGGGTGTTGGGGGTGTTGTGGATGCTGTTGATGAGGTGGCATTGGTGGTTGATGTTGATGTGGATTATGGGGGCGTTGACTCTGACTCTGCTGTGGAGCCGGAGCTGGACGTGTTTTACACTGAGACTCAAACTGAGAACATATAGAGAATTTTTCACATCGTAACTGTTAAAATTTCTACAAAAGTATGGCAGTCAAGCCTCTAGATCTTTCATGCAACTAGATATTAATTGTTTATCGAATAAAATTTAATGGACGTCTTTCCACCATAAATAGTATCCTGCAACTTATGAATAATGATATAAATATGCAAACTTACTTGATTCAAAGCTTGTTTAGTTGGAAATGTTACTACTGGATTCTGGCCATGTAATTCTTTTTTTGGTAATCTTTCCATACATATCCTCATACTTTGTTCCGAACCAAGAGATATAACACAGAAACCCTTGGATTGTCCATTTGCTCGGTTTTCGAAGAACTTTACTTCAACGAAATCAGACACACCGATACTTTGTACCGCATCGGTTATATCTTGATCGCTCGTCCACTGTAACAAAACATAGAATGTTAATATCCTCTTTGAGCAATTATTAGGTATATTTCCTCGGGGAGAGGAAATGAACTACAACTGAGTTACATACCCAAGTTAAATTGCCAACGTATAATTGATGACGTCTTCCAATTTGATTTGGCTGAATATTATTTCCAAGTTGATGATAAGGCGCGCTACCGTTTGTTTCTTCATTAGGCGACGTAGTATCGCCTCCACCATCCCCACTGTTTCCTGTAGACACACCGCCGTTACCGCCAGCAGGGGCTGCTATTACATCGTCGTACAAATCGACTCCGTCACCAGCAAACTCGTCCTAAGAGAGATTATCAAAAATTTATTGAGAAAAATGTAATGTGTCACGGAACAATACAAATATTAGTTGTATATCGCTACTATGAACTTTAAATAAACTTATTGGGAGAACATTATACCACAAATAATTGGTAATCTGAATATTAACATCTATAAAAAATAGGGAAGTCTCTAAAGTGTTTTTCTACAAGAAATTACACGAAAAAGATAATAAAAATAAACATATTTGAAATACTATTTTAAATAACAGATAAATATCAAAGTAAATGCACACAGAACATATATTACACATGTAACACAAAAACTTAAAAAATAAAATACTTTTACAGAAGAGCAATCGATTAAAATAAAACTATATTATTATTAATCAAAATATTTTTTCGAATATTTCAAAACAAAATACAAAACAAAAAAAAAAAATAATAATTTTATCTGATAATGTTTGACTATTCAAATAAGATTATCTTATTTCATTTGCATTTGCTACGATGTTTACCTTTTAAAAAACAATATTTCACGTTGGAAAACTTTGCAAATATGAATACCATTGAAAAGTTATTTTCTTCTTAATCTTTTTCATGTTTAACTTGATGCTTTGAATCAAACAATGAGAAAATTTGTTGCTAGAAAGTTTAACCGTTAAGGATAGAGTGTGGGTATCGTTCAATTCCTTGTGACAAGCTAAATGCTCAATTTTTCTTATTATTATACTTGGCAAATTGTTGGTTTTATCAAATTTTTAGCATAAATTTTAGATTTTTCTACTACGATCATTTGCTCCAATTCCACGACAAGTAGTTTACAATACGATATGCAGTCTGCACATCGATTTCCCATTATAAATGGCTAAAGCTAATTTGTAAAATTCAGCGAGAAAATTGAAGGAATCGAGAAATTTGTTGAGCAAATTCAGCGACTTGATTTTATTTCACTTTTCAAAAGTTTTGTTCTACTTTTTGATTGAACGCGTGAAATAAGACGGGAAAACGGGTTAAAGGAAAAAAATGAATTGGTCGATGCCGCCCATATTCGGAAAATTTCCCTCGGTATTTTAGTCAGGTCCACATGAAAGCAATGAAAACATTTGGTGAAGTAAAGAAAAAATATTGATGAAAACTACATCGACGAACGAAGCGGAAGAAACACTACAACACATTTCGCCTTACCGCTAACACCATTTTGCTTTTCTTGCCGTGTATCTGTATTACACGTATTCGGTTTAGGTTTCCGATGCGAGAAACGTGCACGAATCAACACTAACTGTATAACAGAATATTGTAAAGCGTTCGTCGGTGATTAGGATTGAACGCGACAACTATTAGCAACGATTTAGACGCGAGTTGAAACGAACGAAACGAGAAGGTCCCGGTTGAACGAGGCACGGACACCGCTTACGAGCACAATCGTTACCAACTCTCCTCCATGACGCCGGACGGCGGACACCCCGCTACACCGACTCGTTTTTCTCACAGTTTTTAATATATAGCGTAAGAGCAACCGATCAACGATAACGTAGATCGACCGCGTGATCGCTTATTAACAAAGATGAAATCGAATTACCTGCGCGAAATCTTGCTCTAGATCGTCGGCGTACAAATCAATGTCACCGTCCGCCATTTTACGTACACCGACGCTCACTGCATTTGACGAAGGCGCCAAGCCTAAAGGGCTGACGGTGTTGTATGTTGTATTGTATAGGAGAAAACGTGTTAGCAAATTACGTTTCGTTTCTCGTTACAAACGGATGTGACGTCACTGCGCCATCTTTATTTTCTTTCGCGATCGAATAGAAACGTAATAGTGGCGCGCAACTATGTCTCAAAGTCCCTAGACACGAGAAAACTTGAATCATAAACTCGATCAACTGTGTAGAAAGTCGGTTTTTGGTGAAAGGAGTAAAAGCCAAATTAGGAAGGGAAATGATCTCTGAAATAACGTTCGACGAATTGGTCGAATAACGATACCATGTGTTTCAAATACTTTTCTTGAATTCTAGACACTTTGTAAGCAATGAAGTGAGCCAACAAACACTCAAACAGTTCCACCAATCCGATGGAACGTTGAAATTAAATTTGAAAAATCGTAACCCTCTTCCCTTTTCAAACGAAAATTTTAAATTTCAAACATTCTAATAAGCTCAATTATGATTTAACCATCGTACGGTACAGCTACTAATGTATAATACATTGGAAATATTCAAAGAAACTGCCCTAAATATCGTACATGAAATGAAATAATAATTAAGTATATAAGCATGAATATAGTTTTGGAATAAAACTTCGGAAATGATTACGAACAATCTGTATAAATTAGGGAAGCTTTTAAATTTGTTTACCTTCGAGCTGGTTCGAGCCTACTCCGTGGCTACTCGATTTCAAACAATTTAGTATCGCGTTTAAAAAAGAAAACTAAAAATAAAGTTAGGGAATTTTCGAATCGTATGATAGCAGCACTTAGTCCGAATAGAAAAGGAGAAAAAGGGAACTAATTTCGTATCGTGCGACTTACGACTTACTGCAAGGAAACTACTGAACTGCTGAACTGACTACTGACACAACGACCGGTTCGTTGCTCGTTTCGTGGTTCGTTTTCTCTCTTGTGATCAGCTTCAATCTTGAAAGGTATGTTTTCTCATCGATATTAATAATTCTCCGTTCTTCTTCAAACAATTGCGATTAATGCTTTCATACAAAACCAATCGTTTCCCGTTTTCTTCGTGTGTTTTCGCACATTTATAACCCCGAAAAAACTGTGCTTTTTTCCATCTGTCCCATGTGTATGGACTTTTCTCTATGTGAGACTGAACTTGAGCGATATCGGCGACAATCTTTTCTCTAATAGATCAAGTAACAGATCACCAGCTTCGCCGTGAGTATAATAAATGCAACGCGATAGGATCCGTCGAATAATTGACAAATTTATACAATTTCCGCTTTTTTCCTATGATCTCTGCGTACCCTAACAAATAACCTTTATCCCTCGCGAATATGGTGACTTTCAAATGTCAGTGTAACGTCGCAGAAAAATTCAAACATATCAACGAAATCATTTTGTCACGTGCATTTTGCATCCTACGTAACGATTATTTTATGTATACGCGTGCACACTATCGATATTTAACGTATTCTTAATGCACACAGCGAAGGTTCAAGTCGCAACGTGCTAGCGAATTTCGGCAAGTTTACTAAATTATCATATTTCTGTATGCCATGTCCTTTCAATTAAATTTCAAATAATTTTCTTTGTAAGAAATACTTATAATACTGCTTAAACTAATAAATCAACCCTATCCTTCTTTGTGTGTAATTACTTTGATAATTTCTATACCTTAACAAAATCATTATTATTTCTTTTCCTTTTTTCTTTTAATATCAAACAGTCATTCATCAAATAAATTAAACTTATTTGTAAGATACTTTTTACTCGTATTTAAGACGTAATGACAATAAAGCAAATTATCCAAACAAACCAAATTTATAAACCACGATCTGTACATTGTATTGTATAAAGAAATTTCAAGAATTGCTTGAATTTTTAATAATTTCTTTTTTTTATCACCATACCGATATTCACACAAGTTCATTGTTTTTGTTTGTCTGCAAATATTCTTTTTTTTTTCTTTTTTTTTAAAGAAATAAATCTGGATTGTAGTACTATGACAACTGATCCAAAGCGCGCCAGCAATAATAGTGATATGGAATCTATAGAAGACGAAGATGATAAGAACAGTATAGAGCTTACCACCCAAAATTTACGTAGACATGATGTCTTAGCTGCTCTGCAAGATCGTATTTCTGCACCAGGATTGGAGGTATTCAAACACCACATCAACTATAGACAATTTTTGATAATTCAAATATAAGAAATTACTAAATGTTCCTGTTGGTATTGCTATTATTATAATTTTATGATATTATTTAATTAATTAACTTTGCACACTTCCTTTCCCCCCCCCCCATATTTCCATTTTATTTGGCACACCTTAATAACTTTTCATTACGGACATTATCAAATTTGATGTTTGTTTTCTCAGTTATTAATACAAGTTATTAAGTATGCACAGCAATAGATGAGGAAGCAATACTTGAAATTATCTATACATTAACCATTGCTTAATTTATAAAAAAAAATTAAACAGGTGTGGTTTAAATAATTACTTGTACCACACAAATTTTAAAAGTACTTAGACATTTTTAAGATCGATATAAATTATTGAATCATTATGAAAAGTTCTTTACAATATTATATTCAATTTGAAACAAATACAAAGACATTTTATTAACGACTTAAATTACGCGCTAAAAATGATATTTTAGAAGGTATTTTTAATTTTTAGCAAATGAAGTCTCTTCCAGCTCCTGTAAAACGCAGAATTAAAGCTTTAAAACAATTGCAATTATTTACCACTAACATCGAATCAAAATTCTATGAGGATATACATACTTTGGAATGCGCTTATTACAAACTGTACGCTCCTCTTTACGAGAAAAGACGCGATATAGTATCGGGTGCTTACGAACCAACAGACCCGCAATGTGTGTGGGAGAGCGACGACGAAGAAGAAGGATTAACTAACGATTTGAAAGCAAAAGCAAATCTTGAAGATGTTAAAGAGGAAACTAAAGAAGAGTATGTTTCTTTTATTTTAATTAATGAAATTATTTCAACGTTAGGAACATCGTTAATTAATCGTGAACATTTTAGGCCTGAAAGCGAAGACGTTAAAGGCATCCCAGAATTCTGGCTCACAATATTTAAAAATGTTGGACCATTGGCTGACATGGTTCAAGAACACGACGAACCAATATTGAAACATTTATACGATATTAAAGTGAAATTCCTCGAAGCTAATCCAATGGTAAGAAAACAAAAATTAAACTATAACATCCCTGTTTTTACCATATACACACATCGTAGCCAAAATCTGAAAGGTTTTGATTGAAGTGCATTAAAAGATAATGAGATTTTTTGTAGGGTTTTGTTCTTGAGTTCCATTTCGAACCGAACGAATACTTCACTAACTCGGTTCTAACTAAAGAATATATTATGAAGTGCATACCTGAAAAAAATGATCCATTCAGTTTCGAAGGACCTGAAATATACAAATGTAAGGTAAGTATCTATAGTAAATCTATAGTAATAAGTACATTGCGTAACACACGATTTGTTATATATTCTTTTCCGACAGGGATGCGTAATCGATTGGAAGAAAGGAAAGAATGTTACCGTAAAAACTATAAAAAAGAATCAAAAACATAAATCTCGAGGGTCCATACGAACTGTAACGAAAACTGTTCAGAATGATTCGTTTTTCAACTTTTTCAGTCCACCAGTTGGTAAGAGCAGATAATAGTTTCTACGTTTATATTTTGTATTCTATTTCTGTATTTAAATTGATTTATTATTACAAATTTCACCTTTAGTGCCAGATGATGCAGAAGCGGAAATCGACGATGAAACTCAAGCATTGTTAACGAGCGATTTTGAAATTGGCCATTACATTAAAGAGCGTATAGTTCCTAGAGCTGTTCTATATTATACAGGTACTTTACTTCCCGCGTTTTTTTTTAACGATCCAAGTTAATATTTAAGAAATGTTTCTGCGTCCGATTATTTATTTTACAATTGATTAATGATAAAAAAAAACTTGATGCCATTTTAGGGGAGGTTTTAGAAGACGTAGACGAGGATTACGACGAGGAGGAAGGTGACGAGGACGATCCTGAGGATGAAGACGAAGATGACGAAGAGTCGGCACCATCAGGTGGGAAGCAACATGGCAATGATCCTGCCGAGTGTAAAACACAGTAGAATTATATACAAATTAAGATAAATTGATCGTCTCTCAATCTTTAATCAAGAATTTTTATCCATCTCTGTATGATTTATCAAAACAACAAATTTCTTCTCTGTGACGGTCTATTCTTTTTTTTATATTTTTCTAATTTTCGAGATTTTACTTACATAAAAAGATAACTTTTTTCTATATCAAATTGTTTTTCATATAATTTGTTAATGAACTTGAATTATATTTGCCTCTAAAATAAACAGTTTACTATATTACCCGTGTAATTGATTTTTAACCGAATTCGAGAAAGGAGGAGGTTACTCAATTCGACATGTATTTTTTTTTCTTTTTCTTTTATGTCTGCCGATTACGCCGAGATGGCTTGACCAATCAGGATGAAACCTCTTCCATCTGGTAGAGCATCATTGGCATCATTGGCCCCATAAAATAGAAAATCTGTACTTGGTTTATTTTTTACCACTTTTATCGGAAAAAGAGTACTATTTCACGTATGTTCGGCCTGAAATTGATGAAACCCCTCACATTTTGCTGCCGGACAGGTTTTTGCGATGATCACATTTGCGGCAATACATATATCGTTTGTAACTATTGTTATTGCATGAAACCTATTGGTTATATATTGCCACTAAAAAGTGTGAAATACAATAATTTTTGAAAAAAAGAAAAAATATAACCGACTCCGGAAAACATTAAAACTGCACTAAAAAGTATGACAAAATGCAGTTTTAATGTTTCTCGAAGTCGGTTATATTTTTTTCTTCTAAAAATTATTCAAGTTCTGTTTTTATGTTATCCATAAAGTTTCATTAGCGGTCATAAGTACGGTAAGTATTAAATTTAATAATAAATACGTACCACGTTTCGATGTATCGTATTATGAAATTTAGAAAATAAAGGGAAAAAACTGTAAGTACAATAGAAGTACTTACAATACCGTACTGTATTTACAGCCCCTGAGAGCAATATGGTCTATGAGAACAATTTTATGGTAATGTAGACAATAAAATGTCTACATTTTAAATATGAAATATTTAACATTGGAAAACAAATGTTTCTTTACAAAAGTATCAAGATACATACATTCAGCGACATCTTGGTAAAAATGGCAGGATCACAAAGTCGATGCCATGCCATGCTAATTGCCACTTGACAAGCTTTCGTCATCTCGTCATCTGTGCTTTGTGTGGTCCGTATGATAACTGTTGATAACTACTGATAACTATATACTCGTGACTGATAATGCAAACCATCGAGTAACATGCAAATCTATTCTTTTGCTTAACAGACGTTGCGTGTTTTTATGTGCACAATTTTTGCATCGCGTTGACATGTCGCAGGAGGATCAAAAAATTTTGAAACAATTTTACAATTGTCGGATTCTACGTGACGGCAAGATTTCGATCGAGGATCTATGGGTTCGCGATGGAAAAATCGTTGATCCAGCGAAAATCTTTTACGACGAGAAAATAAAACCGGATATTAAAATCGATTGTGACGGAGCGTTGATTTCACCTGGATATATCGACCTTCAAATTAATGGTACTTGATGTATATAACTACGTATTGTTTACACAGCAAACCTTGTGATCTATGATCTATAAATCGTATCTTCTTATAAATAATCTCCTCTTCATGTTGAGAACACCATGTTAGAAGAAATTATCTTTATTGTTATTTATCGATTAAAAATCCGAAATGTTTTATAAAAAAAAAAAATATATATATATATATATATATATATACATGTCGAATTGAGTAACCTCCTCCTTTTTGAAGTCGGTTAATAATGTTATATATCTTACAAACCTACTTTTTCTACAAATTTAATTATAAAGATAAGAATGTTTAATTTTATAGATAACATATTCGTGTTAATTAATACTTATAATATTTATATCTGAACTTTGAAAGTAACTGTATTAACATTTATGTTTGTTCATTTACATCATTTTATTTATCAGGTGGTTATGGCATAGATTTTACGCACAATGTTGATAATGTACAGGAAGGAATTAATAAAGTTGCTAAGAAATTACTTGAATATGGTGTAACATCATTTTGCCCAACTTTAGTAACATCACCTGACGATACATATTATAAGATACTACCAGAAATGAAGAAAAGAAATGGTGGGCTACATGGAGCAACTATACTAGGCATTCATTTAGAAGGACCTTTTATTAGTCCGAGCAAAAAAGGAGCTCATCCAGAAACTTATATAAAACAATTTAATAGAGCAAGTCATTTGTATACTTTAAATATATATATATATAAATAAATAAAATATCTTTTCATTACATTTCGCAATCTATGTTTTAGGGTTTTCAATCGTTAATTGATACGTACAGATATTTAGAAAATGTATGTCTTGTTACACTGGCACCAGAACTTCCCAATGCTCAAACTGTTATCACAGAATTATGCAAAAGAAACATTAAAGTTTCTCTCGGTAAGGCACAAAATGAGCTGTATACTTTTGTTTCTATGGCTCAAAATTGCTCAACCATGTATCTTCTATTTAAATATTTTAGGACATTCCATAGGAAATTTGCACGAAGGAGAGAATGCTGTAAAAAGCGGAGCGTCATTTATCACGCATCTTTTCAATGCAATGTTACCGGTAAGTATACGGAATATAGGATATAGAGTACGACGAAATAAAGAATAAATTTATATTTATAGTTCCATCATAGAGATCCTGGATTAGTCGGTCTCTTAACATCCGATAAAATACCAACAGGGAGAATTGTCCACTACGGTATAATCGCAGACGGGATTCATACCCATCCTGCAGCGCTGCGTATAGCTCACAGGACGCATCCAAAAGGTAGGACATTTTTCTTGTGTCGCAACCAAGTTTTCTTTCAAATTGTTGTATATAGTATTTCTTTCTAGGACTTGTTCTGGTAACTGATGCAATATCAGCTCTAGGTTTGGAAGAAGGCGTGCATCAGTTAGGACAGTTTAAGATAGAGATGCGTATGGGATCTGCGTATATTGCCGGAACAAATACTCTGTGTGGTAGTACAGCAGAAATGTCGAAATGCGTGCGACATTTCAGAGAAGCAACAGGTAATTACAGTTTTACTATTTAACCATATTAAATTCTAGATGTAACTATTAAAATATAATTATTTTTTGTAGGTTGTTCGGTGGTAGAGGCTTTAGAGGCTGCAACTCTCCATCCAGCGAGAACTCTCGGTATCGAAAGAATTAAAGGAGTCTTAAATTATGGGGCGGATGCTGATTTAGTGATGTTAAACGATAATTTGGAATTGTTATCTACATGGATTTCCGGAGAACGCGTGTACTTGCGAGCATATCAAAAACTGCCAGCAAAATAGGTCATAAGCATACGTATTTTAAATGTGTTGATCACCATACATCCTAAAAGAATATCTAATGGCTGTGAATATTACTTTAGCCATATTAAGATTTACCTGCATGTTCGCATACTGTACCTTATATATTTTATATATAAAAACTTTGATAAAACATGTTTTATATATTTTAATATATAGATTATAAATCTTTAGCATTTATACTTATAATGTTACTCATTGTAAAGCATTCAATGATAAACATTTTAAATAAACGATAAAAATATATTTCACAAGGAAATATAAATTTTATATAAAAATTACATAGTTTACCCGCTGCCTATTTTTTTTAAACAATAAAAAGGCAAGCTACCGTTACTGTTACTGTTACTGTTACTGTTACCGTTTCACGTATTACGCGGGTGTTTGTCAGTACTTGTACTCGCGTTATTACTAGATACTGTAATCCAAACATCGTTAAACGACATATCATTTTTCCGTTTAATTTCATACTTAATCGGTTAGCAAGCACCAGGTTTCACAATCAGTCCTGCAAAGCATTACGGAAAGATTCACCCACGCACGCGTTAAATTGCCATTTTATAATTAAATATTATTCCTGTTATATCGATAGTATGTAATTTTCTATTTCAAAGTAGGATAATTACGAACATCGACTCCCGCAAGGTTTGCATATTAATAAACAACGTCCTTCAGGTTGCATATATATGGTGAGTGTCTAATGCCAAATGAATGCGCTGGAGGGATATCGAGTATTACCTGTAAACCGATAATATTATACAAATTTTACAAACATTATTTTCCCATAAACAATGGCATAATTATCGTTTATACTACGGTTACTGGTACAGCATGTATCGTATAAATACTTTTTCTGGGCAATGTGCTCCGGGTCCTGGAATCTGTGAATGATCGTCGGGCAGCTGATAGCGAGAACTTATGCTATAAGCGGGACTCTTCATTCTAACTGCATCTGGCTTCACGGCTTCGTAAGTTCCAGGTCCTGGAACCAAAACTCGATCATCCGCGAAGACCTTCTGTCTACCAGAAATGGAATAAGCCGGTGCTGTTTTCTTGTTACCCGCCTTCGTCCCACCAAGTGCAGAAGGAATGTTGTAAACATTTGGGGCTGGAACAAAACCAAGAGAACAAACAAGATTTATCTCTAGTGTGACAAAATTATTTTTCCTTACGACTCACAAATCATTAAAATTAGCTTTCTCTTTTGAAATAAATATTCCAAGTTTACCTGGAATATCGTTTGGTCTGTCTATACTTGTCCTGAGACCAAAAGTAAATTTCAATGCTTTTTCTAATAAAAACATGGCTTTTTCTGGACTGTATTCACCTGGACCTTTAAAGGAAATATGAAATCTATAGAAAAGACGCATTAAAAAAAAAAAAAAAAAAAAAAAAAAAATTGAGAAACAGTAAATTCTAGTGGTTTACTATACCTGGTATGAAATTTGTTTCGTGTACATCGGTCTTAATACCAAAGCTGTACCGAGGAGATTTGTTTAGATTTACCTTTTCCGGATGATAACTTCCAGGCGCTATATTTTGTACAAAAACATTATAAATCTCACGTTCGATAAATAATATTGCGAAAGGTGAATCGAACATTACTTACCAGGTACATCGTTAGGTTTCTCAACGAATGCCTTTAAACCAAAGGAATACTCTGGAGATTTATCTACATTGACTTTTTCAGGGGAATAGGTGCCAGGAGCTGTCAAATTAAAAAAGAAATACTGATACAACTATGAAAAAGTACTCGTACAGATATACTAGACAACTTATAGCACGAAATTACAGCACACATAAAATGATCGAAGAAACATTTCCGATTACTCTAAACTTGCAACGTGTCGTCAGCGAAGAATCTACAATGAAGACAAATATTTGATAATGTCATTTAACTGTAAGTAGCAATGATGTTAATGCTAAAGCAGTTATAAACATGCGAGGAGAGAAATAAAAGTGAGAAAAAAGCGTCGGTATGAATCCCTTAAGTAATCGCATTAATATTTTAAAAGCGTACAAAGTTATTATGTTGAATGAAAGCAATGGCAAAATGTTAAGTTACATAGTAAATGTAATTGGTGAGTTGTTAATCAACACCGTTACCTGGTGTATCCCTAGGTTTATCCGATGGCTTTCTGTTACCGAAACTGAAATAAGGTTTATGTTCCAAATTTACTATTTTCTCTGGATAGTAATCAGCAGGGCCTACCGAGGCAATCAAAACATTAGCATTTGTGTCTATGGAATGTTAAACCTATACCAACCGAATCTCCAAAATAAAAAGCTTCAACAACGACCGAAATAATTCACCTGGATTGTTGTTAGGCTTCTCTGGTGTAGCTTTTCCAGATAAGCTGTATCGAGGTCCTTTATCTAAATTTACCTTCTCAGGACTGTACGTTCCTGGTGCTGTGATAACAAGAGGAACATATAAATTTGTCTAGCCTGAATCAACGATACGCGACTGATATTTTTCATGTTGATCACCTGGATTGTCATTGGGCTTTTCTGGTAATCCTTTACCATACAAACTGAACTGAGGACCTTTATCAAAATTTACTTTTTCTGGACTGTACGTTCCCGGTGCTAAGAAACAATCGAGTATTTAATGAAAGTTAAGATAAATCGATCGAAAGTAAGGTAGACAACTGAATGGTTAAGTAAAAAATTAAAACGATAAAATAAACGTGTTAAAAATAAAACGGCTTTTGCACTGACCAGGGGTATCGCTTGGTTTCTCCGAAGGTCCCTTACCAGTCAAACTATACTCTGGACCTTTATTTAAGTTCACTCTTTCTGGACAATAATCTCCAGGTGCTATAACAGTATCAACATTAATTTCTTTCATTGATCAAAGTAGTGACGAAGGTGTCGCGAGTTATGGTAAATTCTATACCTGGATTATTGTTCGGTTTATCAAGGGGAGTTCTCAGTCCAAATGAAAAGTGCGGTGCTGTATCCAATTTTACGTTTTCTGGGCAGTACGTACCTGGCGCTGAGAATATTTTTGTTCTCGTTTAACTTTGAAATATATTTACAAAGGGAATTGTTCAGCAAGTCGAATATTCAGAAAAAAGGACATTTGTTTTTTTTTAATTTTCCAATTGTTGAACTTGATTTATCAACTGTTGAAAGAATTTGTATACCAGGAGTGTCGTCCAGTTTCTCTACGCGACCCTTTCCCATAAGACTGTATCGAGGACCCTTGTCCAAGTTGACTTTTTCAGGACTGTAGGTGCCAGGTGCTACAACAGTAACCACGCGCCGATAGTAACGTGCTCCTAGCTCCTAGGATAATATATCTGTCACTTTTGTCAAAGTTTCAAGGATGGAGGGATCGAGGACCGAACCTGGCCATAAGCTGTCTAGGTGAATGTCATTTTAAGGGTATTTTTCTAGATTTGGTCGACAAAGTGTTAATAGAGAAAATCTCTGAATAATTACCTGGGGTGTTGTTTGGCTTCTCAAGAGGAGGTCTGAGTCCAAAGGTGAATCGAGGCGTGTTGTCCAATCTTACCTTTTCTGGGCAGTAAGCTCCCGGTGCTAATATTACAATCAAAGGAAATGTATATTAATCGGCTAATAAACGTAATTTATAATAAATTTTAATGAATTTTTAAAAAATGGTCAGAAAATTTCGTCAAGTCAAAGTCAAATGCAAGCTGTTACACATGCAATACGATACAATTATTTGTTGCATGCATCATCGATCTACACCATTTTGCCTATAAAATATTAACAATCTACGACAAGAAAATAATCGAGTAGCGTGTATGCGAAATGAATAGTTTATCAAGCTATAGTTGCTAAGGAAAAACAAGTAGCTGGAATCAATTACCAAACGCAACACGCAGTTATGAAGAGTATCGTAAGAAATACTTGAGTTTATTAAAGTTTATTCATCGAAGATCGGTCGTTTGGTGTGGCATCGATCATCCTAAGACATCATTTTCATGAACAATGTTCTTTGTAAAAAATGTTTAAACTAAATAAAAGTATTTAAATTTTATGTTACGTAAAAATATTTTCTAACTCTTCAATTGCTGTTTCTTTGTATTTTTGTCGAACACTATTAATTTATAAGTATCGTCCGTCTCATCGGGAACGCATAAGGCTGATTAACTGCGAACTATGATTAGTAATTGTTTTGATTAGTAGAGGGAAATAGATAGGGTCGCATAAAATGTCTTGTTGTGGTTTGTAATTACCAGGAATATCGCTCGGTTTCTCCAATACAGGTTTTAAGCCGAAACTGTACTCAGGGGCTTTATCGAGAGTCACCTTTTCGGTGCAATAGTCGCCCGGTGCTACGAGCAACATCCAATTATCCAATTATTTAGAAATGGCACGCGATCGTGGCGTACTCTCACCGTTGTCGCAATCATTTTCTTATACTTCGATATACTAAGTATTTTGTTCGTCGGAATTCTCTTTAAATGATTCGCGTCAATTTCATTAGTTGTACCAAATTCAGATGAAGTTTTCTAGTAAGCGTCGAAAGGTGCACGAAACGTGTACTCACCAGGTGTGCAGCTGATTTTTTCGGTTTGCGTTTTGATGCCAAACGAGAATTTCGGTGAACTGTCTAGAATGACCTTTTCTGCTTTCTCTGGATTATAATCGCCTGGTGCAGGCGTTGGTTCCTCTTTCACGGACCTTGTACGTCCGTGCAAAGACGAGGCTGGTGCCGCATCTTTTCCTAGACAAACACAAGACCATTCCTCCGTCACGTTAAATATCTACATAGATCAAACATTCCGTACAACGCTACGCGTATTTCACTATTCGAACAATTGTTTGTGTATGTATTCGAATAGCATTCATCGATAAAGTGTCCAATTATTCGTATATACGTAAATCCTGTGTATCGATTCGTTTAAAATACAAGGGAATCGTTGGAATTGTCCATCAGCGAATTAAATGGAAAGCAAAAGAATTTTGCGAATTTTGCGAATTTTGCGAATTACGCCCGTTTAAAGGCCTACATTCTCGCTTTGTATCGCTACTCTGGAGTTTGATCGATACTTTATCTGAACACGAAATACCGCTGTTCTCAGCGTTCGTTTCGATTTTGTCCAATGTTATCGCGTAGCCTGAATTTCGATACAAACTTTCGATTACTTTCACGGTTAGTATCCTCTCACCTTTTGCGCAAAGTCCAGAAACGTTATATTGGCCAGGACCTGGTCCAGGACTGTCGTTCTTTGCCGAGTGTCTAAACATTTCGATAAAATTAACGTTTTCATTGCGTTAATTGTGCTGTATTTAGTAAACGATGCTTCTCAGAACTAATATAAGCTAGACGTTCGGTAAAAATATCATCGAACCGAAGCTGTGCGAGTACCTGGTTCCAAAAGAGAAGGCTGGTGCTCTGCCTCGCTTCGAGTCAGGAACGGTTTTTCCTGAAATTTTCATTCGTCAGATCGCTCTGATTAAAACGAGTACACAACGAAGATGTGAAACTACACGCACCGATCAGCGGCGGTAGAGTAACACAAGCAGGACCTGGACTGGTGTACTCTGCGGCGATGGGACCTCGCCTCTTGGTTGGTGTCCATGATTTCTGTGTCATGCCGCCCATAGTTTTCGCGAGCCTTGGCTGATACGGACAGCAAAAAGAAAGAAAACCAACGATATTGTGATTAAAATATCTATGCGACATCCTTTTCTTTGTTTTTTCAACAGAAAACTGATCGAGAAAGGTCAAAGTATCTATCGATCAATTTTAACGAGATCTCATGTTTCGCAGATTAATTAATACGAACGGGAATTTTCATCGTCGATTAACATCGAACGTTGACTAGTAGTTTAGTTTTGAAACCTTGGCATATTCTCGACTTCACTGTCGACCAGTTCGTCAAGTTCACATATCGAGAAGAACGATCGAGAGTTTATTATACTTTTCGCCCGTTGTGCAAGATAACCAGGTTTTCATCACGAAATTGTGCAACTAACACGGCCTCGAAAAGACGGGCCACAGAAACAACTCACCGAGTACCATATAAGCCTATGTCCATGGTGTGGGTATCCAGCACCAGAATCGCCCACCATCCGACATTGGGACCGACAATTAATAAAACCTGAATATCACAAATTGTATGCCGTTTAAATAACCTAAATAAATGTAGGTAAACCGGGATGACTCATTGTGTACTTGTTGTACTTTGTGTACGCGTATACGAGACTAATAATTGTAACTGGAACGATCTCTGAGCAGATTTCTTCTATGGAAATTTATGTGAATATTTGATAAGCTGACAAATCTGTTTAGATACTCGAGGATGAAAGGAGCTTATCCTTATCATCCTTGCACGCATCTAATTTACAATTTCTTCCATTCGTCCATCTAGCATTAATTAGTCTATAGCCTAGGATATTAACGCCAAATCATCGACGATCGAGATATACTCATGGGGCGAGGCAAAAACGTTCAACGTCATACGACCGAGTTACAACTCTCTTAAACGAGTCGGTTTCGCGATTATCATCAATCGCTTATTCGAACAATCTCGCCCGGTATGGAAAACACCGGGGATTTTCGATCGATCGCTAACGCGAGGGCTTCAATAATTTATCTAGATTCTAGATGATTGTTGAAACAATTTCTACCGATAATTATACCTTTTAAGGATTGTCTATTCGGTAAACAAATTTCTAGCGTTAAAACTAGCGAAAAACAACCTGCTATCCTGCTGTTAAACTCCTGGCGGCGATCCCACCACGCAAGAAAATTTCGTTGAAAATTGGATGACATGCCTGGAACTCGTCGGTATCTATCACGCGCCTCTATTTACGACTCACTGTTGCTCTCGTTTTGCTCATATGGAGTGCGAGCTTACATACACGTGACTCGTACGCGCCTCTATTACAAGGTTTTCATCTCCGTATTCAAACGGTGAATATCTTTCCACGAATGCACGCGTATGCAAATCGGATTCGGAAATTTGCATACGAGCATGCACGGCTCTCTCGTTAGGACACGGTTGCTTGCTATTGTTCCAAAGCCCCGAAAGGCCTGCTGCTGTGTTTCATAACTACTGGTTCATCGTTCGGTGTTCGATGTTACCGTATAGAGAAAGTGGCAAACAGGATTTAATGTAACTGCTGAATCGATCGATACCATTTTTGGAACGAGGGAGGTTTAAGTTTAATCTGGCCTTTTAAGGGATATAGGAAAAATATCCAATTATCGTTATTTCAGACTGCAACTGGTGTATAAGGCAACATTCTTATTTAAATAAAGATAATTCCTAACTATGACTATGACTATGTTTATCTACTGTGATAGGATTGTTCCAATTTTCTTTTCATAGCGGTATAGAAACCGCATTATACGATGGTGGTCTAATGTTCTACAAACTTAGGGAGGATCGAGTTTCTTGAAAGGAATGTTCGTATCTCGCTAAATGTATTCAATGAAAGCAGTGGTAACAAGCACGGTCTAATTTCATCAACCCTTACGTTGTACGTATTTCTTGCATCCCTATTTTTCATTATTTTTTATCACAACATACACTCGCGACTGGCATTGTTTCGATCGTTATCTAAACTGACATGACAACTGATTGATTTTCGGTTATTAATTAACAGGCTATCTGTATACTTGCACAATTTGATTTCTTCGATTAGGTGAATCATCGAATTCGTACAGAAAATTGTAGGGGAACGCGATAAATTGCCGTTTATGTCTTTGTAATTTTCTCGGCAGTGTATTCATGAATATAAGGCGATGACATAATATTTGTTTACGGCAGGCTCGGTTACTCAGAGTTACTCATCGTCATTGCTCACGTTAAAGGTGTAATTGAAACGAAAATGTCCTTGTTACGTGTCATCGCTCAACTGCGGGTCTTTACGCAAAATAAAATCTTTGCAAATGTATTTGGCAAGAAATTCAACCGAAATAGCTATTTATTTTGCTCTGCGAATATTAAAATATCAATTATACTTTTAATAATTTCTTTTTCAACGACTGCACACTGTATGCATTTTGTAGTTTTTTGTACATTCAAATTTCTTATAAATGCACAAAAATCCGCAATCATCGTAGAAACTTTACTTTGCAATTCACTGGAAACAATTGATTACTTCAAAACTCGTGAGCTTTTAAAATGTAAATGTAAATGTATCGTAAACGCGTACTTCTGCTTACGCAGAGTTATTAAATTTAAATGCGTTTTATCGTTTACCTGGATTGGGCAAAATAACGTAGGGGCGAAGATCGTTGAAATTATCCAACGACGATAAGAAAAGCAGCAAAGGTAACTAATTAAATCACAAATCCGTTGTCGGAGTCGTTTATCGAACACAAAAGCACCGAGTAGCTATCAACGCTTCCGCACCTGAGACGCGTTCCAGATCGACTGAAGATTAAACGTCGCGGTACCGCGGCATGTGCTCTTCTACCCTCACCACCGACCGCCCAGCTTTATTTTCCGCTTGGATTAAAAGTACGACGCATGCGCTCCATATTTACGATTATTGTTTGCATCATAATTCTTCTTTCTTTCTAATATGTAGAGATACTGTGAACCTGAAAGTTGCTAAAAAAATGGTATTAGTCTTACAACTATCTACCTAATATAATACAATAATAATCTAATATAGTAAATATGAATAATAGAACTTTAGCAAATTTATTCTTTAACGTTTTCATTCACAAATTAACAAAAAAAAATATATATATATATATATATATATATATATATATATAAAAACAGTACTGCTCCAAAATCCCAATACAATCTTCTGTAAGATATATTATATTACAGAAAACAAAGGCGCAGACTGCGATGTTACGTTGGAGATATCACCGTAAAGGTATCACCTTGTCTCCTTTATTGGATATACTCAATTTCGCAACCCACGCACCCTAACGTTCGTAGTCGCCATCCTCGACGCTTTCGACGACCTTGTTGTGTCCTGTCCGTCGAAGAGAAGTAAGCTAAAATTAGGGACTCACGTTATCGCCAAGGATGAAACGTGCAAGTGAACGTAAAACCTACTACCGTTCGTATTCGTCTCACTTTTTTCAATCTATCTCAGTATTCAAAATTACAGTCAAAATTACTAACTGAATAAACAAAAAATGTTTGAGAGCTGGAAAGAGGAACGCGTTGAACGTATAATTTGTATTCATCTGGACCTTTCATTAAAGTCAGACAAATATTTTCAACTAATCTTCGTAATTATTTCCAACACGCCGGCTAGGTTTTAACGTCTGTTCAATTAACACGTACAGAAGCTTGCACTGGACACTTGATCGGTTCCCCTCTCTTCACGCTGACATCACGATACAGAGAACTAACTGGTCAGTAGAGTAGTCTGCTTTGCTCGTTGCCAGACGGTGATAGTCGAGAAATTTTCGTTTCCTGTCCGTCGTTCGATTCGCATTGGAGGAAGCACTCGACGATTCAATATTTGATATTCGACGATCGATTCGTGATCCTGTAAGTACAATTAAACCGTTCAAGTTATTAACAAAAGTCGTAATAGCTGCTTGTGACGATATCCGACAGTCTGACATCCAGATTAGATATAACGATTAACACGGTACAATGCCAGGCAAAATCCTTTTTCCTCTATGTACTTTACCAGTAAAGGCACGCACGATTCAAATGATAGAATTCGTTTCATTCATCGTATTACAATAGTAATTTGATATTCCATCGGTGATAGTGATCCGCGCAGTGCCGTTGTTGAAATTGTTTTGCGCTGGCCAGCAGCGCTACCATCTATGTTTCTTGGTTCGTTTGAAACTGAATTAATGCTGACAACAGGAAACGCTTCCGGAGAGCACTTCTGTCATCGTGCATGATAACTAAGTACGTATCTCTTTGCTCCTAAATGCCGCGCTTCGCCATCCAGAGATCTTGGTTTGCTTTCTATTGTTAATAGCCGGACATCAAAACCATTCTTTCGTTATTTCTTGCTTAAGGGGCTTGGAACATTCAACAATTTCTTGTTTTAATTAAAATTTAAGCGATTCCAAACAGTTATATTGTTTTCTAGGATAAAAAAGAAACAGTACATTTTCAAATAGGCAGTGTCTTAATCGATTTCGATAAAATTATATACGTTTAGATAACATTTATATCGATAATCGAGCGGGAAATAAAAATTTTTAGTTTCTTGCGTCTCTTGAAAACGTAGGTTTTTAGTACAAAGATACACTTTTCTCAGAAACGGTTAGACCGATATGCATCGCAATATTACACGCTTGTTTTTTGATAGCCGGGCCTAATTTACACCTAGGATTTTTTTGAAATTCCGAAAGGTTAATATTTTTTAAATGTTCAAAGTTGAACAAAGAAATTTATAGGTTCGCGCGGCGGTAACTTTTTTTGGAATCAAAACATTGAAGAAATCCTCGGGTGTAAATTAGGCCCGACTATATTAATAAAAAAAAAAAAAAGAAGAAGAAGAAAAAAGAAAAGAAACTAAAAATTTGTATTTCCCGTTCGATTTTTCGATGTAAATGTTATCTAATCGTATTTGTTGCTATCAAGATCTATTCGCAATACGATTAGATAAAATTTTACATCGATAATCGTTTTTTTAGTTTTCCGCGCCTCCTCCATTAACATCAGAACGTTGAAATTGTGTAAAAACCAGTTGCACGCCCGTCCAATATACATGCATGTATTCAACGTGCTTGTAAACCAACAGTTTTAGTTCGCAGGTGTTACAAAATTTGTTCGTTTTCTCTTCCACTAGATTAAACATTATTGCAATTAACGCTTGCTATATGAAAAATATTTAAACAATCGACTCGCGTAATTTCTATAATCGTCGCCATCGGAAATGCAACGCGATACAACATGTAAATTGCAGTTATACAAAAATTCATGAATCTCTTGGTATTTCAGATAGAAATATGGATTTCGACTCCTTGGAAATGCGGCTGCTGGACGAGTCCACCCCAGCCCCTATGAGATCACAGAACATCTACAGAGACCTTCTGAACTGCTTAAAGTCGAACAACTTCGAAACCTTTAAAAAACGTTTCGAGAACAGCTTGAAGGACAAGTCATCCAGCATCGACGTAAACTACGTTCACCAAGATTCATTTGAGGGAACCTTTCTGGACATCGCCTGCAAGAATGGCTTATCAACGTTCGTAGAGTTCCTGATAAAAAATGGAGCACAAGTGAACAGAATCAACACGGTCCACAAACGAGGACCAATTCATTTCGCCGTGGAGAATGGACACGCGAAAGTCCTCGAAGCTCTCCTGCAAAATCCCAAGACAGACCGAAACTTGCAAGTTGATCAGCAAACCGCCCTGCACATGGCTGTGAAAAATAATGACGAGAAGTGCGCGAAACTGCTACTGGAAAATTTGGCGAGTCCCAACATACCTAACATGAAGGGTCTGACAGCGATTCACATGGCGGCTAATAATGACCAGAAGAAAATGGTCAAACTGATTTTGGAAGTATCCAAGTACATCGTCAATTTGGACAAGTACAGGGACTACACCAACCAAACGGCTAGAGACATTCTACGGAAGAAATACTCCGACATCGATCTTCCTCTTCCCTCCTATTTCGGAAAAACTAATATCCACGATCTCAAGTACAGCCTGAACAATAACGACGAGGCCATCTTCTTGTCGGGTCTGGAGATTTTAGAGAACGACAACATAGAGAACGACAACATGAAAGAACTGATAGAGATGGCCGTCAACCAGAATTTACAAGAGGCGGTCTCCGCGCTGTTGAAGAGAGTGAAAGAGGGTAACGTCAATTGCGACTTGAAAAACGCTGCTCTATTAGCGATTCGAAAAGGCTCTTCCGATCTTCTTGATCACATATTGAACGCTAGTTGCGGGGTGGATATGAACGAGTTGTTATTGAACGCCTGCCTTGAATTGGGTATTCCAGGTAAAGGAGATTCGAAAGATATGTCTAATCAGTTGAAATGTGTGAAACTGATCCTGAAGAACAACGTTGATGTTAAATATACAGATGGTGGGTACCAAGATTTCTTCTAAACAAATTCTTCAAATTCAATTCGTCTCTTTGTTGACACGTTTCAATGTATGAAAAATGTATTTATGTATGGCGATAGAGGTGTATTTTAAACATAAATATTGTTATTATTTTCAGGGAAAGGAAACACTCCTCTACATTACGCAGCAAGGGCAGACTGTCGCGAAGCTGTAACATTGTTACTCGAAAAAGGAAGCTACATAGGTTACCCGAATAATTTCGGTGTGGCGCCTATTGCCGACATCTCCGCGTCCACCTTGTCTCGGTTCTTGGACGATTGCATACAGACCAAAAAAGATGAATCGCAGAAATATATGATCGAATTCGATTACAAGTTCTTGAACCCCTACAACTCGGAAAATGACACTCGCCTGAAACGAGAAATGGACGTTTTCCAATTCATAGCTGACAACAGCAGTTTGAAACACTTGCTCAACCATCCGCTTCTATCTTCGTTTCTCTACCTGAAATGGTACAGCATTAGACACGTATTTTGGGTAAACATCGGCTTCTACGTTCTTGTTTATTTCTTATTGAACGCGTACATTTACATCGCGATGGGCCAAGCCACCAAGACATCTCAGTATGAAGAATCCGTGAAAATTCTGCGAATCACCACGTTTGTCGCCATGAATTGCCTCGCCTTCAAAGAAATCTTACAGTTGATTTTGGCACCGTGTCACTACGTAACTAGTTTCCCAAACTGGATGAAAATGGTGCTGGTATTCCTGTATTATGCTATAATTCTAGGTGCAGGCGTTGAAGTTGCCGCTGTGACGATATTGTTGTCCGCCTGGCAAATAGTACTCTTGATCGGTCAACATCCACTGATGTCGACTGGTATCGAGATGTTCAAAACGGTGTTTCTAAAGTTTATGCGTTTTCTGCTCATCTACGCCTTCTTGATCCTGGCCTTTGCCTTTGCTTTCTATATGCTCTTCAAGAACAGCGACAACGATAAATTTCCAGATCTGGGCCAGTCGTTGTTCAAGACCATCATCATGTTCACGGGAGAATTCAATGCGAACGAAATACCTTTTGTCACATATCCGATTCTAAGTCATATCGTGTTCATACTATTCGTTTTTCTCATCGCCATTGTATTGTTGAACCTGCTGAACGGTCTGGCCGTCAACGACACAGCAGACATTCTCAATAAGGCGGAACTGATCGGGTTGATCTCCAGGATAAAGCTACTCGTATACATCGAGAAGCTGGCTGTTCAAGCTCCTTTTATCCAGGATGAACACTGCTTGTTCGGCAATAAATCGCACTGCTGCTGGACCTGCCTGTCGCCCACATGTCTCATCAAAAGGCTATTTCTTTTTCCAAATTTGTTGAAAAATGATTCGCTAAGTGTTCCGTTCGATGAGGATAAAGTATCGCCCACCGTAAACATGGATCGTCATATTATAAAACAAACTAAACAAATTTTGTCGCAGAGAAGCCAAGAGTCGGATAATGAAAAAATCATCAACGAGATGAGGAAAATTAAAGACAGATTGAGTTCGATTGAATATAATTTGAATTACCTCAAGTGATATATTGAGAATAATCATTTTAATCATAAAAAGATATAATGAAAACTGACAGGTTATTTTGTTTTCTTGTTTCTGTTATACAAGTTGAATACACCAACAATTCTCATTAGTTGTCGCAGGCGACAAGAATGACGGCTTGGTGTTTTCAAATTGCCATAGATAGGTAATAATTATAAAAAATATAGATATCGCATTGCTTCGTATCGCAAGGTTTCTATTAAACTTACAATTAATAAGTGCCTTACTTATATAAATACGTATCGCTTAAAATTTGCGTAAACATAATATTTGAACATTTTTTTTGCATAAGCTGATTGTAAGACTGAGTATGAAAAAAGTGCTTAAACATATAAAAAATGGGTATCATGCAAAAAAAAAAAAAAAAAAACATTTATGCATGCAACATTTTTACACGATACTAAAATGAAGTAACAATCTTAGAATAAATTCGTATATAAATATTTAATTAATGAGAATTATTTTACAATTCAGTTATTTAAAAAATGTGTTATGTATAAATCTCTATATAAATAATGTTTCAACATACGTGAATGTTTCATATTTAACCCGAGACCTCTTCCTGTATTGCTGTTTTCTCTCTTCCACGTCGTATCAAAATCTCGGTATAAAATGAATTGAAGTCTAACCTAATTAAAAGTTATGCGACTATATAGATGTCAACGAATTTGTTTTTCATATCTTTACGATATATAATTAACATCCGAAAACACCAAAGAATAACTTACCTGCAAAACACGTTTAAGAGTTTTTCATTGTTGTTATCGCATCCTAGATCGCAGATTCTGTCTAGAAGACGTATCAATACTTGTGTAAATTTTTCATCTAGCGATACAATCGTTTCTTCGAAGCTTCCTGCATTTTCCTTGGATGTATCACCATTTTCATCCTAACAAAGAATATCAAATATTAATACTATTTTCTCGTTTTGTTTAGTATATGCGCGAGATCCCTTGTAGAACTAAGATTAAGAAGCATACATTTTATAAAACGAATGTAACATACACAATGATATTCATGACAATTTAAATGGCACATACAATATACATACAGGCTAAAGTTTTCGAAACAAATATACCTTGTCATCTGAATTTAGTTGAACTTGATGAGGTTGAATTGCAACCTGTGATTAGCAAGTACAATTTTGCGATCAAAGTATGTAATTTATAATACTAAATACCATGCTTCCATTGAATGATTTTCACATATTAAATATAGAAATCAGAAAATTATATCCATATCGCTATTTCTGAATGAACAATTAAATGTTTATATTTAATACAAAGACTGCATGCAACGTCAACAGTCATTTAACTATGAATAAATAATGTATATATTTCGATTCTAAACTTTAACAACTAAAGAAATGATGCTTTCTTTGAATTTTAAGTTCGTAGCAAAGCCACTAATTATGGTATGAAAAGGGTATAGTTCGATAAGAGGGTCAAATGTCTCCCTAAATCAAATTCGACTCGTAATGGATCATTCGATAACGTGTGCAAAAAAAAAAAAAAAAAACAAAAACGAAAAAACAATATGTATTAAGTTTCAAGTCTGTATTATTACCGAAACTCACGATATCACAAAATTCTTGAATTTTCTAACATATATCATGCGGATTTTGAAAATGTATCCCTGATAAATAATAATGTAAACAAGATTTCTATGTTGATTTCTGTTTGCTATAAAAAGAAAAGCTTCATGATTCTAAGACTACAAAAATGCATGGAAGCAGAGTTATAACTTTAGGAATATACCTCGAAATCATAGACATCTTCCTGATAGGCACCAATCATGGAAGTCAATTCGGCGTCAATGTAGTATGGGCTCATACGCTTGAGATCAGCAAAATATTAAGATTCAGTTTACTACTAATTTTTTATGCTTCTTATGAACATTTAATACAGAAAGTATTGTGCTATAATTAGATCTCAATAATATTATACGCCATGCAGAATGATTTTCTTCCTAACAATATATATATATATATTAAGTTTCAAGTCTGTATTATTACCGAAACTCACGATATCACAAAATTCTTGAATTTTCTAACATATATCATGCGGATTTTGAAAATGTATCCCTGATAAATAATAATGTATTATATATATACATATAATATGTGTAATATATATGTATATAATATGTGTTATATATATATATGTATATATGTAATGTGAAACATATAATGACTATTATTTTTGTTGCATTTTAAAACGCATATATATTCTGTGTAATGAGTTTATAAAAAATATTTATAGTATCTAGTTTATACTATTTTGTACAACAAAGATATTCGAAAAAATCCGAGTAAAAGCAAAGAATGCAACTTAGACATAAGGTTTAATTCGTATTTTGTGTATGTATGCGTACCATATACACGTATCATGTAACAATTCAGAGTTACCTGTACATATTTGCACGTTTGTATGTGAAAATAACGAAACTTACCTCCATAAAATTGCAAAAGTCGATGCAAGCAGCACAAATACCCGTGATGAAACCAAGGAGATCGGGATCTGTAAGCATACACTCCTTCAGGTAACTATCCTGCAAGTCTTGGTGCACGCTTAAAACGTCGTCTACGTTGCTAACCTGGATACAACATTAACAAGTTTGAATTTATGTTTAAAAAAAAGAAAAGAAGAAGGATATACATCAACTAATGTACCTTGCTCATTTTGTTTAAAAATGTAAGCCAATTTGGTTCTATAACCTCGACCATCATATAATATGCTAGATGTTGAATACAATCGAGCATTCGTTGCCGCAAAGAGAATGCTTTCCTATACGACATTGCTACGTTATGGGTAAATGTTTTCGCAATTTTATTACAGATCCATACTCTAGAATGTAATATTACATATATTCTGTGGTCAAGTAAATACAAGTAATTTAGTTAAATTTATACACCAACCTGCACAAGCGTCTCTCAACGTATTTGCAATAAAATAAATGTCTGAATAGCATTTGATAGCAAGCAATCGCTTTCCTGTTAAGTATCAGAGAAACAGGCCACTTAACGTCATAGTTGAAAACAAATGCTTCCAGACCGGTTAAAGTCTTGTCAGTTTGGAAATTGTACTCTAAAACGGGAAATTTTGTTAGGACAATGTGATAGGACCTGTGGAAAAAAAATGTGGTTACACCTGTGAAATATACCTTTCTCATCTCTAGTTTGAATGGAAAGTATCCTAAACATTTGGAACTGAAGATCATATGGCAGAAGTTCAGGTTTCAGATCATCTTTATACGGATCAGAGTCCGCAGTGGACATGCGTAACGCAACTTCAAGAAGAGATGCCAATCGATGGATGACGATATCGTACATACTTCTATTTAATTCCGTTTCGCACAAATTCATAAATTCCACCTATTTGAATAACAACAAATAACATTATTAAGATATCACATAAATTATTAATAACACGCTTCGTTAAACAAACATACTACAAAGTCTCCTTGTGCAAGAAGAAAATAACTTTTCACGCTACGAAGTCGTCCCATTAAATCATTTTCATATATGAGAACTTCTAATAATGTTTTCGCAGCTTCGGAATACGCTCTGTCAATAGCAGCCAAGTATTTTTTCCCTTGATGTTGATAGATTAAAGGTTCTTGTTTTCCCCATTGAATTGTTTTACCTATCAAAATAATTGTGATGAACTTCGATAGTGTTTTTCTTACTTCGTTTCAGTATTTACTATTAAATTTTACACGTTAGCATTATAAATAACAATCATATTTTAAAGTATACACGTGTATATGGAATCACATACCACACTGTCTAATTACGTTAAAATATTTCCCAGTTCTTAAAATCGTTTGCGCGTGTTCATTGAGAAATATAGGTATTCTCTCTGGTCTCATAGTATACCTTTTCTCCCAATAATCCGCAGAATAATCAATAGGCAATTCTTCTCTTTGAATTAATTCGTTATCTTCCACGAAAAACTAAAAAATGAAAAACGAAAAATGATATAAAACAATAGAATATAACTTTTATAGAAAGTGAAAGTTTATTAAAACAATTTAAATAAGAATGCATTATTTCTATATTTTTACCTCTTCATAAGGATCGCATATAACACCTTTGTATACCCATTTTTCCAATATTTGCATGTACGGAACGCTCGCAGCTTGTATGAGGAACATGCATAATTCTTTAAACTTTGCCTCGCCGCTAATATTGTTTGTTTGCTCGTGTAGAAGACTCAGTACCTTTCCACCTTTTGCATTTGCCTTGCATATAGTAGATGTAATTTGAAATAAAATAGACATTGCAATTATGGTAGGCTGAATATAGAACCACAATTTCTGTAAATTTAATTTACCACGAACATGTTCTGTTTCCAACTGTACAACGAATAATAAATAACCTCTGAGTAAACTTTTTATGGCTCCCCTCAAAGCGTGATTAACTTGTCCGTCGTCTGGTAAAACTTTTTCTTCAACAAATCTAACCGTCATTGAATAGTGCGAAGCAAGAGGTAATATTTGTTGCGACATTTGTTTATACGATATACAAACATCTGGTGAGATGCTAAATGTTTTCAAGGCATACGGAGCCGTTAATGGTTCGGAAACTATATAGGTACCATCTATACCTTTTAGACAATACAAAAGATCCCAAAGTAATATAGATTCTTGAGACACCACAGGCACAACCTTTTGACACGGTATGATATTTGTTTCATTATAGAAGTCCCACGTTATTCGAGGCCTTTCGTGAACCCAGTTATGTTTTACTATGGATGGTTCTGTTTTCTTTGCAATCACACCTACGTGTTTATTTAACTTCTTTTCTCCTTCCACAGCAGCTTTGATTACATTTTTACAAATCTGTGGTAAATCTTCTGTAGTAATGGCAGTATTTTTGGTAGAATTTGATGCTAATGCTGTTGCTTGTTTAGCCAAATAACGTTTCAATTCTTTATCTTTCGATATAAGTTCCAAAACTTGGGCGAATAAACCTAATAAATCTACCCTAAAGAAAGAAAGAAAATTAAATGTTAATGCAACTTGTTTATGCTAAATTTACATAACTAGATACGCAAAGGTACTAACTTTATTGCTTTTAATTCTTCATACTTTTGAAGAAACAATTCAGGAACAGGCGAACTTTTTGCCAAATTATGAATACAGCTTTGCGAAGCAACAATAGTCAAAGCACTCGCGCTTGTAGGCATACCTTCTATTTGTAATTTTTCTATGTGTTTCTCAGGAGCCGAAGTTGACCTGTTCGTCCAACAATTATACATTCTTATAAATCTTAAAACAACAAACGATATGTAACAGCATTTAAAATAGAAAAGTATTGTAAAATATTTTTCACTTTTACTCACCCTAATAGTCCAATCAGTTCAACCACCAAATGATGCAACTTAAATTCACTCATTGTTTTAAACCGATATATAATTGTTACGTTCTTCGAAATAAACACTGAATCCTTTATGATACTTCAATTACAGTAATAATTGCTAGAACTGCCAATATATTTAAACGATACATTTAAGAATAAACTGCTTTGCTATTTCATCGTTTTAAAGATTTGTTTACGTTCGGTGTTATCACAATTGGTTAGGTACAGAGAAATCTGTATCGAAGAATGCAAAATTCTTTACTTTACGTGCAACTAATTTCCTGTGAAGATAAGTTCGCATCAAAGTTAAAAAAAAAAACTAGTACCTATTTCGCGAATACCAGCAAGTTAGGACGTACGTCGCGAAAAACAAAAGAAAAACAGATGAATTATACTGATTTCAGCTGATTTATGCCTAGCCGCTCGAGTGACCAATGATTTACATTCATTTAAAATTCGTTATCTAACCGTTATCATTCGCGAAAATTGAATGTGTATTATAAAAGTTATGAATTACAATAAACAAGAGACTGTTTATTATCTCAATGACTTTATTATTATAATTATAATATTTTTAAAATGATTTTACATTATTTTTTTAAGATAAATAACATACCTAAAATTAAAACAATAATTACTGAATATTATCGAATCTTTGTTTTTCGAGTAATACTTTTTACATTTTAGTACACGTAATATTTAAAATTCGGAAATCTTAATTATCCTCGCTTGAATTACTATTCGGAGGAGTGAGAAATGTCATTCCATAAAATAGAAATTCTTCGTATTCTGCATGAGCGACGACTACTTTATTTGTAGGTAAAGGTATAACATTGTTTTGTTGCACCTTTGAACTTGTTTGGTATATATATTTACTAGTAGGGTCCCTGAAATTATACTTGTACTTCAGACTGCATTTTTGAAGAAATTGTAATATCACCTTTACAGTTTTAAAAAGTTGATGTTTTTTATACTTTCTTAAAATTTAACGTTTTAAACTTTAAATGTGAATATATATATTTGTGTTATAAAACAATAATTTTATTCTCTAAAAGAATACCTGAAATTCGAATTTAAAATATTAGATGAAAACATATTTTCCCATTGTACACTTTTAGAAAGTGTATTTGTCGATGTATCATTTGTTTTTTTTAGAGCACTCTCAACATAATTGGATTGCCTATTATTTTTATCGCTTAATGTTTGCATAACATTCGTATGTATTGCATCCTTCTTAAATCTTTTAATTACACTTTGAGTTTCTTTGTCGATTATAGGTCTCTTCTTTTGCAATAATGTAATATCTTGGTAATTAATGTTTTGCTTGTAGTTTTCTTTTGAGTGTCTAAGTTTACAAGGAGATATTAAAAACTATAAATAAAAGATAGATGACATAATATGATACAAATTTTCTTACGACGAAAGATGTTTGTCAATCTCAGATTTTAATTTCAGAAAAAATTCGTCATCGTCGTCTGATGTGGTTACAGTACTCGGTTTTTTATATAAACTTTGCCTAGTAATATTACCAGAGCACATGATTCCTATAACAGAGAATAATTTTAATAATAGGACTACTTGTTAAATGAAAGGAAGATACTAGTCGAATATCAACAGAGAGCGTAAATTAGAAAGTTTACTCAAGCTCAATTTCTCAAGCGCATCTGTTGTTGGATCATGCCTTGTATTTACAATAGTTTTAACCGGGTATATTGTAGACCTTGCATTTTTATTAAAATCTTTTGATGACCCTGGCTTATCTAAGTTTGTGTATGTTGCATACTTTTTCATTGTTGATTCTGTTTATTACAAATTAAAACAATTAATGTCTTTTCACGTAATTATAGAGATTGAAATATCACTGAATGTTGTCATAACTATCAAGAGGTAATATTAACGTAAAATTTAAAGCAACTTCGCCATCAAATGTGAAATTTACGAAAAGTGTTCGACTTGGCAAAGTGTTAAATTTTTATGACACGTTAAAAAAATACTGTGTATCTTATCTACATTCAATTTGGTATTCACTGTTCGAAATAGTGTTTCAAATTTTTTTCTGATTCGATCAAAAGTTAGAAATTTTGTTGTATAGTATACATAATTGTATATATGTACAAATAGATTGTACAGAGCAACAAACGAATATCACTCTTCACCTCGTTGTTACTTTATTAAAATTTACGAACGTATAGCGCAAAGAAAATGTGGAAAATATGAATTGGTGTGAATGTTGTATGCATACGAATCGCAGTATGTACTTTCAATATATCATAAATTTCATGTGCGCACAAACACGAAACATCTGATCGAGGCGCGAAAAATTTCTTTTAGGTTAGCAGAGTTTCATTCAGTTTCATCAGACGATCAGATCCATCGTGTGTCGGAGTGCCGGATTTGAGTTTATAACCTCAAAAAGGTGTTACAAGTTACAAGTGGATCTAACGATCGAATCGTGAGCAGAATCGAAAACGATGCGTTTCGTGACAGCAGTCAATTTCAAAATTTTGCCCATTTTTCGGCATTGCGTGATAAACGCTCGATGCTTCTGTAGAAGTCACCGTTTGAATTATCAAGAGTTGTCGACACGCGTACAACCATCACAATTTAGGAGAACGATCTTCACCGAATACCTTGGTACATTCGCCAGAAACACTCGTGGACATCGGCACACTGCGGCTATAATTTCAATCAGATCGTTCGCAACTAAAAAATATAGCGATAAGGATCCACCGAGGTAAATCTCTTTCTTCTCAAATTCACAAATGCTCTTTGTGTTATTAAAGCTGTATCTTCTATGAAAATATTACTGTATTACACTTTAAGTTTATAACAAAAAAAATTATACTTTGATTTTTAGTGAAAACGATGGAGATCAGATGGAAGATCCGGCTTCTTTACCAGCTACCGTTGTCGTGCCAGAAGTATGGCCTCACGTTCCTGTAATCGCAATTAATAGAAATCCAGTGTTCCCTAGATTTATAAAGCTTATCGAACTCAGTAATCCAATTCTCATGGATTTGATCCGTAGGAAAGTGAAATTAAATCAACCTTACGTTGGAATTTTCTTAAAGAAAACAGAGGAGTAAGTTATATACATACTTTGAATTACATATGCAATTTGTATTTTTGAACTGAATTATTTTGATAGAAACGAAGCAGAACTTGTACAAAGTTTAGAGGATATTTATTCTGTTGGAACATTTGCACAAATACACGAAGTACAAGATTTAGGCAATCGGTTAAGATTAGTTGTGATGGCCCATAGAAGGATTAAAATTGTTGGTCAAATTTTGGAAGAAATTACATCTAAACCTACGCATGGTGAGTAATTGCAATATAGTTTAATTAAGTATCCAAATAAATACATATGGTTTTGAATAAATATAGTTTTTTGTTCATAAAAAATTAACAAAATAATTTGTTCATAGCATGAAAAAAACACTAAATTTTACTACACTGTAGCAAATTAATTTCAATGAATTTACTTTTTTTGTAAGTGCTTAAATAGTTCATATATAAATCCTATACTACCTACTACGCAGAGATGAAACTGACGTTTCCACTACTAAATACAACAATTCACGTCCCTGTAGACGATTCGGTAACTGGTGCTAAACCAAGTCGTAGATCGTTGTTACGTAAAAGTAGAGTATCGGAGGCAGAAAAAGTCAAAAAGATCGAAGAAACGGTTCTTACCGAAAGTAAAGCGCCAGAAAAACTACCAGACAATACCGAAGAAACGATTCATTCAGCAGATTCTACACCTCAAACTACTAGCGCTCAGCCGTTGTTAATGGTAGAAGTAGTAAATATTACTCATGAGAAATTCAGACAAACCGAAGAAATTAAAGTAATTATACAAATTATTTTGTATTTATTTACCGAGATAAACTTTATTCTAATACAAATTTAAACGAATTAATTTCATGTGTAGGCTCTAACTCAAGAATTAATTAAAACAATTCGAGATATAATAAGTATGAATCCATTGTATCGTGAATCTTTACAACAAATGTTACACCAAGGTCAACGAGTTGTGGATAATCCTGTCTACTTAAGCGACTTGGGTGCAGCCTTGACGGGAGCAGACGCACAAGAACTACAGCAAGTGTTGGAAGAAATGGATGTGAGTGAATTATTCAAAGTATATTGCGAATAATAATAATCAATATTGCAATTTGACTTGCAGATATTGAAAAGGCTAAGGCTATCGCTTGCGCTATTAAAAAAGGAATACGAATTAAGTAAACTTCAACAAAAAATCGGCAGGGAAGTAGAAGAAAAAGTGAAACAACAACATAGAAAATACATTCTTCACGAACAATTGAAAGTTATTAAAAAGGAATTGGGATTGGAAAAAGATGACAAAGACGCTATAGGAGAAAAATATAGAGAACGAATAAGGCAGAAGACAGTTCCAAAGCCGGTAATGGATGTACTCGAGGAAGAATTGAATAAATTAAATTTTTTGGAGAGTCATAGTAGCGAATTCAATGTTACAAGGAACTACTTGGATTGGCTTACATCTATGCCTTGGGGTGTAACTAGTCCTGAAAATTTAAGTCTTCAACAAGCGATTGAAATTTTGGATAAAGATCATTATGGAATGGAAGATATAAAGAAACGAATTTTGGAATTTATCGCTGTCAGTCAATTGAAAGGTTCGACGCAAGGAAAAATATTGTGTTTCCATGGGCCTCCAGGCGTTGGAAAAACTTCGATAGCCAAGTCAATTTCTCGTGCTCTCAACAGAGAATATTTCAGATTTAGTGTCGGTGGAATGACAGACGTTGCCGAAATTAAAGGGCACAGACGAACATATGTGGGAGCAATGCCTGGTAAAGTTATTCAGTGTTTGAAGAAAACCAAAACTGAAAATCCATTAGTTCTCATAGATGAAGTCGACAAGATTGGAAAGGGTCACCAAGGCGACCCGGCATCCGCGCTTCTTGAAATGCTAGATCCAGAACAAAACGCAAACTTCTTAGATCATTATTTGGACGTTCCAGTTGACTTGTCGAAAGTACTTTTTATTTGCACGGCGAACGTGATCGACACCATTCCAGAACCTCTTAGAGATCGTATGGAAATGATAGATATGTCTGGTTATGTGGCGGAAGAGAAGCTTGCAATTGCTAAGCAGTACTTGGTGCCCCAATCCATGAACGATTCCGGCTTGTCGAACGGACAGATTAGTATAGACGATGACGCGCTTAAATTATTAATCAAGTCTTATTGTCGAGAGTCAGGCGTGAGGAGTCTTCAGAAACATATAGAAAAAGTTCATCGAAAGGTGGCGTTCAAAGTAGTGAAAAAAGAAGCAGAAAAAATTAACGTGTCTCCGGAGAATTTACACGAATTTGTAGGGAAACCTGTGTTCACGCACGACAGAATGTACGAGGTCACACCTCCTGGAGTAGTTATGGGTCTTGCGTGGACTGCTATGGGAGGTTCCACGTTATTTATCGAAACAACGATTAGAAAACCTTTCGGAGCTAAAAAGTCAGAAGGTACCTTCGAAGTCACTGGACATTTGGGTGACGTGATGAAAGAATCGATCCAAATAGCAATGACGGTGGCAAGGAAATTTTTGAATCAAGAGGACCCGACCAATACTTTCCTTTACGATGCTCATTTACATTTGCACGTTCCTGAGGGTGCAACTCCAAAAGATGGTCCTAGTGCAGGTATTACCATTGCGATAGCGTTAATTTCGCTTGCTAAAAACAAAGCGATCAGACAGAACGTAGCGATGACCGGAGAACTCAGTCTTATAGGCAGAGTTCTTCCCGTTGGTGGTATAAAAGAGAAGATAATCGCCGTAAGTAAAACAACCACTTGACTTTTATTCGTTTTATCAATTTATAATCGACATACGTAACATGATTTTATAGGCGAAACGAGTTGGCGTAACCTGTGTGATATTACCAGAGGAAAATAAGAAGGATTACAATGATCTGCCTAAATATATAACTAACGGTCTCGAAGTTCATTTTGCCACAACTTTTGCGGACGTGTATCGTATATGTTTCGCAGAAGACTACGAAGCTGAAAGTCTTGAACGCCAGAAATCTTTAGATCTTAATATTTCAACTTCAAACACTGCGCCACTTCTAAGTAAAAGCGAAGACTGTAAGCAGTCCTAAAAGCTAAGTACTTATGTAATTTAAAAGCAAATTATATACGATTGGATTGAATATGCACATGGTTCATTTAAAACCATCGGCATTTTACTATTATTAAAATTGAATGTTGAGGACTGATTTACCGAAATCTGAGAAAAGTAATTGAAAGCTTCATCGATTAATCTCGTTCAATTTACGAACAGATAAATTTTCACTGAAACTGCATTAATGAACATTACTTAATGTGCGAGTAATTTAAAGAATTCCAAGACAAAAAATTTAATTCTACTGCCAAAATACAACAATATCTTCTTTTATAGTCGTTTTTGTTAAAAAAACAAAAAGTAGTGTAAATACAATATCTTTTATTATTTTCATGTATGCCGTAATCATTTGATAACTGGAATTAACGTTCATGGTATAATGTAAATAAGATTATCGTTTATACATAGAAAATCTCCTGTTCTGTATCTTACAATACCGTTTACTACATAAACAACAAGAGTATATGTACATAATTCGTAAAAAGTAACATCAACAATTTTTGATTAATAAAAAGATGTGTATTTTCTACAAATATACAATTGTTAATGTTCCGATTATTAGAATCTCTAAGAAAATCGGTTATGCTTTTCGCTAACTTGTTTGTATAAACATAAGCAATTATTTAGAAGAAGGAAAAAGGAATACTATTTGTACAAAAGTGAAAACTATATAACTAACTTATTGTACAATTTATCTAATATAAATAAATAGTTGTAATGAATTGTACAACTCAAAATTTCATTTAAGAATGGCGATTAGAAAAACAGCAGTAATTTATTTATGTACAATCTTTTCCAAATTATATTAACTTGGAACTTCCATTTTACTGAGACGAATTATAAAATCGCATAATCTCATCTGTACTTGAATTTCTATAGGATTATTTGTAACATAAAATCCAGGAACACCAGCCTTTTCTAAAATACTTTGTTGGTCTGCTACTTTTTGATCTAATTGCAAAACTAATTTCATGTCCATTTGCTTTAATTCCTCTCTGTGTTTTTTATGTAATGCTACTCTTTTCTCATCTGTTGTCATCAGCGACAATGTTTCTTGCATTTCAATTTTTTGTTGGTTCAATAATTGAAGACGTTGTTGAAAAAGATGCTTCTCCGTAACATGTTGAATTTCCATTAATCCTTTGACAATTTCAAATATCGTATCGTTCAACAGGGAGTTAGCTAAGCCAGATAATAATTCATAAGGAAGTCGCATTTGATATTTTGGAGGGAGTTCACCAGCCATGTGCTGAAGTTGTTCTACTAAAAAGTACAGCTTCCTTTGTAGATCCTGAGGAGTTGGAGTAGTAGCATCCTCCATTATTTCGTTACTGGAGAGGAAAACATAAAACCAAAGTAATAAATTGTTTATATAATATCGATGATGTTTAGTTGTAGCTGTCCAATAATAATATTATTAATGTCAACTATTTTTATATAGTATTGAATAATTACTCTTGTGTATAGAATAAAGTCGAGGTTAGTTTTCTGGCAATTAATTTGTATTCATAATTCTTCAAGAATTTTTTAAAATAATTTTAAATGGTCAATCGGTTTCTTTATAACCTTTATAAGTATAACTTGATACAACTAGACTTCACGCAGAAATGAGGGTAGGAGGGTACAAGGTAGGATTGTACGAAAGAGAATATGTCAGAGTTGGTCAAAGTGGGATGGCGCCATTGTGCAAGGCACCAAGGCACTCAACACTGCTCAAAACCTTAGCCACAGCGGAACATGCTATATTTTGCAAATATATTCGTTATCCAACTTTCTACGTTACTAAAATGTATTCTGAAAATGATATAATAGACTTGTGATGACAAAATCATTGTATCGAAAGCACTTTGCATCCTTTTTCAAATATCTTGGAAGATGCCTATACGTAGACGTAGAAGTAAAGTTCGTGATTTTTATTAATATTGAATTGAAGACTGAATGTTACTGTATGCATTTTAAATATTTATATATGCATTTCAAAGTTTCAGATTATTATACCAATGTTTTCGAGAAAGTAATATTTCCGAACATGAAAAGTAGAGAAAATGTAATCGTGAGAAATTATTCTATTTATATTTTAATATCTATCGATATTAAACTTTTTGGACACAATAGTCAAATTTTATTAATTCTTTGTAGATATATTATTATTGTTTAACTTTGTATTTTTTGTAAAAGTTTCTTTATTTTTCATATGGTTACATATAAAAGTTATTTATCAAAAAATAATTTGTAGTCTATTGTATCCTCGTAACATAATTCTTAAATATCTATATTTTAGTTTAAAATGTATTGATAAATTCATTCACAATTGGAAAATATTGTGAAGCTACATGCATGGCATCCTAAAAAAATTCCAACATTATTTAGATGTGCTTAATGTTTGAAACTTGACATTTAATGTTAGGAAATACATTGTTAATAAGATAGACAGATAGAAATAATTTCTTACCTCTTTCGTACTTATATTAAGTCCTGTTTTACTTAATGTATACTTATAAGGCAAAAGGGCATAGTGATGGAGAATATTTAAATGGTTATCTAAATTATAGTGTTCTAAGTCTCTCAGTACTTCATCTGGAATATTTTTTAAAAAGTATTTCCCATGTTCTTTCGTGAATAACTAAAAATTAAAGAAAAGAAATAATTGCATGTTATCATTAATTTATATTACTCTTGTTTCTACATACCTCATCGGACAACAATGCATTGCAAATATCTTTGACATAAACAGACAGGATTTCAATCCTTTTGTCCAATAAGGTTTCTTCTGGTTTATGTTTCATGAATTGTAAACTCATGTTACGGTACCTTATGTAAACATTTTGAAATTTAAAAACTAATTTGTAGATGTAAAAGAAGTGAAATTAGGAAATAAAAAATACCTTAATAATAAGTTACAAGTCATTGACAAAATCGCACAACTTCTTGTAACAAAACCTCCATAAATTACTGCAGGTGGTGCAACTGTGAAAGACTGTATGTCACTCCGACTTTCCAATGTACAAATCTAAGTAATTTAAATGAAAGAGGTTTGTTACTGCGTTCTATGTTATTCCTTACGCTAAGGAGATGAAGATATATTAATTGATATATTAATTGATTAAACACACCTGGTCATAAAATAACAGTGCTTCGGAAAGTAGTAAAATGTGATAGGAGTGTATATTTAAACCAGACGCAATAAGGTCTTGAATGAATTTAGTAAGAATGAGAACAACATCCTCCAAATTACCCATTGAAATTTGACCCAAAAATGGTGCAGCTGTCTCTTGATCAGATTCTTCAAACCCTTCGTTAACAAACTGCAATAAATAACGTTTCGATGCATTCTCTGATTATCATTCCTTTCTTAATGAATTTATCAAGCTAGTTTTCATGAAAAACAATGTTATAGTTAAGTAATAAAATATAATAAAACAGTTTACTGTTTGGTATACCAAATTTGTGATCAACATTTTCAAAGTTCTGATAATCTCACACTTTTCGGTTATCGACGATTCGTAATACATATTTTGTAAATGTACTAATATTTTGTCCTGCAAATCTGGAAACATTGTCATTTCACAATATAAGTTACAATATTACATCAGTTAATAAACAATGTTACTTTATTAACGATGTACCACTAATAGATGTCGAAGTCATCCACTGTAATAAAGCTAAAAGCTTTGATCGATATTCTCCTGTATTGAAATAGAGGTACTCGTCCAAGAAACGATTGACAACAGGTATACCCTGTTGCATATAACGTGAAAATTCTGCTGTCATTTCAAGTAATTTATCGATTTCTTCTTCGGAAAATTTTTCACTTTCCAGTATGAATGCTAGAATAAGAGGAATATTAATTTAATTTTTTATAAAACGTATTGTAAATTACTCAAAATTTTAATACGTACCTCTTGTTAGAGTGTTATACAGATTATAAGAGAATCTTCTTTGATAATGAAAATCAGAAAATGTCAAAAGGTGATATCCAGCGGTATTAGATAAAAGAGAAATAGCGTTGCACGGTAATTCTATGTTGGAATGCGATGTGCCGAATTCATCGATGCTGAAATATTGCAACGTCGAAAAGCGGTTTCGATTGTTAAATTATTTACGTTAAATTAAATACTTACCTGGAAATATCAAAGATGGATTTTGTATCTTTTGCTTTAAAAATACTAGAACCAATTTGAAAGTATCCTATGGATGGTACCAACGGTATTGTTTTTTTTCCTCTTACACGCTGTTAAAATGTATTTAAAGTATATATTTTTAAATAATTACTCATTCGAATAATTTTGCATTCATAAAATTATTACCTCAAATATGTTCCAGTCAAACGATTTAAAATCTACATTTTCTTTTTCTTGATTTTCTAAACGATCTCTAACTGTTTGAAGCATAGTTTGTAAAACTTCTGGTATCGGTTTCCATACGCTTTCTATATTTACAGACTGAATTTTTTCAGGAACTAATTCGGGTTTGTAGGTTTTGAATAATCTAAAATACGTTCTATATAAATTTCTTCCTTAGATATTAATGTTTGTATATGGTATGCTTGTAACTGTGATTATTTACGACAATAACGCAGTGATGTATCCTTGAGGTTTTGAATATTTCTGACGTAAAGATAATAGTCTGGATACATCTCTACGTGTTACATCATCCGGTCTTGTTAACACATAAATCAGACGTGCTATATATCTACTCTAAAACAACATTGATAAACAATCTTTTCATAATATATAAGATGTGTCCTATATTTATAGAAACTATAGACACATAAGAATACGATTACCAGTTTTTCTTTTTTTATCATCACATAATAGAAAACACTATAGTATACATTTACAACTTTTCTATCTACTATTTGATGATTCCACAAACCTGAAAGCATATACATATTTGTAAAAGTGTATTTTGATGCATGTCTAATGCTATAATAAAAGCATCATTACCAACTATCCATTGTGTAACAGCGATAGACACTGTAATTGGCAGCTCGTTCACAGATGACAAGTACCAAGTGGTAATTAAATAGAAAGTTTTTTCGGGCATCTTATATTTTGGAATTAGGCAGTTTATTAGCTTTACCAGTTTTGTAGCATCTATTAAATATTTTTTTTTTAGTTCATTCCCTTAACAACATGTTATTGTTTTTGTGCAATACTTAAAACATACTAACTTAAGTCAGTGTCTATGATAACACTTCCTAACAGATGAATATCTTCATCTTCCAGACCTTGCGATGCCACATACTTCTGTAGTCTATTGAGGGACTCCTCGAACCTAGCATAACTTTTTCCTCTAGCTATAAAGTATGACAAAAGAAATTCTATTTATTAAAACAATATATTTTTTTGTAATTCTTAATCAACAAAAGGTATAATGTTATATTTCCTTTTTTTGCTTACATACATTTTAATGTAGTCAAAAACTTTACACAAATATTCTTTTCCTCGTCATTCATCGCTACTACTTTTTTCGAAATACTGATTTTCAAACACAAAGTATCAATTTCATTTCAGTATACTAAACAATAATACAATGTGTGTGTAATGTTATTTGCGAATAAACGTTTTTAAATTACGACCACTACCCACCACTACCGTGGTAAAACAGAAAAGGCATCGCTCACTGGCGCCACAAACACTGCCATGGCGGTGGGGCGCCATAGGTGGAAAAAGCCACAAGCTTGTAATGGAAAATAGTTTCGACCGTTGACGCTAGATGGTGCTATCGATTCGTTTTATTCTTTATTTTCCATAAATGCATAATTAATATGATTATCTGATATATAACGCTACAATATATTAGTTAAGGGAGTGGACTCCACTCCCTTAACATGTCAAATTTATCATTTTTAGCAATAATTATCGGGCCTTTAGTTAGTAGCGTCATCTTGCAGAAATGATGGGAACTATTTTTATTACAAACTTGGGCATTTTGACACCGATGGCGCCACTGCTACCAAACCACCCGCTCAATCAGCGCATACGCAAAGAATATCCAATAACCCAATTGAAAATAACATATTCGTGTTGATTCGTGTACTTTACGATAGTGTTTGATTAAATTAAATAAATTAGTTGAGATTTCTTTCTAAGCTTAGTGCGTAGTGTTCATAACCATAACGTAACAAGTATCGAAAACAGTGAATATGGAGGCAGGCGAAAAGAATCCTGCTCAGTGGGCCTTAGATCTTTTGTTAAAACCACCTCTTTATAAAAAACCGTGGTATAGCAATCATTTTGGTGAAGTGATTTTGGGTTTTTTTGGATTTAATGCACCGATTTGTAGGAATGTATGCACATCAAAACCCATCTGTGCCCGTAAGTTCTGCTTTTTGTTATGTAATCTATGAATTTAAAAATAAACGATCTTTAAATCTGTCATAAATTTCGATAATTAAATAATTTTGAATCTAATGCAGTTTAAAAGACTAAATTTCTCTACGGATACGTTTCAAAGAATATCAATTATGTCTAGAATTGTTAAATTTCCCAAATTGCAAAAATCGTTTCTTATTAGTTTAATATTAAAATGAACAAATACGCATTATCAAGGACTATACATGGCTTTCTTTTATTTAGATTTTCACCACTCTATTATTGGTTGCGGAATAGGCATTGCAGCGGGATATGTACTAACAACAGTGAGCGAATATTACTATGCTAAACGTGATGCGATAATGGTAGATTATATTAGACGTTATCCAGAACGTTTTCCCGAGCCACGTAAGTTTAAGATACTCAAACACAAAGTTACAGTTACAGTTAGCTACTTTTATTTCCTTTTACTCTAATGGAAACTGATCAACAAAATGTGTGCGCCTTGCACACAGGCAGTATCAAAACAAAGCAAAATAAAGCAGTATTCTGATAAAAGAACTGCTTGTTTCTATCTTGTTAAAACTTGAATTGTATAAACAAATGTATACTATTATCATTTTTAAAATTTGTTTTTAATATTTCAGCAAAAGTAACATTTGGAGAAAAATTGGATATATGGTGCCCAGTACGCTAGATATTATAATATCTTTTTAAAGTGTTGCAATGCTTGATTGTAATACTCGACAAAAGAATAAAATGTACAGATAACCATTGTGTCTTATGTGAATATGTTATACTCTTACATGGTAGTAGTGGTAGTATATATTTATTATTTATTCCCCTTGAAATTACAACGACTTCCATTTCAACTAACATTCATTTCGATATTTTTGATAACTGTTTAGGGCTTAACACTCACCTTTTGTTATTATTTTCACTCTTCCCTTTCGTTTTCTCTCTTGCCACTCTTCATACATCTTATCATTCTCCCACTGGAAATGGAAATTCTTTACTTTTACATTTATATCCCTACATTAAAAGTATTACGTACATGTTTTATTTATGATAGAATGGGGGATACAAGTATGTATTTTTGTGCATATACTTGAAATCTGGCTACATTTTATCTAAATTCTTTGTACCTGAGAACAAGGATAATACAATAATTGAATTTCTCTTTTCACAATTTAGAATCGGATAGTACATTGACTTATCGTTTAATGTTATAAACAGTTGTAAGTGAAAATTATTTTACAAAAACAGTTATGCATTTATAGTAAATATACAACAATATCGCTATACAAAAAAATATAACATGAAATTAATATATGTATATATATATATATATAGAGTGAAACTAGCAGTACACAAAGTATAAATAAAACAAAGTTAACAGAGCATTTTTATATTTTATTTGACATTTTTTTGATAGTTTCGCGATTATTTCAATTTATATTGATTCCACTTTGAAGTGTGATAAAGTCAAAGAATTTCAGATTAATTATACATATTATTCATTTAAACAGCGGTAAACGAGAATTAGTTGAACTTTTCCTGATCATCGTTCTAGCGTGCTTACAAATGTTTCTATTTCTTTTCAGGATTATAGTTATCATTGTAGAGTCCAGTTCCTTTTGAATCTCCTAGCCATGGGTATTTATTGGGGCATTCCCTACATGTTTCTAAATACCTATGAACATGTTCACCATTATTATCATCTTAAATCGTTGAGCATAGAAGTATCGTTAATTAGTTACCTAGTAGTAGTAAAATTAGATTCTGCGGGTTTGAAGTCTAAAGCACATTTATTTGGATTATTACACGGTGGTCCGGGAATATTTTCTTTCTTTTTACATGACCATCCATCAAAATTATTCAGAGACTTGATTGGTTTTGGATCAGTCATCCATGTAAGTGCTTGAGTAGCTGTTACAAAGTATACATCTGGTCTGTAAATATACGATACGTTTACGTAACTTAACTAACTTGATACTGTATCTTGTATAGCCAGAATGAAATTGTCAGTTTTTACTTACAATGTCACTGCCCAATCAAGGAATTTCGATAGGCCTCGTTCGAGTTCCTTTATTTGGAACCAATTTGTATGGAAAGGCATCATGTATGGCGCTCTATTTTGTTCATAGTATCGATTGAAATCTTCTTGTAACCATTCGAAGACCTCTTCAGGGTCGTGATTGTGAAGTACACATTGATCCAGATAAGGGCAATGTCCCCCTTCGTAGCTTTCAACGTAATGCGCATTTAATGGCAATTCCCATACACCTAAAAGCAAGAACAATGGATATTAAAGAAAATTTGATAAACATAAGAATGCAACACTTTCTATCATATTTTTAAGATATACCTGGGAATGATTTAGTGGGACATGTTCCTGCTTTACATTCATGTGGAATCTTGTAATCGAGAGTATACGGCCAAATTGGTACTTTTAACGGTGAAATTCCAATACTGCTGTCGTATATGTATCCAAAGTCTTCCAGTACTTTGTATTGGGTGTTCCGACCTGGTTTTAAGTACGGTGCCCTCATACCGACAACTTCGCTTCTCGTGATGTTGCTAAAATGCTTAAGTATCTCTCGCATTCCTATCATTTCTCCAACCCACTCTTCGTATCCTTTATCTTCCAAACCCTTTTGCAGTCTAAACAATATTCGCAATAAATATTACCGCTATATTTAATAACAATGTACATATTTCACTGGTATCAATACTCACGATATAGTTTCGGTAGCAATTTCGTGTCCGTCGTGAGCTAAACTTTGAACCATATTGTAATTACAATATTCATGCGAAATGAAGAAAGTACCTTTTAACGGACAATTATTAGGATTCAGTCTGTCAGTGGCAAATATCTTTTGGTAATGATCAAAGTTATTATGATTTATCGCTCCGTCGAATGTCATTATTATCATTTGAGGTGTCTGAAATGAATTAGAACTGTATGAAAAATACGCTATAGATATGCTTTGAAGAAAAATTCAGAATGAAACGTGTACATATACTTACTTCATCTGGGTGAATACCACCAGGAATTATCGTGCCGTCTCTCGAGCAAAAGCAGTATGGTAATTGACAGACCGATGTATCGCATTTTTCTGCTAAATCGGTGGGTGGTTCCGTTACCGGTGCCGGAGCTAAAGTTGGAACAATTTACATGAATTGTAACGAAAGTACCAACGTGTAATAATTGTTCAAGAAAATATTTACTTGTAGCGATGGGCCCACATCGAGCTTCATTTTTGAAGGTGCAAAATTTACTAATATCGTCAAAGTGTAATCCTGATGGACACCTGTTTAGGTATGGGTATCCATCGACGCACTGTACAAATTTTATTCGAAAAAATACATTTATTTGTATTTATTTCATATAAAATAAACATTAAAATAGCGTGAAGCGATGGATAGACACAAGAACCAAATACGAAATTAATCACCTGGTAAAACCTTCTACACGTTGCAGGGTCAGCAAAGTTACCATTGCCTTGACCTTCGGGGCATGTAAATTCCTCATCTTTCTTCTCTTCGTCCTTTTTAGAATTTTTTTGTCCGTAGACTATAAAATAAATTGTATATGTATATATATATATATATATATATATATATATATATTCATTGAAAACAAAAAAGTTTACGAAGAAATACGATACATAGAATAATTGAAACCATCGAGTATGAGAATACTCGAACCTCGGGAAAAGGTCAAGGTTGGGGACTGTTTCAACACTTCTACAGGCCGAATACTTGATTATTCAACATTCTACTCGCATTCTGTCCCTTAATTCCCCTCACATCTCGAAACACATATACTATACATATGTATAACGTATCAAATGAGTCTTGAATATTTTGTTCATTTTTCTCTTCAATCAATGAATTTATATTGAAAACCATAAAATTGTACAAGTCCATAGTCCATGTTTACACATATATGTATATGCATAGTATAGGTAACGTATATCCTTTGTTTCTTATTTGATTTTCAAATAAACTATTATTGTATACTGGGTTTCATTAATCTGTCAGACTTGACAGATTTCTTCGAATCACGCGCTCCACACAAAACGGAAACGTACATACATCAGGATTGCCAATTGTAATTGACAGTAATCGAAGTTATTTCAAACATTTTTGGCCGATTAAATGGAACAAATATACTATAGGTGTTATGTGTGCGTGCGTATACAGAAAGCTGTAAAACTTGTAGAAAATGCCTGGCAATGAGAGAAATTCCAAGGGTAAAGACGGTTGAGAAAGCGAGGAAGATAGCAAGAATTCCAACGTTCCGAGACATATCGAACACCTGTATGCATATTTAACTGTGTATCGAAATAGAGATTCAGTCACTCGTGTTTAGCGTTTCTTGTCCGATGGATAATTCTTTGCGACGTAAGAATGTTTACGTTATTCTTAACTTACTAGTAAGATACTTTTGAATAATTAAACTTTAATATTTTATCTTTACGCAGACGATAGTCCAACAACACATAAAAATTAATATTTGAAAGTGTCGATGCTAACGTGCAATAACAGTATAAAAATTTTCTTATTAGAATACTTGGTTGATAGTTGTGTTGCATGGCTTATCACTCAAAACGTGATCAATCCAAGTCATTTTCAGTATTTATCTCGTCTTTTTTTCAGAGGAGGGAATAGCTTGAAAAAATTATAATAAAACGCTGATACGAAGAGGGAATATACGCGAGCGCGTATTGGGATAAGGATCGTATCTGTTGTGTGTCGTTGATAATGTGGAAAGTGAAGGTACCGCTCTGGCAATGACGTTGTGGTAAATCGTTCAGGTGCAACATTTCCATCGGCCGTGTACCATGCACACATGCAAGGCCGACTCTAAGTACTTTGGCGCCCAGGGAAACAATACAAGCCTCCTTTAATCGCTTATTTCGTGGTATATGTATTCTACATATGTATACTGTACAATACATATGTAGTATACATTCAGGATATTACCAAAAATACGAGACCTCTTAACAAAATCAATTCTTTACGACAATACGAAAGAAAAAATCCTTTTCCATTTTACTATCTGAAACTTCATTCTCGAGATATAACTGTGTATGTAAGTTGTTTAAGTTATAAGGTACATAGATATACATGTATACATATACATGTAGTATATAAACACGTGGACACGTGTTTCCGATACGCGAGTACGCATACGCACAGTCAGCTTACTGAAATACGAATGGTGAGCGGCAACAGTTACGTTAACAACATTTTACATTAACGTTACATTTACAAGTAACAAAGCTTCGGATCTTAAAGTGGCAAAAAACTTTTTCCATTCCCTGTTACAGCAAGAATTGATCCTAATGTTTTCTAAGAAAATGTTAACACGTAAAACTCAAACAAGACTTGAAACAAAAGATAGCAACGTTAATATCGGTATATCAGTTGATTCCTTTTTAGAGCCTAGGGGCGCATAACGTGCCTTGCCTGTTCCTGTTTTGTCACGGCCCTGTACCCATGTACCCATACCTCTACCGTGAATTCAGATCCTCTGTGAACGTGGCGCACGGCACACCATATACGTATACGACAAAACTTATGTAAACACACCAGTGAAACCGCTATAGAACCTAATTTAACATCGCTTTAGCGCACCAGTCGTTGCTTCCTTCATCTACTCACTTTTATCGGTGTCAGACTTTATTTACGACCTGTCTAGCTCTGTATTTACATACTTTGCAAATGGACTTGTTCGATTATACTCAAAGTATCGATTGTAAAAATTGAGTAATAGTAACTAAGAAATTTGCGACTTAAGATGTATGAGAGAATGTCCACAGAAGGTCGTTCCTTCGTTGTACCCATCAACGTTTCTAGCGATTCAGTTATGCGACACTGATTAGTTGATTACCATGATAATCCTTCGACAGGGGATTACCGATTGTTCGATAAACAGATTAAAATTCAGGTTAAAGGCAAAGAATTTGATCTTTAACTTGAACTTTCGTTAATGAACACTTTCACTGATGCTTCGTCGTCGAGGATACATTAATCAGTTCCTCTATGGATATTGTATAGTGAGTCTCGTTATACATACAATACGATATAAAAATTTGTTACTTAAAACTCTTGTCGGGATCTTTAATATTTACGCTGCTCTTTTGCTTTCTTCTAGATTTGCTACTGGTTCGTCGGTATAAGCGTTAAAATGAAACCGCTATGCGGCGCTTTTATTCGTCACTCGGATAAAATGTTGCTCATCTTTGGCTGACTGTTCCTTTCGAATGAAGCGTCGCGACGCTACGCTTCGATTTTCTCTTTTTTGATCACCGTCGCGCGACGATGAAAGATTCCGATAAGAGGTAAGGAAAGTGTTGGTTGTTCGATCGACGAGACCAGTTCGATACTAAGCAACATGCAATCCATGATTATTTATTAATCGTTAATTATTAATTAATTAATTATCTCATCGTGATTACCAATTAATCGGTAATTATCAATGAGTAAATGTTATTGTTGATTACTCGTTAACTAATTAATTATGATTATAGGTTATTCCATGTGAAAGAAACAAAAGTTTATTTTTATTTTACCTAGCGTTCAATCCAACAGCTTTCGATCCGCTGTTCGTTAAATAAAACGTACAATCTGTATCTGAATTATACAATAAAAATTCATTCGATCGAACAAGCACCGCGAATAAAGAGTCTCTGATACAAGTACCAAGTCGTTTCCAGGTGTTTCTTCCTACCTGAGACGACCAGGACGGCGTAAAGAAGCAATTTCCTCCTCCGTGGCAGCATTGTTCGGCAGGCGGTGCAGCGACGAGTAGGATTTATGGGAGCAGTATTCTTTTACGGTTTTCGAGATATTTCACAGCACTGTCTCGCTCCCGAATGAGTATCAGCGTTGAGTTCGTTGTGCACGGAGATTTGTCATCGGTGGAACACTTTGGTAAACTTACTCTGGCAATACTGACTAGCAGGGTTCGCCAGCAATGCCTTCTGCCGTGGCTACGGTCTCGGAAACCGGACGGTAGGAACTGTTCTCAGCTCATTGGCTGACCACTTTCTACCACCGTCTCGGTCGACGAGAAATCTTGGCTTTTATTTGCGTTACAACGCTCACGGTTCCGTGTAAAGTCTGCTGAAAGCTGAAAGTTTTTATTATCCTTCTCGTTAATTCAACGCCTGCGGTTTGTCTAATGTAGACATTGACTCTCCGTGGATGAGACTGAACATTTAGATGCAGACACTTCCCATGTAAAACCTTCTGCACGATTTTCTTCTCACGTGAAAATTATCTTCTGTACTCGAAATGTACGATACGGATACATATTTATATGGAACGTTACAAATGAATAGAAGACACGTGTATAGAAACATACATTTTATTTGGAGTATTTTACAGAATTATACAGTAGAAGAAATAACTTTTAGGAAGCGCATAATTATCATCAGCCAGTGAGATCAGCCGTCGGAAAAAGGGGTGGGTTTATAGTTCGATTTTAGCCATTCGAGGCCCCCGTTTTTCTTTTTCTTTCTTCAACGATCGCTTTATCTTTGTTTCCCCTCTGTTTCTTTCTCGAGACTCGGCTGACTTCCAATAAGGATTATTATATCCTGGTTCGCGTTCCGTGATGCCAAGTTCTTGTGCCATCAGGTTAATCACGCCGAGGCTGTCTTCACCCAACAGATGCTTGGTACGATTTGTGAAATTCAAAGACCAATTTATGATCGCGTTCCATTTTTCCTGCTTCTTCAGTATACGATGCATAACGTGAGGAAAATGGAGAACGACATCACCGAAGAATAGCGTGTTTTCCACTATACCGGATATTGCTGTGAATATATGCAAAGAGTACATAAACTATAGACATATGTTTAAACATTTCTTTAAATTACCACTTTGTATAGTAAGATTTTGTGGCAAAAATCTACGTTCCGGATGGTAACTTGCACTTTCGATCACTGTTCTACTCGATTCGATTATTTTGATCATATTTTCACCAAGAATCATCATCATTTTGTATAAACGCTCATAGTTGTCTATCTTTTCCAAACGTTTTACTGCATCCGCGTGGTCCTTGCGTTGATGTTTCAACGATTTTTTTACTAATGAAATCTCAGTTAAGGAACGTTTATAAATGTCTTTCTTTTGTTGTCGCTGTTCGAGATTATTAATACTAAAGTTAAGAATTAGATCTACCGATTATTATTGCATTAAAAGGGTTCCATTCACATGATACTTTCCAACATATCAAAATAATGATTTTGTGTTTGTATAGTTATATTATATTATATTCTTTATGGATACATAACTCTTCGTAGGCTTCAGTTTCGAATGAACCGTTTATTCGCGGTTCTTCGTTCATTGGCTGGCCGTCGATTGATGAAGAATCATGCTGCACGTGCGCAGCACCAGCACCAGCACCAGCACCAGCACCAGCACTAGCACATGTCAATATCGATACGACTACTATGCGAACGAATACGCGTGGCATTTTGTAAGATCAAAGAACGTTCGACATAAAAAGCAATGTATCGATCGCAAGCGAATAAACGTACGCCGAAAAGTGATCGGTGATTTCTAATAATCCTTACATCTTTTCAAAAGAAATTATGAAATTTTTAACGGAATTTAATCGACGTCGACGGCGATGTAGCTAAACCACAAACAACTTTTCAACATTGATATTTTCTCGATACTGCTGCCACCTTTCGACTCGTATGCAACATCGAGTGTGTCAACTTCACCGACGATTTACTTAAAAGACTTGTTACGGTTAATTCGTAATTATACAACGATCACAAACATTTCGATCGTGACGTGTGTACAAGTTTTTACAGTATTTATTGGCATTGCACGCGAAGAACGTTAATATCTTATCAGTGTTTGTATACGAGTAATGATAGCATTCGGTTCAGGTTATGCCATGGTCGTATCACATAGGAAAAGCTTGATTCATTCTGCGTGCATATGGCAGTGATTTAATTTGATATGACAATAATTTACCCGCGTTTAACGTCTAAATAATATACATAATTACTTGGTAATTTGAGTCCCGTGTCCGGCAACAAACATGGCAGCGACAGATGATACAAATCTCGATGTGAGTATAGTACTGTTGCATACGATTACCTTAATCGTGTATTTTCAGATTACATCATTGAAAATTATATTAAAAGTATTGCGTGCACTTTGTTTTTCAAAACTGAACTCTCCATTTTTAACGTAAATTCTTTATTTCAAGTTCAAAGTTACGATGGAATATGCTGATCCGCAGAGTATCGAGGGTGAAATGACAGTAGGACCCAAACAGAAATCAAACCTCGGGGAACCTGAATTTAATACTTTAGACGAACCAATCAGAGATACAATTGTAAGTTTATATTGACATTATATTTGTATTCAATCAAAGGAATATAATTAATTATATTAGTAATTTTTCTTGCAGCTCAGAGATGTTCGAGCAGTGTGTAAAAAGTTTTATCATGTTTTATATCCCAAAGAGAAGAAAAGTTTATTAAAAGAATGTGAATATATCAAGAAATTCTTTTTATACACAATATTCTGTGAATTGCTTAATTATAAGAAATGTTTTCTATTTTAGGGGATCTTTGGGGACCATTAGTATTATGCACATTCATGGCAATGTGAGTTTGATGCTTGTTTTAGATTTCATTGAAATTTCATACATTACGTAATTGTAATCATTATTTTTTTCAGGATATTACAAGGTTCTTCCGATGCAGCAGATAATTCAAACGACGGCGGACCAGAATTTGCAGAGGTTTTTGTAATTGTATGGATTGGATCTATGGTTGTTACGTTAAACTCCAAACTATTGGGTGGCAATATGTAAGATATACAGAATTCAATATTTTCCTTTTTAGCGTTTACAAATACAAAAGATTGCATAAGATTTGTCATATATATATAGCAATGTACCAGGGATATATATACAAAACTGTTGACTTTTGATTTTACAAATGTAAAAATAACTATTCAAAATTAAACAGGACAAAAATTGCTCGCGATTCTTTATTTTATACGAGTTTTGTTTTAATGTGTTGTAGATCCTTCTTCCAAAGTATTTGCGTCTTAGGATACTGCTTGCTACCAACTGCCATTGCTCTAATTTTATGTAGAATTATATTAATGGCAGACCAGACTACTTTCCTATTCAGTCTAAGGTTCATAATTTCTATGGTCGGATTCGCATGGGCAACATATGGTTAGTATCAGTTTACATTCTATATTTACAACTACGATTATGCGCAATTATATTTTAGCATCGATGGCATTTCTTGGCGACAGTCAACCCGTAGGGAGGAAAGCTCTAGCCGTGTATCCGATATTTTTATTCTATTTTGTAATTTCATGGTTGGTTATATCTCATACTACATAAAATGAAATATATAACATTTCCAATAAGAAGACTGTACATTGCTCCGTATCTGTGCACAAAAAAAAAAGCAAAGAAATCGAAAGCCGAGAGAATCGTAGTAGTCTGCATTCTACTTTGTAATTGTTAAAAAATCCAAGTGTACGTTGGTATACCCTATACCAAGTTCTCTGTAGATAAACCTTATTATCGTAGATGCATATGTTGATGCACTTCAGAATATCACCCGTTTGTACGTCAATTATAATTATCTATACACAGAATATATACGAGTATAAGATGTAAAACGATGAATAATACTTAAGTAAATTATTATCAGATTGTTATATATTTGTACAGAGGCTTGATAAGGAGAATTTAGTCAGTGTAAAACAGAAAATAATTTCAGCATCGTACCGATTTAGGATTTCTTTATAATCTTCCATGATGTTTCTATACAGCAATCGTTAACGGGTTATTTTTTCACAAGCTGACATTCCTATTAATGCGTTTATATTATTTGTTAATCGTTTAAGTTACTGAAATTATTAAGAGATTTAAAGAAAAGCATTAAATCACATAATTTGTACTTTTTGCATATATGTATTGTGTACATAATGTTGTCTGTACAATTAAAATCAAACATTCAATAAAATACATCATTTTGTATAACTTGGGTAAATTCCTTTCTCTTCACCAGAAACTTCACATGTGAGAAAAATATCTTTCTAATTTTTTGAGGAGGATTTTGCTATCACAGTGAGCAGGATACGCGCTCAAAGACTTTTGTACCGCGATGTAACATGTTTGAAGATCTCCAACCTATGGAATTTCAACTAATAAGAATGTATTATTGTATAAGTAGAGTATATTATAATATGTAATACGTTACATCATAGGCTAAGAAAGCACTATTAAAGTGAGGTTCGTAAATAAAATTAGCAATGTTGGCTGCAGCATGAAAATATGTTCTCGCAGCTGTTAGATTTCCATTACGTATTTTTATCACACCAAGATTATTGTATGCCAAAGCATGTCTATTGTCGCTTATAATAGCTAGCTTTAGACATTCTTCCGCCATTGTTATATCACCTACTGTCTGAAATTATTTTTAAGTGATTCTTTCACCAAACAAGTTTCAACAAAAGAAGTTGTTTTACGAGGGCATTTCAATTGTATACGTACAAGAGCAATGTGAGAAATATTATACCATACGTCAGCTATATTTTCATCGGTAGAGAGATTAAGCGCTCTTTCAAAGCACGATATAACATGGTCGTATTGTTGAGAATAAAAGCAGCACAATCCAAGATTATTGAACAATTCTACGTTGTATACACCCATTTGTAATAATCGCCTGCATAGATAATATGATAATGTTGCATTTCAAATCATTTTTAACTATTATATTTTTATTTGTGTTTACCTGTAGTAACGTAATGCCAATTCTGGTTGATCATTGTAAAAATGATGCATCCCGATACTAGCTATCGCTTCTGTATGCGAAGCATCTTCCTGAGCAACGATCTTATAATATTTCAACGACATGCTCGCATTATTCAGACCATCGAATACACGGCCCATTTCGGTGAGAATATTTACATCGTTAGGAAAATACTCAAGACCTTTTTTACATACATCTAAAGCAGCCAACGGCTGATCCAATCTAATGTAAACTCTAACAAGCCTCAACACCGTTTCAATGGATTTACAATCTTTCAATGCCGACTTAAATTGCTGCTCTGCATCTCTTATTAATCCTAAATTATAATAACATTTTCCAAGTTGTACTTTCCACCACCAGTCTTTATACTGACACACTTGCGTTGCCTGAACTGCCAAATCTAGTGCCTGTGAATAGTATTATGGTAATTTAAATTAAATGTAAAGCGTACGTGTTTGTTAAACGCGTATGTATACTTACGTATCTTACATCATGTTCGTGGTAATATATGTACTCGAACAGTGGTTTCGCGATACTGGGTTTATTTGCATACTTGGAAATATTTAAACGTGAGAGTTGTATAAAAGGTCCTCCAGGCTCTGTTAACATAGATGCTGTACCTAATCTATACATTAATTAAAATTTAATTTTCTGTTACAATAGTTATCAGATTAATCCATAATAATAATTGTACCTAACACTTCGACCAGAACTTGCAGTGATCGGTCTGGCAGTCATAGCAGTTCTCGGTGTTCTTAATGTTTGCTCAACAGATTGAGACATTGCAGATTGAGTAGCTGGTCTCGCAACTCCTGTCAGTGGCCTCCCTTTATAAAGTATCATGTTTTTAAAATTTATATTTATTTTTATACGAGCTTTCTACCTATATTCTACTATTCAAAGTTGTTTAAAAGTTTCTAGACCACACCTGACTGTGTTTTTGGTCGAAGATATTGTCCTATATGTGATGTACCAGGGTTTTTTAAGGATGTTCCTGGCCTAGGCATGGAGGATATCGTATAGTTATCTAGTAAACTTTCAGCAATTCCTTCTTCTTCGCCTTCAATGTCGTCTACATATACTTGTAACGTTAAAGCACGCATTTTTAACACCCAAATAGCCTGAAGAATATTATATTTTGATAAGAAACAGATGGTAAATAACTATTGCAGTACATTAACAAGAAGTATACCTGATCTAATGGATTTTTTCTTAATAAGTCTGTGCATATTGTTGCACATTCTTCATACTTTCCTCTACTGAAGAAACTTAGAGCTTTAAACAGCTCCATACGTTCATGGAAAATTCAATGCAGAATAATTAGAAAAGCTGATCGAATAATAAGAAACAAACTTATACCATGGTATTGTATTGTATCTAAATATACCTAAGTATACTAAGTGTAGTAGATAATCGAATTTTCCATGTATGAACTTATTGATTATTTCGCTTATAACCCTATCTGCATAAACCAAGGGTAGATCAACATTATATTTTATACAAATATAATTCGTTAAAAGAATCACTGAAATTCATATAATATCGTGATTTTTCATGATGATAAATTACATTTAAAAAATAACAAAACACTATCATGTGTTTCAATCAACTTTATTGTATACACCAAAATTTGAAAAAGATTATATAATATATTATTTATATTATAATACACTTATTACATCTGTTTCTTTTTTCTTTTTATGAATCGTATGTAACTTGCAATTGATACTGCAAATAATGGAAAGTTTTGCTACGAATACAATTAGGTCCGAATATTTGTTATCGAAATTAATAATATTTTGCGATATCTGTATAACACAAATATGAACATATGTATACATATATTTACATTTTTTATTTAGCATTCAACAAGCTTTTGACGATTTCTTTAAAAGAAAAAGTATAGAGGAACAATGTACAGAAGAATCTTTGATACGTCTGCACGAAGCCTTTTTGGTAAATTTCAAAAGATTAAACGGTTAATCAGAAATATTGATATATTAATTGTTCTGCATAACCAATCCAATTTGACTAATTTTTAACTTTAAAACGATAATTTATAGACTTCAGAGAGCGAGGAAATGAACATTTCCCAATTATACGATGCTTTCGAAAATATATTACATATTAAGTTGTCGATGGATGAATTTGAAATACTATTTAAAAAAGTAAGAGTGCGAGAAAAATAATTATTACTGTATTCTGGTAATTAACATCTTTTTATTTATCAATTACAGGTGAACTTAAAAAGAGATGGAAACATTACGTGGGATGAATTTATTTCTTATTTATTAGTGGAGTTTCAGAAAAAAGACACTGCTTTACAATGGCAGATATTGCAACTTCCAATAACAAGCATGCCTCAACTTTTAAAATCCCATCATCGTACACCTATACACAAAATTATCTTTTGTCCCGAAGTTTTATCTGTACGAATACAGCTCGACATTCAAATAAATCACCATTATTTTCAATAATTACGTATACCTTATAATCTAATGTGTACATTTAATCGAAAGTTCTTTTTCACTTATCTCTAGGACAGAACTGTAGGTTTTCAAAGGGGATGTTACTTAACGGTAACTAAGGAAGGAATCATAAATTATTGGTCGTTGGATTTAGAATATGTACGTAGCGTACAATCTGTAAATCGTTAGTATTTTTTTTAATGCTTAATGCTTAATGCTTAATGCTTAATGTGTCTTTATTGTTTTTCTAAATTACTATCATTTCTACCGTTCCAGCGTATTTAAGAGTACAACAAACCTTAATAACTGATATGATCGTAATGCCTGATGTACAGATAGTGTGTACGAGTTCTACTGAATGCGATTTGAGATTTTACGATACAGTGGCGAGAAAATTTGATCTTCGAGTAATGGTTTGTTACATTTTCGATGATATCAGTGACTGTCTTCATAAATAATATATCTCTTGTATATCGTATTAATGCTTTGGTATTAATACTTAGATATCAGGCTTAGAAAAAGCAGTAACCTGTATGAATTACTACTTCAGTAAAAATATCAAAGAAGATTCGTATATCGTACTCGGAGATATGAATGGATCTATTAAAATTATCTCTTTTTGTCCTGTGGATAGAGGACCATTTAGTCAAGAACCTCAACGTGATACTTGTTTCATTCGTTATGAAGCTGTTCTTAAGGTAAATCCATACTAATATTCAATGTTTTGTTTTTATTTTACATCATATCTTCCGTTACAGTATGATTAAAAATGTTTTAGGGCGAATTCCCAGGGATGAAAGTTACAGAATTTAAGAAAATTCACACAGACTGGGTGAAGCAGGTAGCTTATTACGATAGTCTCAAAGCTTTTGTGTCCAGCAGCAGATGTTGCAGTTGTTCTCTCTTAATTAGCGATCTCACAGGATCAAGAATTCAATACAGATTTAAAGTTAACATGGGCATATCTTGTTTTACCGTTTGTGAGGGTACTTTTAACGAACCGAGCCCTCTAATTTTATTCTTCTAATCCGCGCATTCTAATATAACGAAAAATATGAATATTTAGAAAGCCAAACGTTGGTAACTGGTGGTCCGGATTGCATAGTTCGGGTTTGGAACCCCTTTGTGACAAAACGAGCGAACAGTACTTTTCAAGGTCATCATGCAGCTATTTGTGCTTTGGTTACTCAAAATACTGGAAAACGAGTGTACTCTTTATCAAAAGATAGATGCATCAAAGTGTGGGACGTATTAGCTCAATCTTGCATTCAGGTTTCAACTACTGCTATATACAAAAATAAACAATTCCATTGACCATATACATGTATTCTTCTATACTATTTTATTTTTCTTTATAGACATACAATGGCCTGCCCAGCAAATTAGGTGAACATACATCGATGACCATAGTTTACAATTCCTTAAATCACAAGATGATCATTGCTAGTACTATGATTGCAGTGATCATTTGCGAACCTATAGTCGACCAAGAAACGTCTGATGGCTTTACTCACACAAAACCAGTCAGCTGTGTTTTATACAATCATCTTTATAAAGTGGTACTACTTCTTTACATGTATAATTTATAACAGTGTTTTCCAAATAGAGGGATGCGACCCTCTTATACATAGCATATGTATAATATTATCCATACCAAATTTTTAATTCATTCTAAACCTAGGTAGTTTCTACTGGACTGGACTCTTGTATAATAGTTTGGGACCCATGGCTTGGAAATCGTTTGTATTTAGTAACGCATGCACACAGTCAATTCTTGTACGGTCAGTATCACGATGTTGAAATAACTGCTGCTTGTTTCGATGAATCTGAACAGTTGTTAGTGACGGGTGCTCGCGATGGAACACTAAAAATATGGAATTTTAATACGGGTACTTGTTTACGAAACATGGCAGTTGAAAATAATTGGTACGTATTTCTCGTACTTGAAAATTTTCTTATAAAATCACTTTTCATATATTAATTGAATACATTTGCTTTACTTCGTAACACGAAGCGAAATAACAAGTTTAGCTTGGGTTGAAAGTCGAGTTTTATCCAGCGGTTGGAATCGTCAAGTTATAGAATTTGCGATCTCTGATACGAATACATATAAAAAGAGTTGGGGAGTGAGGCATACCGATGATATTCTTTGTTCTGCCATCTGGTATCCCCAAGTCTTGGCAACGGCAACTTATAACGGAGAAATAATACTTTGGAGATTAGAAACGGGTCAACCCTATAGAAAATATAAAGTTTACGATCCAATGACTAGGTGATATGATACGTATACATATGTAGTATACATTTCTCTACTTTCTCTAATAATATCCAATGGAAAACTATTCAATGTGAGTAATGTGTCGTATAGATTTAACGTAAAATATGAGAAGAGTGAGAAGACGATTGAATCAAGTAAATTTAAGGAAAACGAGGAAGAGCAAGTTACTCTTAAAACCAGGTAACGATATCGTTTATACATACGTATACGATGATTATAAGAATCTATGTAAACTTTTATGCGTAGAACACGTTCTAAGGCTTCTAAACACCACGAGTCGATATTAAATTTAATAAGAACTGTTGCTGTTCGCGCTATGATATTTTTAAGTACACGGCCTACAGGGCCTAATATTGGGACGTTATTGGTATCCCTTGACTCGGGTTTAATACAAGTATGGAGCCATCATCCTGCCGGTGGATTTTTAGAAGCTTTTTCAGTTATTCATTCTGTAGGTGACTGTGCGTTATCGTTAACAACCGATCCTGGGAATCGTTTCCTTGTAACAGGTAAAAAAAAAAAAAAAAAAAAAAAAGGAAAGAGAGAAGTAACATACATATATTTCTTTTACAAATTGAAATTTATTGATTGTAAACTTGCCAACGTTATTTATATATAATATTAATCTCTCGTAATCGTATAGGAATTTAATACACAATTATAATTACGTTAAAATATACATATATCATACGATTTATTATAGGGATTAGGGTTCATAAAATCTAACATTGTCGACATTGTACAAAAGTATAAAAGAACAATAAACTTTTAGAACACGTTAGTCCTCATTTAAAACTACAGATGATCTTACTAAAATTGATCTAGGGCATAACGCTGGATACATCAAAGTCTGGTATCTTGCGAATTACTTGATACCAAATTCTCCTAAGACATGCATGCCTCTTTTACGATTAGAGTTTCCATTTTTATGGAAAGATAAAATAAACGGAAGAGCTAAGAGAGCAGTACGGAATCAGGCTTTGCCACTGTTACTGTCTTCTGTGCGGGGGCACGATATGGCTGTCATGTCCGTTCAAATAATTCCCGACGCACGTATTATTGCTAGGTAATAAATATCAGTTATCCTTCATTTTAATATTAATTTCTCGTACAAGTTAAAAGTGATTTCTTTGTATTATTCTCAAGTGGCAGCACAGATCGCACAGTACGTCTGTGGACACTCGGAGGACGTTACATATCAACCTTTGGAACGTACAAAGCATGGTTGCCAATTTTACCTACAATTCCAGCGTACAAGTATTTCCATGATTACAGACTTCCACCAGATATTAAGAGATTTGCTAGCTTTACGACCATGAAGGTAATTTAATATGTTCTAAGTAAGAATGAATCGTTGATCGCGTTGTGTTTTAAAAAGGTTCTCAAGGGAGGCGTCAGGAAAATCGCAACTGAATCTGAAACCGATATATCGGATTTTGAGAAAGCTTTGATCCCTGAACGTCAACACCCCACGATAGACGGAAGAAAGCTTACTATTTCGGTTATGAATAAATCAGTCTTGATGCTTTTCTTCGATTATCCGGTGTTGGATGGCTCTTTACCATATGTAAATATGCTTTTATTTTATACAATTTTCTCTTTACCATAGAGCAAATTTATCAGAATTGTCTTGACCAGAACATACTTTAATCGAACAAATGTTACAGATACCTATATACACACATTTAAAATTAAGACCTTTGGAAATTGTTAAAACGCCAAAATTACCATCGCTTCTGGAAAAACAAAAAGAATTGACGTAAGTCGTTCAAATTTATATTTGAATTGCTGAATTTGCGGAACTATACGTATATTTGTATAAAATTGTTTAGTAGAAAACACAATTGAAAAAAAAAAAAAGAAGACTGTGGAGCAATGGAGCAATGTTCTACGAAAAGCGACGTTGCGTAAAATAATAAAGACTGACGGAACTAAATAATACTTATTTCATTAAAATACTTTGATACCACGGTTCATATTAATTAATTACATGAAGTATTTTTTGTCCAATACAAAGAATCAAAAAATAAATAGGAATAATACGGTAGAGTCTGATTGAAATTGTAAAAAATAGTAGCACTTATTCACATGGCATCTTTAGAAAACGCAGTCTTACATTCTGTTAATGTTAAATCGATTGTTTCAACAATGATGTGATATAAGGTCATTCTTATATCGCAACACAGTGCATATGGTATTACAAGCACTTTCATTATAAGGCACAATACGAATTTAACAACATTGCATTCGACAAACTATACCTTTCATTCGGTTTCCATCATGGAATAACGCGGCGGGGTTTTCCAAATCGCACTGGATGTGCGCTTCAATCTATTTCTATCTATACCTTGGAACATTTCGGACAAGTCTGGCGTACACTTCTTCGTGTCGAAAAATCTGGAGACTGCTTCATCGGGAATGTATCGTTGCATCGCCAATTGTGTTTTACGAATATGCGGCTGTGCCCAGTACGGAATTACATGCTTTGGTCTGGTTTCATCATCAGATTCGCCTTCATCGGGTTCACTGTCCAAAATGTAATTCGTTGGACCCTGATTATGTTTGCTGGCATATTTTTCTTGCGCTATAAGAACTTGGTTTTTAGCTCTCAATGCTTCGGCAGCAGCTTGTTGCTGAGCTCTTGCTTCGGCTTCTTTTCGTTTCTCGGCCTCTTGTTCGCGACGTCTTTGCTCTGCCAACAGACGTTCCGCTTCTTCTTGTTCTTGCAAACGTTGTAAACGTTGTTGCTCTTCCTGTCTCCTCCTTTCTTCTTTCTCCTGGGCTCGTTGAATTTGAATTAGACGTTTCCTTTCCATTTCCTCGCGTTGCTTCTCTTGCATTTGTTGCACCAAACGTGCCTTCTCCTCTCTTTCTTTTTCGGCCTTGTGACGTTTCTCCAGTTCCTGTTTCTCTTTTGCTTCTCTCGCCAGCTTATTTTTCAATTCTTTTTCTTGTCTTTTCCTTCTCTTTTCTTCCGTTTGAAGTCTTAGCGCCTCTTCGCGTTTCTTCCGTGCATCCTCGTCGTTCATTTTCCGTTTCTTCTCCTCTATTTTTTCTATCGAGTTACGTTTATTTACAGACTTGACAGAATGAATGAAAGAATCCACCGATGTAATGATGTTCGAACGCGTGTTCGCGATACGGTTAACAGACAATGGCAGCTGAATTTTTGTCTTTCCCAACGGTGTCGTTTTTTGTACGTACTTTTGATTCACCTTCTCGGCAGGAGTTGCTATTCTACTAATCTTTTGCGTCGATAGCATTTTGTTCTCTTTATATTCATCCGTGTCCTTGGCATACTTCGCTAACGAGATTTTCTTAGCTTTCGCGAGCGATTTCCGTGCTAATTTCTGAACAACCGTCTTCTCCATAGTCTTCGTACTTTCCGAAGATTCGGCTTGCGCAGCGGCTATAGCTCGTGTTTTTGTTCTGGTAAGTCTAGTTGGTACATCGACCTCAACTTTTGGACTGTTCAGACCTGCCTGCTCGAATGCCTCGACCCTCTTTTTTACAGACTCCTTCGCATAAGGACTGAACAAAGCGTTTGGTTTGTAACTGGCCTTTACTTCTTGGAGAACTGTGGTCGTGTTCACCTCCTTCAAAGTTGGTTTCGCTGGTGTATTAAGAATTTCATCTTCGCTCGACGATACAGAGTGTACAATAGGTCTCTGCCGTTTTCTACCTTCGTGTCTAACGTTTGCTTTGGATTTTTTTATTTCAGGCGACGATTTGTCATCCGTTATTAAATCATTAAATTCTTTGTCTTCTACAACTTCTTTTAACGGATGCATCCTGTCCTGCAGGGCTTTCAAAGAAGGTGACGAAAGTTTCGATGTTCTAGATGATCTAGATTCGGACATCGGTAGATTTGTCTTCTGTTGATTCTTCTTCTCTGGAACACTGCCAATGGCTTTAGTAATCGTCACAGTTTCGTTCAATTTAATCGCTGACAAAGGTTCCAAAACTACCGTTGCATTCATCATTTTTTGCATGGTAATCGTAGAATTCAAATTCATTGTGGAGTTCATGATAGGAATAGGTTTCTCGATCGCATCTTCGTACATGGAGGGCTCTTCCATAACTTCCGTTCTAGGAGCGATAACTGTATCGTTAATGGTTTTAGATTCCTTGTTACTTAAATTGTGATTTTGCGACAAAGTTCTCTTTCTAGTAGAGTGCCTCATTATCGATGACTTTCTTAACGTTTCCTTCTTATCGTTTTTATTCTGCAGTGTCGTCGTGTTGTTCGTTGAAATATTATTCTGCAAATTTGTATCCTCGGTTTTCTTCGCAGTGCTTTCTCCAAGTACATTTTCTTCTAATTTACTATGCTTCCTAGGACCTTGAAATGACTCTTCGTCAGAGCTACTTTTGGCAGGCTTTTTTCTTTTACTTCGAGTCTTACGTATCTCCTAAAAATTCGAAAAAATGATTTAATGTTGGTAATTTTGTCATATTAAAGATATACATACATATATATACATATTATTATATACGTAGTGAAATATTAACAATACAAACTTTTATAATAGTATTATCCTTCTCAGGTGACAGCGGTCTTCGTAATTTTGTATTCAACGTTATCGATTGTTGTCTCTTAATACTGTCTGCCGCTTTCTTTGATGCTTCTCTTTTTGTTCGACCAACCATCACTTCCGTAATGTTTTCATTCATCGTTTCGTCTCTGTTATCATTACTTTTCTCTTTAATGCTCATAGTGACAGAGCTTGGTAATGTACAATCGACAATGTCATCTTCTGGAATGGTTTCGATACGTTGCGCTCCTTTTTTCCTTAGAGGTTTTGGTGTTTTTGAAATTAAAGGGCCAAACGTTGATTGTGGAATTTGGGTGAGCAAACCATTTAAATATTGTATCGTATCTTTTAGATTTTCATTGATAAGTTCCTTAACTTCCGTGCAATGATTACAAATGTTTAACATATCGTTAACGATCATTGTCTTTACTTTGTCCTTGTCAGCCATGTTCGAAATCTTCAAAATATTCGTAATTTTAATATATATATACACGTGTAAATGTACAGGACGATTATCAGAAGGAGAGAGAGTACATACACGAAGAAGAATATATTTAACCAAACTAATTCGTTGAAATATTTACCTCTTGTGTTTCTTAAGATGCGATCAATTGTTACGAGTAAGTTTCACGAGAAAAACACACAAACTAGACGTTTAGTATACCTTCGTATACTAAATCGTCGCCTGAAAGAACAAACTTTAACGGCAATCTCCGTTTCGTGGTGCGGCAGGAAGGATGCAAGTTTCGTTCATCCAGTCTATAACGACTAACGACTTTTCGGTTGAATTTGAATCGGCTTTCTTAGCGACATCTATTTTCTCGGACGCGTCATTTTCCCCTAAATTAGAGGCACTGAAATATGCTAATGCTGGAACGCGTGTTAATTTTCTAGGCAAGAGAAAGATCAAATTCGGACAAATTGGTGAGCACTGAATTATACCAATACTTGTAATTAATAATGCTAATAATAATAATAATAATAATAGTAATAATAATCAATACTACCAGTAAGAAAAGTAACTATTTTATGAGAAACTTGAGCGTTTTACCATCGATGATGTTGACCATAGATTCAAACTAGACAGAGACCTTCCATTAAGAGTCCAATAATTGTTACGAATCAAATAAATCTTTTTGACAGTTTCTCATTTAATTTTAGTTTATTAAAACAAGTAATCTAACGATACAGAGAAATTCAACAAAAATTTTGTTAAAAAATTATTACGGTAAAATTTACAATCTTGATCTTATGATTTATACAAATGTTGTATAATTTAAGTTAAATTCTACTTGTACTTTAACTTAAATGGGACTGTTAATCTTATGTATTCGTGTATAACGTGTCACTCTCATGTAATAGCATAATTATTTATCACATTAAATTACATTACTCTATAATTATATTTTACCCTTTTTTATATAGAAAAGATTTCGATGTAAATACGATTTTACAGACTAATGTATTTCGTTTAATTGCACTTAGATTTTTGTAACTTATTTTTTAAAGAAAAATACCTATCTATCTTTAAAAAAAAATAAAATCTGAAAATTATTGCAATTTCAATTACAATTGGTCAGAGACATTATACTATATGTATACTATATGAAAAATTCAAACAATTTAATTGACAACAGTTTTAATTAACCGTGAAATTTGAAACAATACGGCGAATCGGTATATCGTATATACATATATTTCTCCATGAAGTATACGTAGGAATCTAGGAACTATGTTTCATTTGTTTCTCAATGCTATTTAATATACTTGAAAAAAAGATTAAATAGCATGACACACAAAAATGTTAGGTGGTTACGTAGGCAGTATATGTTTGAGGTATGTAATGGTACCTCGATGTGCCTATCTGGTGAGAGTAAAACAAAACATACTTGCGAACACATGCATATACATACGATACGATACAAAAGAAAGCTAATATTAAATAACATTTTAATACACGTTAATCATACAATAAATATTTTTCAGAACGCCAGCGCTCTTTTAATAAACAAATTTCAGTCGATCTACATATATTTGGTAATTAACAAGCTCTTCTATTGCTTCTGAATTATAAAAACTATCACGATTTGTATATGTCACGAATTCTTTTTCATGAAAAACATATTAAATCCTCTATCCCGATGTATCAATCATTTTAATATTACTTTCCGTTTCCTCCAACTCTATGTTGATTGTAGAGATTCGCGACGAATCCTTATTGCACCGAGTATAGATTTGTAGGACTTCTTCTTCGAAAGTAGGATCTAGTAAAATATCGATACCTTTCATTCCTGCTTTCGTGTATTTTTGAAATACAATTTTAGACACTTGCCACAAATCTCGATTTTCTTTTAACACATGAACCAGTGGTTCTACCATCGGAAATAATATGGAAACGTTACTGAGGAATGAAATCAAATATATTATTTTTTAATATATTGAATGTGCAATTGTTGAAAGTTTTGTTGAAAGTTGTACACTCACATAAAAAGTGGAAGAACTATATTTGTAATGAATTGAACTTGTAGGTCTGGTATCGACGCGCGCTCTCTGTCCATCATTTCGATAGGAGAACTACCCATACTTTTTTCCAAGTCCCCTTGTGAGAAGAATTCATCATAAATTTGTTCCTAATATAAGATGCAATAAACATGCAGCATATAAACATTTCAAATGTAACGTTTTCGAATTTCGTTTATACGAATACGAATTTATTACAGTACAGTATATATAATTTTTCTACTCACTGCAGTCTTTTTCGAAACTTTCCATTGTTTGGTTTGGTCGCTCAAGTCGCAACACGTCATAAGCATATCGAAAAATAGTTTTCGTTGCTTGGGATCCGTTTTATCGTACTTTTCTCTAATCATCTCTTCCTGTTTTTCTACGGTGCGAAAATGGGACGCTAAATCGGTCGCGAGTATATTGTTTCTTAACAAGTCTAATGCTTCACTGTATTCGTTGCTATTAAAATTTTCAAATATATTACAATCTTCGGTATTTAAAATGCACATAGACTGTGCCAAGTGATGTCTCTGTTGGTTTATAGAAAAGTGAATTTGTTATAGCGAAACGGAATTGTCATATTTTCATTTTGAAAAATGTTGATTTACCTCCATTACAGAACCCTCGGAACTGTAGAGGCTAGCCAATACCGTGCTACATTTAGTTTGAAATGAATTATTGGTTCCTCTATGATCTATATCGTGACACAAACAGGATACTAAAAAAACTAATGCTTCCAAATGCGTCATATAATTGTCGGTAATGAGATGCAAATTTCTCATCAGTAAATACGCAAAATGTGCCACAGAGAATGCGTGTACCCAATTATGATAAGGTGCGTCCCTGTATCCCTTCTTAACATATAATATAAACCTAGCTAGAGTTGATAATTTCATTTTCCAGTGTTTAATAAGACCTAAATCATTGAACATTTTGATCGTATAACAGGGTATATGCTTGTAAGGTACACTTCTAGGAGTAAACTGGAATTTATCGAAATCTTTTATATTGTGTTCGTCTTTGCAATTCAATAGCGCTTGAACAGCGTCTTCTTCCACCTTTAAGTATATTTCTGTTAGAACAGTTGGTTACGAGTAATTTAAAATCGTTACGATTTAATAAATTTCTTACCTTCATATGATACATCATTACTTCATTGCTGAGCTTGTTTCTTGCTTGAGCATCTTGCATCTTTTTATAAACGATACTATGCATTATAGAAATTCCACAGTAAATACTAAATGCTGTTGCGGCTTCTTCGTCGAAAACATCGAAATATAGTCTATCCTTTTTGTTACAGAGTTGCGCAACTCCTAAAGTCCAAAATAGCAATGATCTTGACAAAATCTTAATTTTCCGTTTATAACAAACGATAGTTAAACTTTCGCTTACCAACAATTCCATTTTCGTCCCTAATTGGGAAACATAAAATATTTCTAGTTCTAAAGCCTGTCACTTCATCTATTCCACGATAGAAAAGAGGATGTTCATAGGCATTTCTAATATTAATTAACATGCCAGTGGTTGCAACATGACCTGCTATACCTTGCCCTATCGGTATTCTCATTTCCTTCACAGGCTACAAACAGTTGGATCTTTAACTTTATTTATAAAGTATAAGTTTTGTTTTGAAAAAGTAGCGCTTACTTCTTTCATGGCAATACCGTCAAACACTTTAGCAACTAAATCTTGTTGATCGGGGTCCAAAAGAAATAACGAACATCGCTCGGCGTTTGTTAAATTTCTGACTTCCGCCATTATTTCTCGTAAAAGATCGGAAAAGTCTCCTGTTTATCGATATATCAATATTACGGATATTAATGAATTTTTTAACATTACGGTGATTATTCTACTTATAAAGAAACATTACCTAAATGGGTAAAAAGTTTCCTAGAAACAGCCAGTAACTTTTGACACTGGCGTTTCAGTCGAGTTTCTTCGTAACATGTTAACGAATTTAAAAGAAATCCTAGGCAGAATCTACGTTGAAGAAAAAATTTGTAATTATATCTAAAGAGAATTATTACAAATTTCAAATCGTTCGATACGTTCGTAGATTTGACTCGAGACTCGATTAATTCTTTTAACATAGTAAAAGTAATCTCGTACCTAAAACATTCTTGAACAATTTCTATACAACTATGTGCAGTTTTTTCTTTGTTGTTGTCGTCGTCGTTAACCAGAGATACTACCAGTGCTACATGATTCTGCTTTGGATGTTGTATAGGTATCGTTAAAAACGAATTTGACGTTGGACATATCGGCCGAAGATGACGTAATAATTCGTCGTCGAGCGTTTCGATATCCATGGTTACCGGTTCCTTATTCTGTATAGTCTTGTATAAGATATTATTCAACATCTGTAAAAAAAATCAATATAAAATTTAAACGAACATTTTGCTACTACAGTCATATCGAAAAATGAATTTTATAACGTTTTGCTTGTTTCATCAAAATTGGAAGAAACTTTGTAAACGTGTACAATAACGTTACCTAGAAAAGTGTGAACAGAGATAAGCATTATCATTGTAGACGATAACATTTACCATCGGCTTATAAGAAAGGTTTGCCGTGTTATATCAATAGTATTTTTACGTATGGCTTCTTTTATGTAGGTTTCTAAGTACTATGTTTGAGGATTAGATACCGTTAAGCAGACTTTATTTCCAATGTGGAACAATCCTTGAAACTATTATTTTTCACGAGATTAATGTTATTGCACGTATATTAAAAAATAATAGAATAAAAAAATTATGAAAACAATTTGTAAAATTCACCCGAATGTATCTTACTTGTATGTTTCGACAATAATTGTATCAACATTAATATGAAATAAAATAAACAGTAAATACTAGGTGTAATTAAACATTTTACTTACAGGAAATCTTATTTCTCTACCTAAAATTTCTTCTCCGATCACATGGATCACCATTTCCTCTGACTCTATTAAAATTGGTACAAGAAAAGATAACTTTGAGTTTGTTTCAGTTTGTATCTAAAACAATACAAAATATAATTAAAATCATACATGGTAATTAGCTTAATAAGTAAGTAGCAGTAAAAGTAATCTAATACTTATATTTAAAAAATAAATATAAGTATTTCTTGCAGTTTTGTGAACATTTAAAAAAAAAAAAACAATTAATCCTGTAAATGTATTATAAGCTTTTCACAAATAAAATAAAAAACATTAATTTTTCATTTTTGTTTCTTTAGAACGATACCTTTTTAAAGAAATAATTTCGTCGGTAAAATTTACTTTCACCAACGACCACCGTCCATTTCAAAAAAATGCAAGCGTGCCGCGAAAAATTGTGCATAGAAAGAATGTTGACATTAAGTACTTTACTTACGTATTTGTTTAACTTTTGCTGCACATGAGGATAGGAGAGGTCGCAGAGCTCCTCGAGAAGCAGAAGAATTTTGTCCGCGTGCGGCATATTTAAATCAAACGAACTCATTTTTTATTAGCTACTTTTCAATACTTTTTCATGTAGCTATATTCGCGAGTCGTGCTTCCATGTAATATTGCGACGTATCAAATGTGTTTGATTGAACACTCATTTTTCTAAATCTCTCATTTTTAACCATGCACAATGGAACAATTATTCTTAAACACTGTTTCGCAATCGTATCGCCGCATGTAGTAAACAAAGCGTGTCAATCATTTTTTAAATTTGAATGGACTGTCAGAGTACGAAATGAAAATACGATGCGAACAAGTTTCTTTGAGCTTCTGTGCTTCTGTCAGCAGACTCTGCATCAGTCTTCTGCTGCATTCTGCATGATTCCACGGATAGTGAATAAACAAGTGACGTGCGCAACTCGGACGACTCATAAATGCCAGCGTGAGAGTGCGTGAAAGCAACAACCACAGACAATATCCCTTTGCATATAAACATACTAATCAGAATTGAAAGGAACATTAATGTACGTCTATGTCTAACGCTGGCTATTCAGGAATGGCGTTTGTTTTAATTAATTCTAGTTAGTAAATGTTTGCGAACGAATAAAACTGAACAGTGAATTCAAAGAATGTAGATGTATATGCATGCATATATATACATATGTATATGCATATGTATATATATCCCCCAGTTAAATTACACAGTGGCGTCATGTAGCAGCAAAACGCTCAAGTTTATAAGGAAAATAGTTCCTACTGCCATCGATGGCGCCACCAACACATTTTAATCAAATATTCTTTATTTTTGATAAATACATAATTAATACTATTCCTTACTTTATAATGCTAAAATATAATAGGTCGTTTGTTAAGTTTATCTTTTTAATGAATAGTTATTTAATGCAGCATTAATTATTGTCCCTTTAGTTAGTGGCGCCATCTTATACGATCGGTGAGAACTATGTTCGCTACAAACTTGAACGATTTGCCACCGATGGCGCCACTATGGCGGTTGGAGTTCTGATCTTAGCTTCCAAAATTCTACATATTCATTTAATTTTACATCGTAATTATCATAATTCAACATCAAATTGTTGATTTCTGCACTAACAAATTACTGACATCAAGTTCTTTAAATAAATGAAAATACTGAAAAAACGTAGCGCCATCTCTCGGCAAACTTTCTAAGTTTGTCGTGAAATAGTTCCCACCTCGTGCCGCTAGATGACGCCATAAATGTGAAATATTGATTACTGTTACTGTTTTTATTTAAAGTACATGAGCCTTTCTTGCTCATTTCGTACCACTGTGTGCACAATTTCTATTACAAAGGTATATAAACTTTACCTTACATAGTTTCTTACTACTATTCCTAATGAAAATATTGAAAACATGAATTCGAAAATTCGATAGATACTACTGACCTACGAGCACGGAATGGGTAGACGGGCACTCGTACGAGTGTATACACATGTATATAATACTGGTCTAAATCCACCGAACCAAGTATATATGCAGTGTATCAAAACAATAACGCAGTATAAATAAAAATAATAAAGCAAAGTACTGAACTTATATATATTAAATTGTTATTAGAGGATATCTATAATCGCTATACTTATTTTTAGACGAGTACGGTAGCTCTCTGGTGGGGTATATTACTTGTAAATTATGTGATAAATATAATTAAATTTATTTTGAAATAAATTTTACATAAATGTACATACCAGTATACACGCTAGTACCTTTAAAGAAGACTTTGCAAGTGTTATGTAAATATGAATGCTACAGTAAAATAACATAACTCGGAAATAAAAAGGGTTTGACAAATAATATAAAAAGAATTATTTATAAACTCAATGAAAATGAATACAGATGATGATTTCAATATAGCAGCTAGATATAGAACCATTCGTAAACATTTAGATAGTTTAGGATACAAGTATGCACTTTCTTTGGATACTCTTCCTTTGATAGAAAAATTGCTGGCTGATCTTATACAAACAACCGAAAGCTTGAAGCATTTTAAAAGTATCGCACAAGAAAACATTGAGGTACGTACTCGAGGATTTGTGACTTAAGATTACTAGATTTTTAACTGTTAAATATAATTTGTTTAATATTATGCAAATTTGATTAATTACGAGTTATTATGTCCTCTATATAAAAGTTGTATAACGTCAAATTGACACTGTCAAAGTTCTATTAGTTGTTTGATGAAATGTGAGGAATCCTTTAGTAGAACAATCAATAGCAAAGTATACAAAGATTGGCGTATGTTTATATAATATAATTTCTTCTATGCATATGTAGGCGCATTCACAGTTACAATTGGCAGTTGATCCTTATAAATGTGACAATGCAAGACTAGTACAAGAATGCAATCAGCTTCACTCAGAATTAATAAAAGGAAAGGAATGTCATCAAAAGCAAATTAGAGATTCTAAGAAAGAAATACATAAATTAGAACGCGAATGTAATGATCTTCAATTGGCATCTTCGCGCAATTTACAAAGAATTAAAGAACTGGAGACTGAATCTTCTAAGAAGTCGAAAAAAATTTTGGAACTCCAAGGAAAATGTTTAAAGCCAACTATTAACAATGTGGGATTAGGTAAGCAGTTTCTATCCTCTTATGTATTTGAACTTACATTTTTGTACAATCAAAATTATATTTGTTGTAATTGTTGCAGCTTCTAAAAAACGATCTTGTTATCCACTTCGTAAAGCGATTCTAGAAAGCGAACCATTACCAAAAACAGGAGCTAAAACGAATCCATTGCCAACTCTAAGTACAGCAGAACCAAAAATTGTTGATTTACTCAACATGGCGGATCATAAAATGAATTGTTTAACTGTGGAGGTAACAAAATTAAAGGGAGAACTCTCGTTGCAAACTGACAATGTACAGATGCTAAAAAGTCAGGTATATTACCGACAATTGTATCTGCATGACTTTGAAGTGTTTCGGGTTGTAGTTTGGAACTTTTTAATTTTCATTGTACCACACGAATGTGCTTGTAACCACTTCCTTGCGGTAATATATCTCTAAATATTAAACGTATATCCATTTCAATTTATAAATTTGAATACAAGTAGAACAAAAAATATATGAACGTAAAAGCTTTATAAAAATGTATATTTCTAGTTAACTGCCAAGGAAAAAGAAATTATACGATTAAAAAAAATGTTAGAAGGGGGTAGGCCATATTCTGCAGTTTTTAAAGATTGCGCTTGTAAAAAAGACGAAAATAATTTTATAACATCCAGTGGTCACGTTAGCGCTAACAAATTGCAGATTCTACAACAAGAGAAATTAGAATTAGAACATCGGTTGGAAGGTAATGGAATGAAATTCTTTGGCATATAAAATCAAGATTACTCGAATGTTTATATACGGGTTACTTATGTGTGTATTTTATATCTGGTACAGAAGCTTTAAACAAACAACACGATGCTATGTCTCAAGCGCTTAAACTTGCCGATCGAAACGAAGAGTTGGAAAAGGAATTGAGAGACATAGATCACATAGCGTTAGCTGTTGAAGCTGATTGCAATTCTGCAGTTAAGGAAAATAATAAAAGAGTCTCTAAACTACAAGTAATTAATGTTTCAAGTACTAATAAATCTCAAGTACGCTATGTTTGTTTCACTGCTAGTATTTTTATGAAATTTATTTTAACTTAGCAAAAGTTGCAAGATGTAACGACACAAATACACGTATTGGAAGGTGAATTAACCGTCGAGCGTAGAGAAGTACAAGAACTGAGAGCAGATCTCGAAGCTTGTAAATTAGAGAAACGTAATATTCAACGTAATTTGGAATCTGCATTGGATGAAAAAAAACAGATGACAGATAGAATAAACAAGCTAACTGTAATTGGTACATAAAATGTCTATTTCTATTTCTATTTCTATTTTATACCCGATAAGCCTTTAAATGTATTCAATAATTTTGCAGAAAAGAATTTAAATGACGAGATAGAAAGATTGGCCAAAGAGAATGAGAAACAAAGACAAGATGTTATTCAGTTACAATATAGCAATCAACTGTTAAAGGAACAGATACATACAAAGGAATACTTAACAAAACACAATGGCGTAGACATTGGAGAAGTATATAAAGAGAGAGTTCTCCAAAATGTGAATGGTATCGAGTATGAAAGTATACTAAAACAATTGGACAAGAAAGAAAGTCAAATACATAGTGTACGTACCATAAAAAAAAAAAAAAAAAAATATTGTTGTACATATTTATCATATTTAAAATACTTCAAATATATTTATTGAAATTTACTTCAGTTGGAACAAACAGTCGAACAGACGAGGAGAGAACGTGATTTTTATAAAGACGAGTGCAACAACACCAAAGATTACCATAACGAAGCAATTAAAAAGGATAACGTAAGATTTTTGGATTATTAACTGTATTTGTTTAATTATTCGTTAAAAAATCGATATGGTAAATATTTAATGCTTTTAATAGGATGATTTATGGAGACGAATTCGAGAATTAAAACATCACCTAAGCGAAAAGGAAAATGCATTGGACGAATTACAACGCGAGAAGAAGGAATTAATTCGTGAGAAAAGCAATTTAGAAACGCGTCTAGAAAATTACAAAACTGAGGAAAAAATATCCCATCGAGCGTGCAATGCGTGTAAACACGGTACTTTGTGCAAGTGTTCTCTATCAAATATGAGGGACGCTAGCAAAATGAAGGTAAGAAATCGCAAATAATTTGTTGTAAAGATTATTTATAATAACATACAATGAACGGCCTTCCAGGGTACCATTGAACATTTAGAGCACGAACGAGACATAGCACGAGCCGATGTTGAACGTTTAATAGAGGAACGTGACGCGTTACGTGAAAGATTGAAGGTAATTATATTATTTAGGTAATTGTATGAATCGAGAAACGATTAAAAAGATGCGAACGCGTTTATTAATGGTCGATAGATGGCTGCAGAAGCGCATACGTCCGAGCAGCGACGTCTTAGAGAAAATTTGACCGAAGTAGAAGCCCGCGTAAAGCAGATAGAGAAAGAACGTCAGGAACTTTTACTTAAACAAGGAGCACGAAAAGCAACGATAAATGGTTTGGAGGATCAGCTACAAGACCTGCGAGAAGAATTAAAACGGACCAAGCAAGAATTGGGAACGCAACGCACCCAGTATTTTCAACTTCGGTATATGTTTTTCTTTTCTTTGGCTAGAGAACTAAATTTACTATTAGATTTTACCTTGGTACGATGTAGTTGGTTCTTTAAATCGATGAATGTATGTAGAGCGCTTCAAGATCAAACTGATCAGGCATTGGGAGATGCACAGAATCAATTAACGCAATCGGAGTCTGAATTGAATAAGGCGTTGGATCGCAATAGAACAATGGAGCGACTGCAGTTGCAGCTAGAAAATCAAGTGAGAGAATTCCAGGAAGAAATTAACAACTACAAAGCAAATATGACGCATTTGGATCACGAAAAGGATCAATTGTTGGTGAGTGAAGTACTGTTGTTGTTTCGAGTAAAGATTAGATCTCGTTATTTGATCCGTATACATAAAATTAAAGTGACATAAATGTGAACGCGTTATTATGATTTCGCGCGTATTCGAGGTGTAGCGTATTTAAATACACTGTTACTTTTCCGCGTAGGAGCTAGTTGAAAGAAAAAAATGAATATTATGTAACGAAATAATGTTTGTCAGATGGTATTGGATGAGAAGACGGAGAAAATAGCTGGCTTGGAGAGAGAAATAATGGCGAAGGATCAAGAATTGATGGGAAGCGAGCAACAAATTCACGAACTGCAACACAAAAACGAGTGAGTATTTTTCTGTTTACAAGGTATGATATTTCTTATTCTTAAAAATGAATCATATTTGGAAAGTAGGTATCGCTATAAATTACATATATTTACAAATCGATCATTGTTTCGAGGGTACTATGTATGATGAAAAGGTAAGTAATTAAAAGTAAGTTTACGCGATAGGTCTCGAAGTGTTTGAATATACAAAATAAAAATGGATTGAAATGACGCGAATTTTGATAGTTTTAAGAGATTAAATAAATAGGAATGGTTACGAAATGGAGACGTAAAAATGGAAAGTAGCTTAACGCATAAGATTTGTACAGTACTATTTACAGGTATTATTTAAAAATATAAGCATAATTTGCTTCATCACTAGCGCTAACGAGCGCGCATAGTCTGATTCGTCTGACTCAAAAGTTGATCAATTTAACATTTTCGTTGAGAAACTTTGCTAAACTCACTGTAGGTGGCTCACAGCCACCCGAAGAAAGGAGATTGTTACTTTCTACTTCCGAGACTTGAGAAGTTTCCGTGATTCTTTTGTATCCAGGTCTGCATTCGCAGCTAGCTCTTGATTCCGATTCGTTTTCCCATAAGGTCGGTTTTGGCATTCTTTTTGGAAGCAGCCACTCTCCTGCTGTACACGGACCTTGCGTATATAATTTGTAGCAAGTTTTATTTATCAGAACCATCCCTGGGATAGACTCGCAACTATCGTTGCTGTCCTCGGTGCACTTTCCAGCGTCCTTGAGCGCGTTGGTGCATCCGCACACTCCGTTGTAGCTAATTCCATCGATAGATGGCCTCACATTGTAATCGTACAAGACGATTTGTCCACTCGGGCATGGCCCTTTACTTCCTATCTTATAACACGTTTTCTCTCGAGGAAAGTACAATCGGCCACGTTTGCAGGGCGTAGGAACACAAGTCGTGGAATTTATTAACATGCGACCATATTCGCAAGGTCCCCTCGTATAAAGCCTATAGCAGAGTCCATTATCATAGAGAACATGATCCGGTTTACAGACACATTTAGCTCGAATTGTAGCTTCATTGGCTATCGTATCCGTTACCACAAATTGATGTCCTTTCAAACATGGACCGATGCCACCTGTATTCAAGTATTAATAAGCCATTAGCATCGAACAATTGTACTATTTTATATTTTATATGTTCTCACCTAACTGGTAGCACATTCCAGTTGGTTCATGGTAATGAGGTAGTTCGGAATGGCAACCGCATTCACCACCCGGTAAAAATAAGTGTCCAGGTTCTGTACACGGACCTTTGGTGTAGTGTTCGTGGCAACCTCCCACGATTCCTGGCCAATGATACTTTCCAAGTTCACCCGTCATCGAACAAGAACATATCGTCAATCCATCTTCGTCCGTAGTAACGAGTTCACCTTTTGGACACGGTCCTCTGCTGAATAAAGGGTAGCATTTCTCATCCTTGGGCCAATAGACTTGTCCTTTTGCAGGGCATGCTTCTGGATCACGGCAAACGCCCCACCTTTCGTTCAAATTACAATATTTCTTTATATCTCTGAGGTGCAATAGCTCTAAATAAAAAGATTGATCAGCTACAGCTGTTTATCAGGTAGAGTGGCTGTAGTACTACCTAGACTTGCCAGAAGTCTCCGGTACCGGTGCGAACAATTGACCTTTCGGACAGGATGCTCTGGTGTATATCGAATGACAAAGAGCGTCTCTAGGGGACTGCGCAGTTCCAGGTGGACATCTACATTCCGCTATCGTTCCACCTCCGCCTGCTGCTGGTCCTAGTTCCATTGTCTCTGGACACGGTGGTCCGATCTGTCGAAGAAACTCATTGATAATCACTAGAGGATCCCTTGTAGACAGCACTTGGTCTATCGTAAGGATTAAGAGAACGCTCGTGGTTTCTGGAAAGAGAAATGCTACACCTGCCTGGAATATTTTGTAACACTTTCCATCCGGCGGCCAAAATAACAATTGCCAGCCACGTGGTTGGGCGGCACAAGGATTACTCGAGGGGTCCGCCCAAGGTGGACGCATGATTGCAGATCTGACGTTGACCATCAGTGCGAAGCAAATAACGATCAGCGAATACCTTGGACCCCAGTGGTCACTGGAACACACGCAAACATACAGTAAATTACATTACTATTTGCTAATGATTCATCTGTACGATTAATATTTGGCCAGTTATCGAAACAGCGAAAATAAATAGTGAAATGTTTCTTTTGAAAATCCCGTCGCGATTCCATTGGATACAAAAATAACAGCAAACAGCTATAGCGATTAAAAATTGTAGTCGCGTACTTGGACCTAGCTGTATATAGGTATGTATCGTACGTATGTCAAGATCGAGGGTAACGACAGGGTAGAGGAAAAGCGCGACAGAAATAAAATGACCATACTTTCACTGTTTCGCTATGGCAATGGCATTGTCCCTGGTGGCAGGGCTCGAGATGACGACTCGCATGTTGAATAGGAATATCGTCTTGTGCGTTTCACCATTTGCAAACTGAAAGCAAAAGCAAAAACACTCGACTCTTTTTTTCTCTGTTTGACATTGACCATTACGAACGGCAATTGATCTTTAACTGCGCTCGATGGCTCGTTGTACAGCATCGGTACCTAGTCGAATCACGCATTTTTTTTCAATTATTCAGACTAACTTCAAATTCAACAGCTTTCTCGTTCCGTTTGCAAATGGAATTACATTATGTTACACGAGGTTCTCGTGAAATTACACGCAGCTTTGGTAATCTCTTTTGACGCAATCTCGTCGTTGACGAATTGAAATTGTTCAAATTGCCAATTTGCCTACTCTTTTTATTAGAAAAATTCAGCAAGTAATTAAGAATGTAAGGAACCTTGGCACTTGAATTCCAACAGCTGTAGAGCAAGCTTTCTTCCACGACTTTCCACTGCACTGCTAGAACAAGTCCTACACACCGATAATCGTTTATTGGTCTCGTTTGTAAACTCACCGATGCGATTTTAGTCTCATTGTCAGCTAGTATTTACAGCGGTATCGGAATGATCAAATCGTTAGATATATTCCCTGATAACTGAATGATATCGTAGTATAACGTAACGCGAACGTTTCGCTTTGAATCGGATCGTTAAGAAAAGTCGCATAATCATAATCATTCATCGCGAAGAACTCTGCCGCAGATTGCGGAATATCGTGCTTCCTTTTCCGGTGTAATTCTTGCTCTTCATTGGCAAACCAGTGTGACGAGTTGCGCAAATAAAAGGTGAGAGTGTAGTAACGAATAAAAAGAAAAAATGTACAGGTAACTACTACCTACTGCCTACACGTTCATGATTTGATATGTATACGCGTTAATGGTTCGATGCGAAATAAACATTCGAACAAACGTCCGAGTCTAAGGTGATAGTTTACGATAGGATAATTGAATTCGCGATTATCATCGATAATAAGAAAGTCGGTTCTTCTGGTAAAGTACAACACAACAGGAACCAGTTCCCTCTTCCGAGGTAATTGCTTTATCGTGACTAGGTCGTTCGAAACGAAAAGTAAGAGTACTTTTGTTTCACCTGGAATCGTGGTCATCCCCCCACGGCTGTTGTTAATTAATCGTTCGTCGTAGACGAACGTCGTGTAATTACCGGTTGCTCGTGGCAACGGGGATTTATTGCGTCGGTACTATTGCGTTTACCGCATTTTAATCATCGTAATATATGCTACAAGATAAACTGCTATTAATTGCTAATTGAACAAGGTTGCAACGAGGCGGGCGCGCGTTGCATCAACTACCACCGGGATTAGAATGCACAATTCATAGCAGCAGTTTGTTCGTATCGTTTAATCGTTCTACTAATCTCTCTGCGCACTTCGTTCTACAAACTTTGTACAATGAAGTGTTCGGAATCACGTAACTATGGTGACAAAGTTTGCAATAATGGTGGCAGTATGGACGTAGAAAATTATTGGTGCGTGGGTGGTTGACGCAACATTTGTACCCTGTATGGCGTGATGTTCGTATCCCAGTTGGTACGAGGAACATGTGATAAAATCGTCGGTTGTGTTTACCGCTAATTGTAAGAGAAGCACTAATTATGCATTCGGCAAACGTTTGCTCGCAGTGTTGTTTGGCTCGCAAAGATGACAGACGATATAATAGGTACGATTTCATTTATTTCTCGGTGAATCTATTAATAATAATAATTACAAACTCGATTTCTCGAACCTCTGTTACGCTAAAATCACCCCCGTAATTCGCTATGCTATTCAAAGTAAGATTACATACATACATACATACATACGTGTATATGTGATGATGTTATACTTGTAACAACAGATTGAATTTTTCATATTGTTTCAATTTGAATAGCACCCGACGCGATGCCGACGCATCGCCATCTCACTTCGCCATCGCTTCGTTCACGTATACGGTCTACGCTCCCTTTCAGTTTTTACGAGCGTTGCGCAACACGCTCTGTAATACCCGATCAAAATCGAAAGAGTTATGTCACTAAGCAGACTATATTATATTATACAGCAACCGTTCTATAGCCTCGGTGTTAAAGCGTTAAAGTTCCCCTAAGTAACTCTGCCTAACACTGCGGCGATACACTCGATTCACATCGGCATGCATTCATTGCCGATTCAAGGCTGACGATTACTCGATCGTTACACTTTTAATTTATCGTGAAACTTTATGTCGATTCCTTAATTTTATATTATATCATTTAATCGAATAACAAGTTGTTTCCAAACATTGTTTAAAAAGAATATTTCTTGTCGTTCGACTTACAACGAGGTTTTCATGATGAGAATGTTTAAAGCGACCCAGTCACAAGTTATCACATCACAGATTGGCTGTAGGTAGTGTTCACCGTGTTCTTTTATCGTGATCGTTTGACATCCTGCGTATCGAGACGGGTGCACACCGAACGAAAACGATGGTGTCGGTTCGGCCACCACGGCGAGACTGAAACACCAACTTGGAATCACCTCTACGGCTTCGCGGCTGTTACGGGTTACCTAACTTCCCCGAGACAAGAATCGAATCTCTTGGCTCAGCTACCGCTGTTGTTTTTTCTCTCTTTTTCTTTTTCTTTTTCTTTTTCTTCTTCTTTTTCTTTTTTCGGTAGTTTCGAGCAGCGCCGATAATTCTGTTAGAAAAAAAAGGGGGAAACATATTATAATTCTACCCGTGCAGCGCTCGCAAGGGTTTAGACGGATTTTTTAAAATTGACGCGAAATTAGAATGAAATGGTTTGAAATGCAAGTAATGAGCTTTAAACGTAACCATACGTTAGCCGTTGACATAAATTCTGTTCCTTTATATTCATTGTAAGTCTAGTTTAACCTGTTTGCGCGGTATCTTGAGAATTTCATTGAATTTTCCGAAAAAGAAAAGTAAATACCGTGCGTGGGCTCTCGTAACGTTCGATGGTAAACGGTGAATAAAGTCATGCCCGAATGTTTCCCAATGGAATCGGAATCCAGTGTCGCAGTCTTACGGATTACTCCGACCGGTATCCTCGGGTCGAAGCCATCGAAGCCCTTCCAAGTGGTGGATCGTCGATTCTCTCGAAAATGTCCAGTTGCGAAAGAATTGGCGCAATCGCGCGAGACTTTCATCGTCGTTCGACCTACGAAAGGTCGCGCTGTTCGTGAAAAGAAACATCATCGTCGGCGTCGGAGTAAGCTTTCGTTACGCATACGTTGCATAATTCGGAAGAACCAGCCTCCGGGTGGATCTGTTAACGGGAAAAACGTGATCGTTCTCGACATCGGAGTCTTTTCGCGTACGCCTGTAACGTGGGCTCATTCAACACCTTTAACATTTAGAGCGACGCAAACGAGTAAACAGGTGACGCTATTCGAAATAACTTGTCGGCACTTGACATACCAACTAAATACTTTTTAAAGTAACCAAGGATAATACTATAAATTACCTTTACAAACGTACAATACCGATTATATTTGTTCCAATAAAATGTTACCCACCTCTGATTGCGAGACAAACAATCGATACTCTTACCGAATAAAGAACATGTGGCCGAAGGAGTGCATCGCCCTAAGCGCACACTAGCGCCTGCCGGTGTACACACTGTTAGTAGTGTATACCAATCACCCCGACCAGAATTCTATCTACGGTTCCCAATGTCAAAACGAACGCCCTTAGAGGTGCCGTTCACCTTTACCGTTACCGGTAAAGGGCATTGTACGGTTCCTCGAAATGCAGGGAACGTCAACACGCGAGAGACGCTCGCAACAGGATGCAGAAGAAGAACCGTTGTACTCTCTCTCTCTCTCTCTTTGTCGAGGCTCCTAGAGATTACGTGATCTATCTGAAAGCTGGACTCGCTAGTCGCTACTACCTCGAATCTCGACACTGGCTACTTTTCGGTCCGAGGGTGTCTCTAAAATATCAAGTAGAACTTTGACAATAAGTAACAAGTACGCGACGCAAAGCGCGACGAATTTTTCAAGTCGCTCAAGGAATTGTTCTTCTTCTATCAAGGACGAGATTAACAATACTTGGTTAGGAGAATAAATTAATGAAATTTACAAGGTTGGTATGAGACGAGCATGGCATAACGTTCTCGATGTTCCAGCGAGAAAAATGAAGAAGAAAATGTATAGATACACCAGCTCGAATTCTAATTTATAACCAGTTGCAAAAAGAATCGAGATTCCATTGAACGGTGCGCATTTGTCTGCGCGTGCACGTTACGCGCTCATTGAACGAACGTAACTGTAAATTGGAGGGTTCCATCGTTGATCCTTGGTTATGAAAGTACCGTCTCCGGGAAAATGAGTAAGCTCTTGCTGCGATTAAACGTGGGGGAAATGGGAACCGGAGTAAACTTTCGCGGTGATTTCATTGGTACACGTGACACATATGAGAACTTGGGTTTACATAAATGCTCCAAGTCACCGCTCAGTTATTCCTTGGTAGCTTGTACTCCTTTCTGGCCCGAACGGAAACAAACTGTCGACCTTTGCGTTACATATTTATAAAACGATATTACCACGTTACCTTTACGATTATCCTGCGACGCCGACGCCAACTCTGTCGCGTTAAACGCTAACGATAACAGACCGTTCTACCGAACGGTCCCAAACACGCTCTGCTATCCATGGCATTTTTCCTCTCGCTCTAGCGTCGAGTAGCTAACTTTCATTCCGTGAACGCAAATACTGTAGAGATAGAGAAAAGTACATCGATCTATACGAGGTCGTATAGACGTTAGCGTATCGTAAGACAAAGGGCTGGATTTACTTACGCGATCAATGTTTGCGGTAGTTTCGTGACGGAAATAAATTTATTTCCAATTTACTTCCGTCTGTCGTCCATTTAAATAACAATTGTTCATGATTACGCTACGTAACGGTATTGCTAATTAAAATTCATTAGTTGCGTAATTTGGCGTATTAATTAGAATTAAAAGAAGCGTTCTTCTCAACGCGTTTCCTTCGCGAGGTCCGTGACACAATTTTGGTCATTATCATACAAGAACGATCGATTGTTAACATCCTGCTTGTCAGAGTGCTATATGTTACCGATGTTATCGCTTGCAAAATTCACCTGAAATTGAGGATTACGGATCAGTGACGAGGGCAAATGTAACGTGCTCGCAAACAGCTACCGTCGATTTGTGAGATCGTCTCGAGATCATTTTCACTTTCGTATCAAGGAAAATACGTACATCTCGAATGGCTACGGAACATAGAAGGAAGCTGCAACGCCGAGGAAGGACGTCGAGATGAGAGAAAGTCGTCTGTTCGGTGTACAGACTGTTGAAACTTTTTCTTTCTCGAATCGTGGCAACTATGCGCTCGCGCGTTACCTCGCTTACGTAACGATGCATCGACGCGTAATCCAGACAGAATAATCGATAATCGATCAACCTACGGCCAAACACAGCACGGTATCCCTTTGAACAACATTGGAAATTTCAATTTGTCGTTGCATAATTTACACGTGACAGTTATTTCATAATAAAAAAAGCGATTTTTCGAATCGCGTTTCTTACAGAAATCCAACATCTCCATCGAACGAGCCGACGGGCGAGCGCCGAGCCGTCGCGTTTAGTAACGCGAGGCGCGCAACGTCATGCTTAAAGATTTTTTCATCGGCTTTCTATTGTACGTACCTCGTCTCTCCTGTCCTTACGTATTCAGCATTTAGCCTCTAATAAAGTCGTTTTCGTCGCTACGTGATCCACAAGCGAAAGAAAAACTGATGGGTAAGCTGATCCACGTACATACATATAGTATACGTACGTATACTCGTATAGTTTGAAGAAAGGATTAAGCAACTTGGACACGATAGGCGCCTAATTCGACGTCGGCGTCGTTCGCGTTGCCCTTGTCCTCTTTCCAGAACTATGCTTGCGCCACGAGGGATGAGTGCGCGATTCGCATAACCGACTAGACACGGATGAAATATTAATACTACGATGTACGATACACAGAAACTCGACCGGACTCGTTAAAATCCCTCCACTTCTGCGCGGCCTTTGAAAATATCTATCCGTTTCTGTTGACGCAACCTTTACACTTCAACTTGCAACTTTTTCTTTTGCGACAGAATATGCGTCGACCAGAGCGCCGAGCAGGGAAGACAGCTGAGGTCGATGCAACTGGAAATTGAGAATCTCGAACGACAATTACGATCGGCTACCTACGACAGAGAGAACGCCATTCAGGAAAATAGGAGAGTTCAAGATGACTTGGCCGCGGTTACCTGCCAAGTGAGAACCATGCAGCGCGAATTGGATGCAGCTCGCGCCGAGTCGTACGATCTCAAGAGACAACTGCAAACGTATGTCAGCGAGGTGCGGCGAGCAGAGGAACTCCTCAACAGAAAGGTGATTTTCATTATTTTTATTCTCTGCGTTTCTTTCGTATAATATGATAATATTCAAAGATAAATTAACAGAAAAAGAATGTTGGTGCTTGATATACGTATACCGAGTAGAATGACGATGTTATACAGGTAGCTGGCTCGAGCTGTGTCATCGACATCGAAACTGTTGGAGATAGAAAACGTGAGCGATTGCGTATCGTGTCGATGACCTCGCCGATTTCAACGGCCTCCAAGTACGTTGGAGGGGCAAGGTCACCCTAGTGTCCTGAAACAACCAAAGATTTCTTGTTAGCATAAAGCCACGCATCCGATTTACAATTATTTCAATAGTAACGTTCACGAAATGATATTTTTCTATAGTATCGATGATTAACGAGCTAGTTTAATTATCAACGAAAGATCACGTAACCTGCCACTTGAATGTTTTTCCTATCGAACCACCCCTGACACCAGGCAACCCGATTATTGCCCAAGACTCAACGTGTCGCGCCTGTAAAGGCGCCATTTCGTGCTGTATCTCGAGCTTTTCAATAATCTTATCTCAAAGACCAACATCAACTAACCAATAGTTTTTCCTATCCGATACACTTGAAGATCGTTGAATGTAGAGGACTCTACATTCTCGTTCGACTCGTCGACTATCCGATTATTCTTTTTACAGGTGTTATTCTTTCTCTTTGTAATCGTCTCTAATACAACGCACTGGTCGTTTGTAGGAAAACGAAAGGTCAGAGATGCTGAATCACTTCAGAAGTCTAAGTTTGGAGGCAACGGTTTTGGAGAACAACAATCACAGTTTGGAGTCCGAAGCAGCAGAGGCCAGAGGAGCCCTACAAATCGCCAAGGATCAGTTGTTAGATATGGAACGGCAACTGGCGGATAAAGATGGTTTGATAAGAGGCTACGAAACACAGGTTCGCTTTTGGAAGGAAATGCTTTGTTGTAAAATCGTCGAGATTCGTTTGAGAACATCCGTTTCGTTTGATTCCTTAGATCAGCGAGTTGACTCAAAATATTGCCAGCATGGAAACACAGTTACGCCAGCAAGAGGAACAAAGGCACAGAGCAGAAGCTGATTTAAATGCCGTTAGAGATCTCTGTGTAAAGCTGGATCAACAGAAGGAAACGCTTGTGCAGCAGCTCGACGATAAGGATGCGCTAAAAACACAGGTGAGTATAAAACTTAGTAAAGACAGCTTGCCGTTGGTAACTTTAAAAACAAGTCATTTCGTCATTTTTATCCATGGGTCTTTCAGTATGACATGCAGATAGCCAAATTGAAAGCAGACCAGACTATAATTCAGGAACAAATGAACAGAGATCGCGCGACAGTGGAGCGCCTCGAAATGCTTTTGGATCAAGCGAGGCAAGAGTCTATAACCGTACAGGCTAACAATCAGGAACTCCAAAATGAGATGTCCAGATTGAGACAAAAAATGTCTGACCTGCAAAATAAATTGTAAGTGACGATAATCTGCTCCTTACAACGTGTAAGGGATATTTTGCTCGAGATCAAAATTGCTAACTTGTGATCAATTTGAAACTGATTTCTTCTTTACAATCGACGTTACAGATCCTCCGAATCGGCGAAATTGCGCCAATATCAAACTCAAGCGGCTGAATATTGCAAACAAATTAGCGAGCTTCGTAGGCAAGTAACGAACGAGAGATTCGATCGGGCGAGAAAGGACGAAGAGAGTCGCAGGTATATACATATATACATGTATATTCGTTGAAACATTAACTGATCGATGTTCCTCCACTGTTTACAAACAAAGTTTGACAGTACTATTTGAATGATCGGTATCGCATCTTCCTAGACACCTAGAAGGCACTGCTGATCCAATCCTACAAAACACACCTCCACCTTCTAATAACCGTACTCCCCATGGATCCAATGATGCCACGCACAGGTAATCAAATGTTTAATATCGTAACAGTTCTAAATGCAGAGGTGGATTTAAACAAGTATCAATTATTAGTACTAGTTTCATTCGGAAATCAAATATTTATTTTCCGCCTCTGCGATAGCGCATCCGTCTCGTCTCTCATCATTTATGAAAGAAATTAAACCTACCAGGCAAGTAGACTGGTTGAAGAAACCTTACACCGCGATTCCCCAATTCTCCCGTATACTTACCCCTGTGCAATCGGTAAAAGAACGACGTTCCTTTCCCTCGGATTGCAAGTGTTTGCCCTTGAGAAGCGCTGTACGCGGTGCACCGTTCAACAGATTGTCCCTAGTGTCCTCTGCTACGAGCAACCAAGCAGACGCCACAAGGCAGGATAGTTCCGACGACTCCGATAGACACTCGAAACCTCTGTAATCATATAATTCATTATTTTGTATGCGTGTGTAACGATTCGTTTGGTAGCTGTTTCAGTACGACAAGTTTTTCTATACAATAAATCAATTTCAACGTAACAGGGCTTGTTGAACTTACAATTAGTGGTGCAACAATAACATTTTATGTTTCACTGGATAATCGATATAATAACGTAAATTTTCATTTCACGAGATTCAGATTCCCTTTCTTTATTTGCAGGTCTTTAAATTCATCACCCGACAGTTTTAACGTAGATTTAAACGTGGTTATATAAAAATATCGTTTAACATGCCCTGATCGATAGATATTTACAGAAGAAAAGAAGCGCAGAGCATGATATCACTGACAACAGCTTCAAATTTAACGACTGCTCGAAAGATGTTCACCGTGATGTTCCTTCTATTAACATAATACTAAGATCAGACTGTACGATCGAGTCTGATCGGTATAACTGCTCCCAAAGGGAAACCATTCGAGACAAGAACAAACAATTATTGCCGAAGAACGAAGATTCCGAAAGAACGTTACAAACAGATTTGGAGTCGAGTTTGCAACGGACAGTTAAAAAGAAGAAAGATGCTGTAACTTTTATACACGTAGACGTGGAAACAAAGTATACAAATACACTGGCCAGATCTAAACTTGGAGTAATCGAGAACTCGTCGAAACCTACGAGTCACAGGTTAACGCACTCTTGTATTTGTCCTCTGAAATTACCTGATACTAATAAAAATTTGATGAAACATAAGGTACCAAGTGACACGAAAACTTCTTATAATAAACCTATATCAGAGGATAAGCAATTAAAAGATTCATCGGGTGGACAAAGAATGCATTTCTGCACAAATATAAATTATAATTCAACTGACTATCCTTTGAGAAATATAGAAAGAGAAATTGAAGATGGAAATGATACCATAGAAGAAAACTCTGTGGATAATGGTACAACGAATAGTTATTTAAAACCGCGAGAGAATGTTTATCGTAGTAAGTTGGAACGAAAACCTAAAAGTACAGTCTTAAAAGGTTTATCTTTCGAAAACATTCCGCACTCTACACTTGGAAATAATTTATCGGTTGCGAAAAGTGCAGATATTTGTACTAACGCAAACTGTAATTCAACTGCCAATCCTACGTTAAAAACAAATCGAAAAGTTGAACATGAAAACGCAATCAAGGATGAGAAATCTGTGATTACAATGGATAATTATTCAGAGGATCGGAAAAGTGTAAACCGTAATACGGAACCGAAATCGGAAAGACCTGTAGATACAGTTGATACTACCTTGGATATGCTGCAAAGTATATTGGAAGTAGTTAAGGATGCCAATAATAAAACTATGGTAAAATGCAAAAACATCAAATGTAATTATAAAAATGATATGCAAAACGTGAACAATGTGAAAAGCGAAATTATAGACATTGATTACGAGACGCTGCCGTCAATGGAGTTGATGAAACCAGAATGTATGAGAATGCTAACAGACATCAAAGAACGTACAAAAATGTTGGAAGAACAATTAACCGTTTTGAACAAAGATATAAATATGAAGAAAAGAGTCAATGAAAAGTGTATGGCTATTTCTGAACGCCGTATTGGTCCTACCACAAACATTCGAGATATTTACAGTATTAAACAACAGAGAGATATAATTACTCAGCAGCCAGAGAAGGAAAATGTCTTTATACAAAAGTCAAGTAGTCAAAACGATATCAGACATCTGAAATGTGTGCAGGAGAACAGAAAATTAGAATTGAAAAACATAGTAAAGTTAGGGAAAGTTAAAAAGCACAACTTAATGTCCCAACAAATCGATAAAAGGAAGACACATAACCAACAAATTAATGTAGCCAATAAAAATGATGGAGAACAACAGGAAAATAAAAATGAATTGCTCAAGTGCAATAATGTTAATAATTTAAAGAGAATAGAAAATGTACAAGATATTCGTATGTGGTCTGCATCGTCTTCGATTCTGGATCATTCCAACTTTAAACCGCTTACTTCGTCTACACCCACAAAAATGAACTTGGGTAGCAACAAAGAATGTCTTTGTTATATTTCATGTTCTACTCAGACTGATACTCGGTCCGAGAGAGATTCGCAAATGAAACAATTTAAAAAATCTACATTAAACGAATCGATGACCGATCCTTTGAAAAGAGAAGGGGCTGCGATTAACTTGACAAACGCCAACAATGCCAACCAAAATAGTTCAAATTGCCAAGAGAAAACTATTATAATGATGTTATTAACAAGAGGTGTAAGTAACACGCATTTAAAATCCAGATATAAAAAGTTAAAATTTATCAATTTTAGACCGACATGCATTATCGATTCGTGTATCGTGCGTGATCGAATATCGATGAAATCAAAGTTGCCAAAACGTAAAATCCAGATACCTACTGTGTTCAGGGAATTGAAATCCGTAGCGTGTAAAGTCGAGGATCGCGTTGACTCTGAGAAACCTACATGCGACGATTCTATGGCAAAAGATGGCAAAGTATCAGATTTATTAGCCACTGTTTACACGCAGTCGTCTAATTTATACATCACCACTGCCACCTCGGTTTCTCGTGTTACATTTAATAATAATAATAATAATTATAATTATACTAGAGACAGAGGAGTAAGAACAGGAATTTGTACATTGAGCTGAAAACACGTGTAAAATTCAAACAAAATTAAGATAAATATACAGTCGGTTTTGTAAATCGATGGAGAACAATTTGTCAATTATAGTAATATAAAAATTAAGTTGTTCATGTATCGTCGTATTCTCGTAAATTTTAAATCAAATTGTAAGACTGTACTAGTACTAATAATTAATGTAAACTGTTATTATATTGTACGCATGACTGATATTTTAAGAGAATCGTTTATTTTGTATCTGATTTGCTGAATTAATAAAGACATCATTTGGAATACCGTGGTTGAACTAATATCGAATTAAAAATATCAATATATATATATGTATATATACTTCTTTTGTTACATTCACAATTAGCGTGTAAGATGACACATTCGACTGGAAATAATATTAATGGATTTCTGGTCAGGTACGCTGAGACATGCTCGTTTCAATAACGAGTATGAACAGAGAATAAACATCCAAAAATGATTTGTATGTTTAATTTTTAATAGTTCTCCTTCGTATTTAGTAATTTATTATATCATTCTTTTATTCCTTTACACATATGTTATGATCTCGATGATCGTATGAAACGTTGAACATGTAAACTAGGTAATTACAAATAATAAAAATAAAAAGCCTCTCATAAGATTCTCTCTTCGTTCCTAAACGTTCAGCTATTCAATTTGATTTATGTATATATGTATAATGTATAATGTATTTTATATATATGTATATCCATAATATATGTATAATTTATATATAAAATACATAATAGAGGCTTGCACAACGTTTTACAGTTTACGGCTGTTATCGTAGAGATATCGGGCTTCCTCGTTACAATACCTCAGCCATTATAATTTTCTCTTTCTTAGTGTCCGCTGTGTTTCATCAGTTCGATAATTACAAAAAATTCATACCTTGCAACTCCTACTGTGTCTTGTCATAATCTATTATAATACAGAACTTTCTCACTTCGTTTCGTCCAGACGTTTTAATCTTACACCCTTAAGAGAAATTTATACACAACTCGTAACATCGTGAATGAAATACAGGCATTATGTACAAATATTTATAATCGTATATACATACATATATATATATACGCATATTTATGTATAGATAAGTATATATGTATATGTATATATAGTTTCCTTTTTCTTTAAACTTTACTTCAAGTACCTGGATAACTCGTCAAACGGTACTTTGATTACAGGTAATGTCCTCGGTTCTTCTTAAAAAATCTGCGGAACCGTCAGATTTTAATCGAGGATAAAATAAAACTCACGAATCGAATGGCAATCAGTTGAAAAGTGATCTTCGAATTTGATTTTTTGCGAAAACAAAAACAAAAAAAAAGAGACAAAGAAAAACAATTATGATTCTGGCGTAATGAACGACCTTGATTAATCAATTGTCAAAACTTTATACGTTCGATACTGAAATAAAATAATTACAATTGCTGTGTATCTCTTTGCTGAAGACTGCTTTAGAGACTCGATCGAAGAAAACGGTTAAAAGGGGAATTACAGTTGGAAACGATTCCCCTTGGAAAAGAGTTTCCTAACAAGTTTTCCTTCCTCTTCTCTTTTTAGTTCTGAAAATTTGAAAAACACTGGCTTCAACGACATTTAGGCCCTTTTAATTCCAAGTATAAATATACTTACACCTGTATCTATATCACACAGACAACTCGGTAGCGATAATTGATCTTTTAAACTCGAAAGTTGCAGCTTTGCTTGGGTTGCTTCCTCGTTTTCTCTGGCTTCCAACGAATCGTATCTTTTTCTTACGTGTAACAGACGACAAAGTAAATTCGTGGAAAACAATTCAACTTTTCAATATATTCAAGTTTGCCGAAAAAGTATAAAAGATCCCTAAGATGTATTCGAGAAGTCATTGAAGATGAACATGCCTAAAAGTAAAAATTTAGATTAGAGTAGTCTTGCAAGCATACATGTATATGTATAGTATATATATGTATATATATATATGTATACATAACCAAAAGGTTTTCAACCTTTCACGTAGTGCTTCCTCAATGCTTGGAAAAATGTCATTTTACAAAGTAAGAAACAAATATTTTCTTAATCAACGCCGCGATATAATAATAGGAATCGTGAAATATTTATAATAATAATAAAAAAAAAAAAAAAAAAAAAAAAATCAATGTACAGTTCGTGACTAGTTTAAGAATGCTTTACTTCGCATTTCTATATTTTATTTCTATTCACCTGGTTCTTTTCAATTTTTTAAAACATTGGATATCGTTTTGAAAGAATTTAACACACTTAATTTCATAAGTACCAAGTTATACCTTTGGTATCAATTTTATGAGTCGATAATAGTTTACTCTAATTATATTGCGATCTTAATTTTTTTTTAAATTGTTTCTTTGTAGAATAACACTTTTTACATTTTAAAGAGAACTAAAGATACGTTTACACGACTACCCTAAATATAGACTTTTATTTTTGGACAAGTATCTTCCAAATATATTAATACGGCTAGAAATTCCCGAGCTAGAAACTGATTTAAAGCAGAAGAGGAATTCTTAGATCGACACGATGGACTCGAGGGCCGGTGTATGCCAACGTTTACACGCTACATGCGACTACCTTGCCAACACGCGTTTGACAGTAAAATTACTCAATAATAAAACAAAAGAGAGACGATAATATAGACATGTAATTGCAATATGCAATTATAAGAAAAAAAAGAGAGAAAAAAAGAAAGATAAATTCCTGGCAAATACATTTCATAAAAAGATTTCTTTACAATCTAGGTTTTCTTGGTGACTTATGAAAAACATACAATAATAATAATATTAATAATAATTAATAATAATAATATAATATAATAATATAATATTGATTGTAATTAACTATAACGTCCATAAAGTATTTTCTTCGCCCTTTTTTTTTGTACACGATTACTAAAAACATTTCTTCCGCTTCATGTTGAGAAAATAAATATTAATATTAAATTTGAAATATTATCTCGTTTTCTGTTTTTCATTTTTTTCATTATCACTGAATCCGCGTCACTTCAACTACTGTCTTTCGTTCGTGGTTACTAATTACAGTACATTATATTATAGTCTAAATCGGCAAATCGGCTTGCCTAGTAAGTTTATAGGCCTCTTTTAATAATATGGAACATTGCCGTGTCATCCTCTTCCTCTTAGTACTTTCTCCTCTCTTGACCGTTCCTTCCTTCTCGGTTTTAAACGCACAAACACAGTTCTTTCATTGCAATCACGATTGTAAATCTCGTTAACCTTACGATATTACTTCTCTGTTTGTTTTTTTTTTTTTTTCTTTCACTTTACACTAAGATTCAAAATAAACAGGTTGATCGCTGCTCGCAACATTAAAGAGCTTTCTCTTAGAGGCCTGGTTCGAGAGGTCACCTATGGCTACTGGTACATTGATCGTTCATATCGTACAAAACTTGTGCGATTGTTCTCGATGATTCCACGTTACTCAATGCCACACCTGCCAAATGTGGTTCGTACGCTCTAAGGTGCCTGAAAAGAAAAATAAACAATAGAGAAATCCGTAAATACAAACAGAAACCCGCTGCGAAAGTACCAAGATAAAATTTCACCTTCTGCCATGTGTTGAATATATGACTAGGTTTCTGAGAATAAGAGCTGCTGTCAAGCGAATACTTTTGGTCACTGGACCTTCGTTGTCGTCCTGTTGGAGAAAAAAAGTTCAAACGATTTAGAAACGATTTAGTAACCATGAGAATATCTCGATTGTGTATCAAAGTAAAAATATACAAAATGAACTAACTAGTCACACTAGTCTTAATTAATGCCAGAACAAATGTATAATGTATGCACACAAAGATATAGCGATTATTCGATGACGTTTCAAGTAATTAGTCGCAACAATTTTAAACGTTAGCGAAATATTGTACAAATATTGTGATTCGGCGAATATACGTGAAATAAAATATCAGAAAGACCACTGGCTTTCCATATTTATACTTCGATACAGCAAACATCAAGCTACCTTTTACATATGAATTCATGTAACATATCGAATTTATGAAATCGTGAAGTACATATCTTGAATGATCGTAGCAAATAATTTTAGCATAAAATAAATTAATTACAGCATGCTACGTGAAAACAAAAAGAAAAGTACTCTCGCTTGAAACCATTTGTAAATACAAACACAAGACATTCATACATGTATTCTTTAAACAAATGCTTATTTCCAAGTTTAAAATTTTTAATAACGTTAAGAATATTTACGTTCTTAACAATTTTCAATAAAAAAAATTCCTTGTTACGGTGTCCCTCTAATTACTTCTCACAGTAAAATTTAAAAATGCAATATCAACCAACAATATTTCACATTCGTCAATATCTTGCATCATGTTCACAAGACAAACGTATCATTACTATACAATCATAAGTTACCGTAATCGTACAATTACAGACTAATCTCCCGCTCGGAATCTAGTATCCTGAGAAATGTTCTCAGAATCGAGCGTAACCAGCGTAAAAATAGATATTTATTGCGTTCGGGTGCAAGCGCAATTTATAACCCATTCAATGTTCAAATAAAAAATTCTCAAATTACAAGATGAATGCTTCAAAGATGATGTATTCTCCTATGTATCGTAAAGCACAACAAATATATTCTACGTTATGCCACTTAAAATAAAAACATTATACCAACACCCTGTCCATCACGCATACTTCAACTGCGTGAACACATAGAATTATAGCCGACGCTAGCTACGAAATGAAAATAATATGAACTCCATGCTAAAAAAATATATGTATAACGAAAAATATGTATAACGAAATGTGTAAAAGATTAAAAATTAATTTAAAAAAAAAAAAAAAAAATATGAGAGAGAAAAAGAGAGAGAAAAAGATGTATTATGTAAATCAGCACGGTGCGGAAACAAAAGGAGTACAAAGCGCAAAAAAAAAAAAAATATAAGGCGGCAGGAACAGCGCACAGGGGCTGTGGCTGTGTATGGATCGTGAATCCTTTTCAATTCTGAACACGTTTTTTACCTGTTCTGGTGGCGGATTTTGCCCAGGTCTGGGGGAAGAAGAGCTTGTGGTGGCTGCAGCGGGCTTGGTCGGCCTTTGCTGCTTTGCCAAGAGAATAAGAAATTTCATTACATTAACAAAACTCAATAGACTCTAAGAACCATGGGACTATAAAGGATTCTCCGAAATATCGATGCAGATTATTCTATAGCCGAATGCGTTATTATCGTTCGTGCTAACTCATAGGCTATCTCGTGTAACATCATCGATTACGTTACCACCATGTCAGAGAAGTACTCCGTATTTTTTGTCTCGCTTTACCAAATTTTACTGCTCAGCTTATGGCCGAACAAATTTTATCGTTACTCTGACCAAATATGTACCGTTTCAAGTGATTACTAACCATCAATTCCTTCGGATTCACGAACTCCAAAGCGTGCCGTTTAATTGCATGGAATGCTGCATTCGGTGCGTAGCCAGGATGATGAGGAGTCGGTGTCGTCGACGTGGAAACTTCGGTTTTCCCGGTTACCGTCAACTGCTTCCTTCTCATCGACATGGTCTGCAAAGATGTCCAATCGTCGGATTAATCGAATCGTTGAAGAACAGTAGAATAGAACGAGTAACTCGTACTTACGTCTGCGTTACAGTGCCTATCGTACAAGTGCGTCATTAACGAAAACCTACGCCTTTTCAAGGCATCGCAACTTGCCCAAAGACACAATATTTCTTCTCCGCTGGTTGGACAATGCGCCTCGCACACGTGAAGGTAAACTTCGTGTGGTGTCTTGAATTGCCTGCAGAGACACAAGAATTTGTACCGTCATTGCCGTGTTGTTCGTATAAGCAGCCATGAAAAAATTCAAACTGGTAATTACCTCAAGCATCCCCGCCACTCGCATAAATAGGCATTGGGATCGATTTTGATAGTGATAGTCTTGTTCTCCGGCAGATTTTGACTCGTAGACGGTTTAGATTCCGGCTCCGTGGAGGTTGAGGAACTGACAGTCTTTATAACTTTAACTGGTTGTTTCGTTGGCAATCCGTGCGTGGCAGCAGCTTGGTGGGGGGTCGTTGGTCTTGTAGGCGGTGGCGTCGACGCGGGAGTAGGCGTCACGACTCTAGACGGCACACTCGTCGACACGGGCGTCTGTTGAGCCATCGCAGGGATCGTGACGGTCACTGTGTTTGGATTTGTTTGTGCTACCGAACTGTTCACTATTATGGAAGCTTGTGGAATTGTGCCCGACGTTGGAACCAACGGCGGCGGTATGTTCCCCAGAGCAGGACTCTGCAGAATAGGGCGCGATACTTGCGTGACGACCACTTGCTGTCCCTGAGGCGTAACAGCCACCATTTTTTGCTGAGTAGGCTGAGCAGCCGTTTGAGGTTGCAAGATAATAATCGTTTTCGCGCCCGTTCCCTGCTGTTGGGTCGTTTGAGCCACCAAAACGGTCTGCGCTTGACCCTGAACCAGCGTCGTCTGCGGTTGAGCCAAAACGTAATTTTGACCAGGAACCCCGCCAGAAACAACATACTGTAACTGACCACCGGCTCCTTGCTGCAAGAGAACTTGCGGCTGAGACTGCGTTTGTCTTCCCTTTACCGCGGAAGTTGGTATGATCACTTGATTGTTGGGTTGTAACGTTTGCTGTACTACTATCTGCCTGGGAGCCGCGACGATAAGTTGTTGTTGATGTTGCTGCTGTTGTTGCAGTTGCTGTTGATGTTGTTGCAGCTGTTGCTGTTGATGTTGTTGCAGCTGTTGCTGATGATGTAGTTGCTGTGCCTGCTGCTGCTGCTGTTGTTGTTGTTGTTGTTGTTGCTGCTGCTGCTGCTGCTGCTGCTGGTGAAGTTGTTGCTGCGCCTGCTGCTGGAGTTGCTGTTGCGCCTGTTGTTGGAGTTGTTGTTGCGCCTGCTGCTGGAGTTGTTGTTGAGCTTGCTGGTGCAGTTGTTGTTGAGCCTGTTGCTGCAATTGATGTTGCGTTGTTTGCTGCTGCTGTAACGATTGTTGTTGGGGTTGTTGCAACGCTTGTTGTTGCGCTTGCTGCTGCGACGGTTGTTGCTGTTGCTGGTTGATTTGATTGACGAATATATGAGGTTCTTCCTTTATCGTAGGTTCTTCCTTGATCACATTTACATTCACATTCACATTCACATTCACATTCACATTTACATTTTCGTCAAGGTCGGTTTCGTCTTCTATACAGTCAGCAGCCAGGGCAGCGTAAAGATTCGCAGCCGTAGACGAGACGGTCGCCTTTTCGCTGTCCTTGTCGTCGTCCTGTTCCTCAGACTTTATACTCGAGACAGTAGATTCGGCAGTCGTCGAGTCAACAGCAGGATCCGGCGACATAGTACCGTTGGAATACTTTAATTTCTTCGCGTCTATCTCGTCACACTCGCTGGCCGCCCTTTTCATTCCCCTTGGGGGTTCGATCAGAGCGTCCTCGGACACCTCCGTTTGTATAACGTTACCTTCTTCTACCTCCGATTTTACTTTAATGTCGGTTGGAGATTCTTTTAACACTTTCTTGATATGGTTCTCTACCAGATCCATTCCTTTCTCGTTGATTGAATTCTTCCCTAGAACACCGTTCAAGATGGGCTCTTTTTCGACCTTTCTCTCTAGCAGATCCGCAAGCATCATACTTTGCAACGGCTTCTCTTTAGAGGTTACGCTAGACGAGTCTTTCGAGGATCCGTCCTCCTGTACGTCTATGTCCATGTTACTCGGCGCACCGTTTAAGAGGATTCCCTCGAAACTCGTCAGAGAATTCTCTTCTTCGACGCCAACGCCGGAGCAATCCCTGCTGCCACCTATACCGCTACTAGACGCCAAAGAATTGTTGGTCGAGTCCGAGTCCTCGGCGATCGACGTGCAAGTGGTACGTTGGTTTGTCTTATTCGCGGTGGTTGTAATTGTTGTTGGAGGCCGACATACTTTAATTGTGGACGATATGTGATTTTCCGTCGAATTGATAACCACGGTGGAAGCAGTTGTCGATGTTGCGATTTGGTTGACATTTTCATTATCATTTATTTCAGTCTGAAAGAAGAAAGTTTTACATAGACGTATTCTCTGGCAAACTTGGGTGATTTTAGAAGAACAAAGAATATGTATAACGTACCTTGTCGCAGTTATTAGTCATAATAAATTTGGCTCCGTTAAGCCTTTGTATCTTTTTGGCAGGAATGGGTGTAATAATAGCTGGCTTTTGTTTCGAGTTAATGGGAGTCTTTGGGAGTATTGTTGATGTGGTTGTATTCGAGGATGGCTGTGATACGTTGGTTAACTGTTGTTGCAGTAACCTCTGTTGTTGTTGGCGTTGTGCTACCTATAGAACCGAATATGAATTTAAACTTGCTATCCAGTTTAATATTCTAGAGAACCTCTCTTTATATTATAGGTTTCTTTCGACTACTGTTGGGCCAAAAATAATTTCAAACTCGAAAACAGCATGCTTTTGTTAGTAAAATACGAAACGTTATTAATTATAAATTTGCTTGATTCAGAAATCACTCCACTGAAAAATACTTGGATTATAAACTAATCCAAGATGGTTCGGCTTAAATTCATGTTTAAAAATAAAAAGTCGCATGGCAAAAATCTATTATCTAGGTCTACCTCGAAACGTAAACATTAAAATGCTTTTAGTACAATGTAAAATTGAATCATCTTAAATTTCGATCTACCATTTCTTCGATCAACTTGCAGTTACTCTTACAGTTTCATTTGAGGCTAACATTTTTTCAAACAAACTATAATTATTATATAGCTTATTTTAAAAGACCACGTGTTCGTCCAAAAAAGAAAAGAAAAGAAAAAAAAAGAAGAAAGAAAGAAACACTTTGTATCAAACTCGAGTAAAAGTCTAAAAAAACGAAAACAAATAATTACTACAGTTTTCATTGTTAATGTACAACAATGATACCTGGTTGCTGGTTATTAGCTGGTTGGCACTGATGCTGGATGCGATGCTAGCAGTAGTGTTTGTTACACAGGCAGTAGGGGTAGACACACAAGTCGCAGCAGTACTGGGCATGCAGTCGCTGCTGACCGTTACCTTAGTAGCCAGAAGGCTTTTTATTATGGAACTGGATGTGGTACCACTTCGGTTATCTTCCTTTGCAACTACCTGGACAGTTTGAGATTGTTGTTGTACTTGCTGCAGCTGCAGCTGTTGCTGTTGCTGTTGCTGTTGCTGTTGCGGTTGCGTTTGCGTTTGGGATCCACTAGACAGCAACGCTTGACTCAGATGAGGATGCGATACCGACACCTGATCAACAACAGTTACCGCAACGTGAATATAGTATATCGTTACGGTGGATTATATGACAACATAAGTATTACGATGTAAAAGCATCAGTTTGTTTCATTGAAATAGAAATTACAAAGCTAAACGGTATGCTTAGTACTTGTATCACTCTACTTGTTGAGTATATTACTATTATGTTAATTATGTTTATTCGAATAATTTTTAATATCGATTCTAAACTTGTTTAAAATGCAGAAAATGAAGAAATTTGTACAATATCATCAGCTCGTGAAAACGATGAAATTTAAGACATTACGTGTTGTCGACATAATAGTTAAACACTCGTAACATTGTATTCGTTACTAACGATAAGCATAATATGAACCAAATAAGACTAGTCGAATTAGCCACTTAAAAGAATAGAATTAACGATTATTATAAGAATGTAAAATAGAAAAAATACTCTATTATACTCGGATGGACATTGCGATTAGAAAAAGTCCGAATGAAAAAGTATGTACTTGCGACGGAAAATCTACTTTCGATCATGCAATAATAAAATTTCTTAGTTAATATCCTACTTGAACGAATAGTATATGTATATTGCTTGTCGTCCACAGAAAATAAATAATAATATGCATAGTAGTATTTGTAATTACTACCGATAAAAATATAATGGATGGAACTGTAAGCTTCGGTACGTGTAAAAATGAGAGAAATTTCAAATAAAAAGTTGTATCGATAACCTAGACTGAACAGAACAGTATGTACGTATCGTTTGTATTCATCGGCATGCATGTGTAGCGATGGGGATACAGAGGATCCGAGGCATGCAAAATGTAATTTTGTTAAGGAAAGCCCATTATTATAGTAGCGTGGTGAAACCATAACCAAAATAAGATTCAAGGTCATGAGTGGTAGAGAGAGAATGGTAGAAAGCTAGGACTTGGACCCACCTGACTTTTAGAATCAACCTTGGTGACTGGATTTTGGGATTGATTCGAAATGTTTGAAGTAGTGGAGGGTGGTTTCGGTGGGGCAGATAATTGGGCTTTCAGGATGGGTGATGCTGGGGCAAGGGTTCTTTGAGGCCCAGATGCAGGATTGTCTAGGGCCGTGCTATCAGGAGCAGGACTTATACTCTTGATTGTACGCTGTTGTACGGGAAGCACCTTTACTGGAGTTGCGTTGATTGCTGGAATTGGAGCTGTGTTAGTCCCAACCGCAGTTTGGCTCGGATAAGTTACTTGGGGAGGTGTGGCCCGTACTCTGATTCCTTCGTAATACTGAGTACCAGTTGTTTCACCTTTCAATGGGTTTGGTCCAACGGTTCCACCAAATACAGATCTGCAACAAATGAATGTATATATCGTTGAGTCGAGTCGAGTCGAGTCGAGTCGAGTCGAGTCGAATCGAATCGAATCGAATCGAATCGAATCGGTATTGAGGCTAATGTAATTTGTACAACTGCAAGAAATCGGATAGCTACCTAACACATCTTGGAAAATGGAGAGGAGCGATAACCCCTCTTCTGCCAATTTTTGTGCAACAACCGAGGTACTTTTTGTACAATTCTTCTTGTTCTATGCGTACACCTGGTACCGGTTCAAAGGTAGCTCTCAACCAACCTAGAGCAAATTGCTCGTTTTCCTGTATGATTTGTTGGTGTGCATGTTGCTGTTGAAGGGAATTGTTTGTCTCCACTGCTTCTGTTTGCAGATTAAAAGAAAAAACAATGTCGTATGTGTGTTGGAATCGTACGAGGCATTTTGTTTGTCTTTATACGTACTGTGCGTTGTAGACTTTGTCGAAGTCGCAGCTGGCGTGGTTGGTCGCGACGGTGCTGGGCTAACAGGAGCTGGCGACGCTGTAATCGTTGCTGGAGTAGTTGGTACAGACGCCGACACTGTTACAGCTGGAGCAGCAGCGGTAACCGGAGTGTTTTGAGTAGTGTTTGGCGGTGCCGCTACAGTGGACACTGTTTCGATCACTCTCATCAAAATACAAGCTTTCGGTCCGTAGCTTTGCGCTTCTACGGTTACTAGGGCGACTAACGTGTCGATAGCTCCGCGTACCCGCGCGACGCTAGTACATGGCCTTTCACCCAAAGAAGTCAACGCGTACAAACATTCCAATGTATACACTAAAAGAGCTATGTCGTTCAGAGCTAAAAACCTGCAAACAAACATAAACCATGACAAATTATGCGTATTATACGTATAGATATGTATACTGCGCAGTATATCCGTAAAATTGAAAATAGTTTGATTATCGAAATAAATTTACTGAAAATAAAGATTACGGATTACACGTACGGTTACATGTCAAGTTTCTTACAAAACAATCACCTGCATATAAGTTCATAAACATTGTCCTGTAATCCAAACGTAACGATTTCTTCGTTGCTGTCTTGCTGACTAATTTTATTAAGCACCTCCAAACAGGAAATAACGATAAACCTGTCTTGGGATTCAATTCCCTTGGCCACACACGACAACACGACATCCGTTATCCTTTCGCCAGCCTCTTTTAAGATTATTTCGTTTGCTATGTTCCCAAGTATGTCGAAGCCAAGTTGATGCAAATTACTCCACCTCGCTCTCACGCACAGTAATACGAATCTCAGAAAACACCGATTCCTTCCCAATACAGCGGCATTCTCTGGGGTGAAACTTAAATTTCGTAAAATCGATGCAATTTGCAGCACGCGTTGCCCATAAGGATCCTGCGTTCCTAGCGTTCGTCCAACGCAAAACAAATCTCTGTCCTCTTCCTCAAACTTTATGGAGTTTTGGTTCAGATCTCTCAAATTCTCATCCTGAAGAGATCCGATCGGATCCAATCTTGGACAGTCTGGAAGCACCTAGAACCGCAACACAAGCTTTTTGCTACCTCATCGGCACCTCTCGCAATTCGAAAGAAAAGAAAAACTGGCTGTTTGAAAAATGTACGGAAAACCGAATAATGATCGAGTCGAGTTTCCTTTGGAAACGGAATCTGTTAGTTATCGAGAACACGGTTGATGATTATATTCAGCCTTACCCCGTCGATGTCCATCGACGTAGAGGCCTCATCGTTCTCTGTTGGCGCGGCACTTTTGTTCTGCTTCTCCTTCTCCAAGATTTTCCGCCTGGAAAAGGTCTGCGGACTGGCGTTTGGCTTCTTCATGAACGTCCTCTCGTTCGTAAGATCTATCACGTCCTGAGAGTCGAGGACGTCCGACCAGAAGGAGTTGATCGAGTAATTCCTTACGCGGGAGTAGACCTCGATGAAGAGCTGCCGCGTGCCCGGCGAGTCGAACACACCAGCATGGGCCAGAAGAATGTTTACGAGACGGGGATACTTGTCGAGACGCAAGATGTGTTTGCCCTCGTTCGACAGCAACGTGCAAACGTTGATGGCAAAGTCCTGCTCGTTGGGCAGCGGCGAGAGCAGAGAGAGTGCAAGCTTATCGTAGTTGCACGGCTTGTAGAGGTCCGACGAAAGCCCATTGTATTCACGAAGAGATTCTGAAAACATTGTATCAACTCGATATGTCAAGTGTACTCAAAGTATGGTGTACGTTAAAAAGAACTGACTCGAGTATCGTCAGATGTACGCAATATACGATACTTTGCTTTACCTCTTAAGGGACCAATTTTAAACGGATTTCTTTTTTTCCTTTAATCGAATGGATCGAAGAATCAAAGAAATCTTTATCCGTGTACTTGTTTTACTCTATTATTTGATGTACGAGTAAAAGCAAATCTACACAAATGCCTCAATATCCCTCGAGAAATTACAATCGATTCGATTCTTCGACTATTGAAAAAGTATTTTTGCTCGATATGTAAAAAACACGAGTTGGTCAATGATACAAAGACACAGAGATTCTTTCGTACACGCAAGGAGATTGGAAGATGCAACTGGTGTGATCGACAAATCACGGCCGTAAGTAGGTTATGCCTCGGTCAGGGTCAGACTTGTACCCAGTAACGAAAATACAATAAACTCCCGTATACCGCGAACAATTTCTACATCATTCAAACTTTTGTCTAGATTACAAAATTATCGATTCGTAACAATCGATATCGATATCGAGTCTGTGTTGTATCGGCCGAATCTTCGATTGGAGGTTATATCGCAAAATAGTCATTCGTTTATCAGCTATACGTTACTCGACATTTCTATCTAGATGAGAATTTTGTTCGTCTCTGCCAGCAGAGAGCAATATTATCAAGAATAACGGTAATCTTTTCAGCCATAAAGCCGCGATCAATAAACGCGACCCGAGAGGAAATGTTACCTTTTGACGGAAACCACGGAATCCGAAGGTCTGGCGATGGAACTCGGTGAGAAAAGGTAAAAGTTTAATTCCCTAATAAAATTGAGTCTCGTCTACGCAAGATCCAGTTCGGCTCAAAGACAACATCGTTTCTCCGTGATGAAGCAAAAGAGAACTTTTAAGCGGGATAACGTGTACTCTGTATACTCGATATCGTATATCGTGTACAAAATTTCCGTAGTATTCAATATTAAACATTCGTCCATCGGGATGTTAAAAAGGTATATTTGTGGAAAGGTATCTTTGTTAATTAATTCGGTTCAACGAGCATCGCCACAACATACTTACGTTACGTAGGTGGATTATGCTCGTTGAAAAATAAAATCCAAGTTGGCGTTCGATTCGTACGTTCGCGTATCGATACACGACCTGTTGGATCGCATTTAATAACCGCAATTGCTGCTTCTCGTGTAACCCCTATCAGCCGTCATTACTGTACTTTTGTCCGTTGTGTCACTTTGCTCGGTGTTTGATTTTAAACGGAATGCGAAATAACAACGTCGAGTCAAATTACGATTTCTCCGATATAAAAATTCGTGATGCACGAGTTCCGAGTCTTTAACGTAAATATACCTAACCTCTGTTTCGTTGAATTTTAACACATCTAACCTTTTCAGCGTCTATTGCTTTTCAAGATTTAAAAATAGAATTATTACACGTATTACAGGTTTTAGAAAAGAAATGGATTATATTTTTTTGAAAAGGATGGGAGGTGGGTGGTGTGGGTGTTTCTCTAGTAGCGACAAAAGGTTCATCGTCCTCTTGGTATTTACAGATTTACCGATCGAAAAAGAAACTTGAGAATTAATTGTCTCGATGTACGTTTTTCTCCCTATCGTTGAATGTTAACGAACACAACATGGAACACTCGATACGCAACTGGAATTATTTCCCATTCTTCGGCGCGATAACAACGACGCGACGCGACGCGACGCACCGCAACGTTGCTTTTCTTTTCCTGCGGCCTGTCGATGCACTCGCGTGTAAATGAACGGCCTTACCAATGAAACCGATAAGCGATAACGAGAATAATTTAAACGTTATTGGTTATAAATAGTAAGGAGAAATTGAATTAAAAGTTTCGAGTGCGCTACCGAAATCGATAAAATATTAATCGCTCTGCTAAACAGGTTTACGTGGTCAAAGTTTACATCTACCTGGGTTTAAAGTAACATAACCTACCATAGGCGTTCGCTCCATGATTTAGGACTTAGGAGAATGGCAAAGTCACGAAAAAAATTAATTAAACGATTATTTGATCGATAGAGTAATAACGAAAGACCGATCGATCGGGCAGCAGTAGTAAATCCGTTGGAAATGCCAAGAAGCAACGAATTCGACGAGGTTAAAGACATTTGGTTCGCGCATGATGCGTAAGGTGGACAGAAGGCGCTGTGTCTGTGCACGCGACGAAGCTAATTGACTCCTAACCCCTTTAAGTTTGTGAAACAATTTCAAAGAAATAGACCTATTCCTAAACGTTACATTTAACGAAGCTCAAACGTAATTTTCAGGGTGCAAATAATATTATATTTTGTTATATTCCAAGAAAATAATCCAGAACCGGGGAGGTCGACGCGTCGGCTGTTGGAATATTTATAGATTAAACGAGACTCTCCATTCTCAACGCGTGGTTCTTTGCACAAGCGCCGGTTGCCCAATAACGTATCTTTTTTTTTTATTTATTTATTTTTTGTATTTTTTAAATAAATAAATGTTCCCTAGCGTATACCGACCTTAATTTTTATTCGAAAAGCCCGTTAACCATTATTTACTCGTAGATAGGGACGGTGATAAATCGTCGGTTACGAGTTGAACTCGGTAGAACGGCAGTCCGACGCGAAGGATGACGAACGCTGTAACGAGTTATATGCCGCGGTAGCGTGTGCAGCGAGAGAGAGCATCCGTGCATCGATGATCGATGACACGCGGTCTAAGCGTCACAAGAGGTGGTCGGGGGGGTCCCCTCACTCCTCCTGGATGACGGGAGAATTCGGCCGACGCGACGCAGCGAGTGAGAAAGGAGGGCTGGTGATTGGGTAAAAATGCGGGAGCGGAAGGGGGGCGCGCGTGTAGCTGAAAACGTTGGTGTTTGGAAAGAGGGGTCGGAATCGGGAGTTAGCGAGCATCGCGCATGTGCCGACAACTCCGTACCGTATTACGGCTGGGAAGAGGATCGAGGACTCGCGGAACACCTAACCCCGCAAACGCTTATTGATTGTGACGTTCGCATCGTGTTTCCTTCTCTGTCTCTGCCACCTCCTCCTTTCCTCTCTTTCCCACAGTTCATCTTTTGTTCTTCACCGTCTTTGATTCCATGTTTATTTACTTTACCACTTTCTTTCGCGCTCGTGTTCTTTATTCGGTTCTCTATCGCGATGCGTAATAGATTCGACTGCGACGAATAGACCTGACATGACAACGGGATCATGTGACTCGCGCGCTTTTCGTCGATGATATTCAATTACGGTTCGCGTGATCGAACACGCGATAAAAGTTACTTTTCGTACGTTTTGGTTGGGATCGCCGAACGAGAAACTCTTTATCTACCCGAACGTATGTTTATAACGACGATAACATTTCTTTAGAGCTTTCCTAATATTTGTACTCGTTAATCGCATAAAGAATTTTCTTCGTCTTTATTTGGAATCAGCATAAATTGCAGTCACCGCGAATTAACTCACGAACGAAACGACGCGTGTGCGAAACTATAGGCAACGTGAAACTACAAATTCAATGATTACGCGTTGCGAATACTTAACGAACGGTTTAGCACGAGCGTCACGCGAACTTGGACGCCTCGATAAAACGTTACGTATGAACAAGCACATCCAACGTTAAAACAAGGTAGAATTTTGTGCATGGATACAAGCTCCTTGAGCGCGGCATCGATTTTGCGGCGCACGCCGCCCATTATTTCATCGGGCGCAAATGACACCGCTGCCGATAGGCGATTTCAAAATTTCGTTACAACCAATTTTCGGTGAAAATCGTTATACGGTGACGATACAAAAATACGAAACACGCGATATTTGTGTAACTTTAGCAATTTACGTTAGCTTTTCGAGAAACATACTTGTTTGTATTCTAATCTACAATAACAAGTATACATATTATTGAATTAGCTGTTTAATGAATAACAGTGTTTGGAAAAGTGTGCTTGTACGTAGATTCGACAATCCCTGCGGTTGTTAAACACGAAAACATAATCGCCGACTTGCACCGTAACATAAGGGGTCCACTGGTCTCGACGCAAGGTTCTTTAGAGGTTAAGTACGTCTCTACTTGTCTCGATCTAAGCTTTGTATCGCACTGTTATCATTACAAGTAAATGGAATATGTAATAGCAACCTGTTTGAATACATTGGATATTAGGTAGGAAAAGTTGGCTATGCCTGGTCTATACAGGAAGAGTGGCGTTCACTTTGAAATTACCTTACGTAGCGAAAAGTGAAGCTGTACGCAAAGCGTTCGACAGACCAAACCGTTTTTCTGGTCTGGCCGTATCGCTCCATAGGCATGGGGCAAAGAAGCGTGGAAGAACGACAAGAGTGGGGACGCAACGAAGCTGCGTTAGCCAATGGCGCGCATGCGCGCAAAATATAGACCCGGCGCGGCGTTCCGACAGTCGTAGCTCGGCTACGAAGGTGATGCGCGGTGGTTCTATGTGTGTCACGATTATTGCCCATTAAATGATCTCGCGCACATTGCGCGCGCTCTACTCTCGCTCGTGACACACGGTCGCGCGGCCGTGTGTACCACGCAAATATATGCGATAGCTATAGATGCATATCGGTAACCTCTGTACACCAACGCACGTATAAACATGTATCGGTATCGCCTTGCACGTATACGCGCGTTTATTCCCAGCCAGTCTGACTCTCTATCTCTATATCCTTCTCTCGCCCCGACAACAGCCCCGACAGAGCCACGTCAATAACCCGTTGCCGCCTCGACGTGCTGCAGCAGCATACAGCGCATTTATAGCGGCGAGTCCCGCGCACATGTGCTCCGCGGTGGCCAATACGTTTACCGATATGCTTTTTTGGGGGAACAAGTTTCGGGGGCTTTCACCTGTTTTCACCAATGACCAGGGTTGCTATTCGATCCCGATGTTTCTTACAATTGGAAACGATGTCACGATGCCTAAGTGAAAGAAAGGGGGGAAAAGTTTCGAGTATAGAACCTCCACGAATCGGAAAACGAACAGAGGGTTAATTTTGATATCGCGTCTGCTGGCTTTGGTCTTTGGTAGCCGATACCAAATTCGGAATTCTACATTCTGTTTCGTTTTTCTTGTTTGTCGTCCGAGGCTGTGGACCTGCATGCGAAATGCACTGCGCGGCGAGCATAAGTGGGCAAAAACGGTTGATCGTGGAACGATCGTAAATTGAACGGGCTGAGTTGAACCAACGCCGTGGGCATGGGTATGCGTGAAAAAAATGTAATCGGAGACACGGTGGGTCACCGAGGTTTCGCTATCCGTGTACCGTGCAAAGAAAGTGATCGCAGAGAAACTGGAGGCTGGAAGGGAATGTGGGAATACGGTGAAAGTGGAGTAGGATCTAAGCGTGTTCGGTCTAGACTTGCACAGGGAGGTCGAGGTAGAGGTGGAAGATATTGGTCGCTCAAGGTCACTTCCCTCCCTCTACAGGAAAACGCGAGCTTCGTGTTATTGGCTTTTCACGATTTTTTCCCAAGTGTACGTGCGCGATGTAAATGTTATAAATAATGATTTATAAATGAATTCCAATTGCCTCTGCAATCAATCATTTATCATTCTAGATAAATATATTTACTCGTCGCTTTATTACGTTACATTTATTAACCTTCCACGTATCTAGAGCTGATTTCTATCCCAATGTATCTGTACGCGTGACGATCGTTCTTCAAAGAAAGACAACTTATACTCATACACGGAAGCTTCCAACAGCCTCGAACGTTAGAATGCACGGACCTGGAGAATTAAATGCAAAGGGAACAGAAAAATACAAGGTTCGATTACCTGCGACATTATGTTGATGATGATTATAAGTAAGAGGAACGGAGTGTAATGCCCTGGCAGACCATTTTCTGTGTCTGGAGTCCTCGTCATCGTCGTCGGCTTGCTGACCGTCCTCTCCTAGGAAATGCACCTTCTCGTACCTGTCCAGATACCTGCAACAAGGTATCATTTTATCGTATCTCGTTACGAGAACAATGTATCAAAGATACGCTAGGTTTACGGAGATCTTTCATCAGATTTCTATTACCGAAAATACAAAGATACACGCGATTACTGGAGGAAAGTTTCTACGATTTATTCGGTGTTGTATACCTTGGACCGAAACGAGGACGTTATCCGGTTCTTCAAAGAGAGCGTTGATCGCGGCGCTTGTCGTCTAGCCCACATAGCGACCGGTTCCCGGCCGATTGACGTCGGCCGTCGTCTTATCGCGCGGCGAGTTCCGATACCTACGATCCAGACGGGGCACGCGTAGTCCCGCTACGGTATCAACCGGGCGACCGTCTATGAGGCCGCGGAGTTACTAAACTCTGGGTCGACCGCGAGAGACCGACAGATCGACCGACCGACAGACTGAACGTCGAGAGTCGAGAGTACAACGAACTCGGTGGCCAACGCGCGAATGGGGTAGCTTGTGAACAGAAACAGAGACAGAGACAGAGAAAAGACTCGAGAAGGAGAGTGACGATGATGATAATAATAATAAGAGAGACAGCGAAGGGGAGAGAGAGAGAGAGAGAGAGAGATACACAGAGTCGTGGGTGGGCGAAAGAAAGCGGTGGGGGTAGGTGTTGCGGATCCATTCATGCACCAACGTAGAGTACGGAAGGTGCAGGCGTTGGAGCACCCGGTCAGAGCCTGATTGGTCGTTGCTGGGTGCAGACTGAGCACAGACACTTTGACTGCTACTGTGGCGGTGACCGGTGCACGCTCCGTGTATGTAGATCGCTACCGTACGAAGCTCTCTTCGTCTATTCTACTAGGCGCCGGTGGTGCGATTGTAGGTCCGGCCAACGGTCACGTGTCTTGGCTGCGACGCCTCACTATCAATGAACGAAAGTCGGCTTTTCGATCTCCGCGGCCGTCTCGGGAAATCCTCGAGATTCGTGTATAGAGTCGAAAGTAATTGAATAATTTTCGATCATTGATACACCTTGTAACCACCACCAACTACCGACATTCTTTACCAGCGATACTTACATGGGTGAATTGTATTTGGTATCAGGCTAACGGACGTTTCTCGCGTCGGATACGTGTGCGTCGAGAATTGTTTCGGTTAACAATAAGAAATAAAGGAGAGCTATGACGACGCGCGATCAAATCGACGTTACCCAAAGATTCCTGTGTCGCGAGAATCATAGAATAGAATCTAAATCGATATCGATCTCGATCGAATACCTTGACGTTGCATTCACCTTCCGTTAGTTAACCTTAGCTGTACTGTACACACGAGTTCTCAAAATGACGCGCATAGCGTAAAAAACAGTGTAAAACTGTCGATCCGCGAAAGGGTTAAAAATCGCCAAGTAACGATACCAGGGCCACGGCGTACGCTGATAGAATGACTTTACTACGTCGAAGCACGAAGCAGAATAGATGAAGAAAATGACCAGACGAGTGCGTTACTTTTGTCCACTAGCGAGGGGTGGCGGAAGCGTCGGCGTCGTGGATACGACACAAAACGACGCCAAGAGATACGAAGGACGCGGCAAAGAAGAATTGACCGCGTCCTTGTTTGCAAGCGGCGCACGGTAACAAGGTTGCACACACAGAGCTTAACCGGGGAGAGGGAGAGAACAGCGACTCAGGAAGCACGTGGGATCGTCAGCGGGGCCAGAGTATGAATGAACCAACTAACCAACCAACCAACGAACGAACGAACGAACGTACGTACGTACGTACTATACGATACGGAAAATGGTGGTGGGGCGTAGGTACCAGAGTGCCGATACGCCGGTGGTGGCCGTGCGGCAGCAAAACGTCGCTGCCTCTCCTACTCTTGCAGACGCTCGCGGACCGTCAGACATAATGGAACATCGCGCTATGACAATGAGAGAGACCAAGAGAGGGAGCGGGGGTGTCTAGCCGGGAAAGTTGCCACGAATCCCCGTTTCCATCTTGCGTGGCGCCTCGCGCCTATTTCGTCGGTATCCCGATCCGGGGCTGACGCTTTTTCCTCGATCGAGAACTGACCCTAACGGATGGTATGCGTATCTCTTGGCGGCACGCGATTTCAAAGAAATTTCAAAGAAAAGTGAACAGTGCCGAAGAAACGTGCGTTGAACCGACAACTTGGCAATACGCGTCGATTCGTATCAATGCCAGGTGAAAATGTCAGTGTTGGAAGGATTTGCAAGCCGTAATACCATCTTCCACGGTAACAAGATGAACGAAATTCAATTATTCGCTGCGCAACTATAGTCTTTCTCCTATTACCCGTATTACGTATTACATGTTACATATAAGGTACGTATTATAAGAAAATATTATCAAATTTTTCTCCGAACAAGAACCACGATAGAGAAAGCATAATAAGTTCTCGATAGATCGAGGGAACAGATATCCAGAAAATGTAACGCGATGTCTTTGACCGTTAAAGTAGATTTTACGCTAAGGGGCTGCGTCGCACCTGCGATTCACCTGCTTCTCGAATGATGTACGACGCGACGCTGACAGTTTCTAAAATAAGCTGATCGATGGTAGAAGTGCGTCTTAGATACTTACCTAAGGTAAATTTGTTTAAGGCCAACCCCGCTGTTGACACAGCCGTTAGGTAGATGGAATTGTTCGCATAGCGATATCCACTCGTTTCTGGAATTAACCTGAAACATGAAACAATAACGATTGACTATAAATCAAAGACCGTAGCCAAAGAAGGGATAACTTGTCTCGTCGGAAATGTTTTTTTCTTTTTTTTTTTTACAAGTATCCAGGCGAGACTCGATCGTAATTTAGAGAGATGTGCATCGACGCGGATTATGACATGTTTGCGATCTCGTAGCGCCGAGTGATCCAACGTCAAACCGCGATGCGACGCGCTTACGAGTACCGAGAAGCGATCGCGATCAACGTGGAAATATTCGAAGCGCGGCGACAGCGGCTCTTTTACGACTCGGCGTCCAGCCAAAGGGAGTTTACGGTTTCAACCTGCAAAACAGACATGAAAGCTCACGCGCCGCCAGGCAGATCTCGTTTGCAGCGAGAGTGCGTGTGCCACAGATCTGGCCGTACTTACTATTAACGTTACTCGAAATACCATTTTAAGGGGACGGGGGGAAATAGCATTAGAAGGCGAAATATCAAGTGTTTTACACGATAATTTACTTAATTTTTCCGTAACCTTGAGAATATTTCAATTGTTTTCAAATTTGCTTAAGTTTGGTGTGCTGTACCGTGTATACCGAGTGCAATCCATCGCGTTTCAAGGGGAATTCTTGGTAGCGGGATACGAGATAAAACGGCCCGACGGGATATAAATTTCATCGCTGGTGCTGCTGCTGCTGCCGCCGCGTTAAAAAAATAACCGACGCGACGACTCGTGTTACGAGCCTCAAACACACGTGTCGTCTCCAGGAAAGAGGGACACAGAGAGAGAAAAAGATTTGGTTTTATATAATCTGTGGTCAGAGATCGGAGTTGTGTAAATTATATTTCAAACGAGGAATAAATCGTCAAGATTTTAACAGACAAAGAGTCGTTCGTTGCTCGGGTATAAATTAGAAGCGTTACTCGAATCAGATTTATTTGTATGCGGTGGCGCCACATAACACACGATTCGGTCTCGTCGGCGTCGGCGTCGGCGTCGGCGTCGCCTCGTATTAATTATTCGAATAAAATAAAATTCAATCAACCGGCAAGCACCAGATGACATGCGTCGAGTAATCGCCAAGAGACGTAATGAAATATCGTCTGGACGGCACGGCTAGCTGGTCCCGCTATTGCACGGCGCATTTGTTGCGAACCAAGAGAGGAGCGGGGGAACAGAATCGTGAAATCGACGACGGACGGACATACTGGGTCAGTGCTCTCTGGATCCGCGCCCGTTTCTTTGCTATTCTCGTCGTTGCGACGTTCAACCTTATGAATCGAGAATGTGGCGCCCCACCGTGGACGACCTCGCGACATCATCGGCCTCATGAAAAACCGCTCGACGAACGCTCGTTCACGTCGGCGTCGGAAACCAAGTATCCGACAGTCAATGAACGTGACTGGCACGAACGGAAAGAAATCAACCAAAATCATCGTGTTGTCATCTTCCCTGCCGAATTACGTCTTTCTATCTATTTAATTAAACGTTCATGGTGTACGTCGCTAACATATTAATATCTAGCTAGTGGCTAGTTTAGTAGTACATATATTTACGCTATCCCCGTTTTACTGAAAAAGCAGATATCGTTTCAAACAAGGCTCGTGTCCATTAGGCTCAGATAAGCTGTCGATATTACCACCATCTGCTCCCAATGTTCCGAATATTGTGTTAATAAGGGTAACATTATCTCCTAATGTATATATACAATATAATATAAAACGTACATAGCAGAGACGAGGAAAATTTGGATCCAAGTAAAGATATCGAATAGCGAGAAAAAAAGATAAACTCTTTGTCCTGTATTCGGTGTGATTGTTGGATCGACTAAAGCTACAATTTTATTAACGTAAAATGTTACCCATCTCCGGTACACGGATATATTTTTTATTTTGTAACATTAAGAGTGGTTTAGAAAATTCCCCAGTTACGATTCATCAAGCATTCGCTGCATAATGCTGCGATGCGATTAAACGAGGCGAAACGTTTTAATCGGCCAACTTAAACCGTGTAAGAAATTTAAAACGTTTGGATTAAAGTGGGTGAAGAGAAAAAGAGAGGTCCGAAATCTGTTTCCTCGAAACAGATCGAAACAGGTCGAAATGATCTGGATCACGATTGTGAAAATTACCGCGACATTTGACAACGCGAAAAGCTGAAATTAATAGAGTCGGTATTATGCAACCAGACCTAAATCATTTGTAACGTCGATACGGAACAGGGCTACTATTTCGTGTAGCTTGTAGCAAAGACACGCGTCTGATTTAATCGAATTACGCGAGTGGATCCTTTTTAGGTTTCTCTTTGAATCTCGATAGGAATTCTTTGCTGCAGTTTCCTTCGTTGTGGAGATTCCTTTGATCGAATAAAAACTTGCCGCAGGCTGAAACGAATATTCGTTGAATCCTTAGTTACCGTTGATTGGTAACTCGTTGCTGGAATTTCCTTTCTTATGGCTTGTTTCGATCGAGTGAGCTAAGCCTGACGTCTCGTTGGGTATCGCGTAATTTATCGATGCTTTCCAAATTAACAGACTATCTTCTGTCAGGAATTGGGCGTGTATCGTACTAGACGCGCACCAATAGAACCGATCGATCAAACGTACCGTGTATAACGCTGAAAGATTAATATTCGTTTCATATAGATTGATTTAGCAAAAAGATCGTCGATTGTCCAAGTGTCACGGTGTACAACAACTTTTTGCCAAGTTCCTTGACGTTGCTCGCAAAAAGAGTTAAACGAAAACACCTTGCCCTCCGATTAATTATTCGTAATGCCTCGGTAAACGTTGAATAAAATGCTGAGCAACACTTTCGAGGTATACCAATTCTGATTCTATTTCCAAAGTACGTTAGGGAAATTCGTGTACTCTTTGACTACACTTTGATCAATCATCGGTTTTAACGTATCAACTTTATTCATTTCCAACAAAAGGTTATTCAACTTGAGGTAGTTCTTTATCAAGAAAAAGAAAAGAGTGACCACGTGTTGCGATAAATCCGACATAATCGAATATTTGTGCGTGATAAATCGTTTGTAATCCTATGGCGCGTAGAATGCCCGATAAGAATCGGTTAAACCGTAAAACGAACCGTATTTACGTTTCTTTTATTTCAGTTTGTTATCTCTTGGATCGGACACCACGTGCAATAATCTTACTCGCACTTTAGTGAAATCGTTTTAACCTTTTGCAATTGTGCGGTGGAAATGTCCACGCGTTATCATTTATTTACGCGGGTACGAGTAGAAACGTGTAATCATCGTCACGCGGTTGGCTAATTCGTAACAATTTCAGCTACTTTATCTTGCACCGTGATACTCGATGGCCGTCTATGAGAGATTTTTACCGCGTAATTAGGACATGATGCGCGTCCGAAGAAACGTATACCCGTTTATCGAATTTCTACGGTTTTCGAAGGCTACCGCGCGAACCGTCTTCGTATCCGAGAGAAGAAGGGAACCCCGATCGTTGTCGTTGTCGTTATCGTTGCCGTTATCGTTGCCGTTGCCGTTGCCGTTGCCGTTGCACACCGGTTAACGTAGATACGCGCGATTCACTGGCGCCGATTAGAGGTAGTGGCCGGCACACACGCGCGGGTATCCGTGTCTCGGTCTGTAATCGCGCGACTTTGCTTGACCTTGACAGTATGAATTACACCGCGCACGCGCGCAGGGACGTTCTTCGAGAGAGCGTCGAACGTATCCACGTGTTTGGTTCCGGCGAGGGACTACACGATGAAAGTGTCTTTGCCGCCACGTGGTCTCCGTTGGGGTAGGACATGGTCTCTCTTACTCTCTCTCCCACCCCCTCTCGCACACTTCTCTCTCTCCCCCCACCTCTCGCCCTTTTGCTGCTGCACCAACCCGACAGCCACCCGCCGCCGCCGCCGCCGCCGCCGCCGCCGTCGCACCCGTTACGCGCCTATGCGACTATGCTTTGCTCTTTCTGTTACCGCGTTTCTCCGCGTTCCTCCGCGTTTTGTCCCGGTTGGTTCCTCTATCTTGCCATGCTTTTTTCGATTTACTGCAATCGTGCGTTACTTCGTGCCCGTGCCATCGATAGTTGCGTTCTTTTCTTTAATGGAAATACATATTTTGGTTTTCACAGATCGAATTCTCGTATCATCAAAAGCGATATTCGAGTAGCGGTGCCGAACAGCGATACCAATTTTATCCATACCGTTACGATACTCGTCGACTATCCGAATAGTCCTAAATACGATCGTCCGAGTTGATTTTTTCCTCCGAAAGCAAAGCGCATAAATATACACACGAATTCGCCTCGGCGTTATTTCTCAATCTTTCTCCGTTACTGTCTGGGGGATCGACGAGAACCGGCTCGGAATTACGAGCAACGCAACGCATTTATCTCTGGTCGACTATTAAGTAAAACCAGTATCTAGCATCGTATACCGTGCACGAACCAGTCGTAAACGTTGCAAAGTAGTTAATAGTTACTAGTTACACGCGCGGAAAAGATGATAAATCCTTGCGCATGTCAAACTAATATCGATGATGGTAATATTCGAAAAGGATCGGGAATCCCCTTGCGAAGCGTTACGATCGATTCGATAATTACAAATTCGCATTGTTAAATGGATTGCTGATCCTGGTATTATTACTTTGACGCGTCACTCGCCAAATCATCCATATTGGTGTATAGATGAATGAAAAGTTTTCTGTTAAAGACACGCTTCAAACGTTCGGTATCGTATAGTTTTCATACAGCGTAGCATCGACGACACCTGCCAGTTTCGCCGCTGATTCGTCGATCCACGAGATCGAGACGATACAGAGAATCACCCAGTTATTACGAATTCCAAAGGCGACGATCCAAAATGAACACAGGGAACGAAGCCAAGAACCCTGTTCTAAGAATATCGCCAAGTAAGCAGCGATGGACGATGGCATTTGATCCATTCTCTCTCGCGAATTATCGCGATCCATTTCGATTTCGCAATCGCCGACGTACCTTGACAGATTACAAGTCTATATTCACTTTGCTCTCCGGTAAAA